GTGTGTTTGATTCACAAGTTTGTTTAAATCTAACACACATCCAAGAGGACACCACCTCTGTACTCTGCTCATCCCCTGACTCCTGTGTTCAACAAAAACCTAGTAAAAAGTTTATTAAGATCATAGAGTTAGAAGAAAACAGCGTTTTCCCTCCTCTACACATGGAATCCCCTGCCTCCTGTATAACCTTTAGCTGAGCCAGCTGAACCAACACTCTAACACATATGGTTGAGGAGGGCTTTGAACCAGGCAGTCGTCCACTACTTACAGCAGATATTTATAAACTAGAGCAGAGCCTCTTGATTGAACACCACATGTTTCTGCTCTGCCCCACCAGCCCCCACATGCTTCCCCATCCTCCCCCATGCTTCCCCATCCTCCCCCCTCCCCCTGAGGGCCTACTGTATGGAGGGAGGGAGCCAGAAGGAGGGAGGGAGAGAGGGAGGGGGCTTAGGGTTTGTTCCCAGCCCTCTCCTTCTCTCTCCTCTCCCTCCTCTGCCCCTGCCTTTCTACACACACACACACACACACACACACACACACACACACACACACACACACACACTCTCTGAGGGTGTCTCAGGGGGAGTTGGGATATGCAAAAATTACATTTCCATTTCACTGCTCACACTTGTACAGGTTACCCACTTGTACATGAAATGAAACAGGACAAATATATGCACCCCCTATTTAACACACTACAGTCAGCTCATGGTGTGAGAGAAACCTGAGAAAGATTTTGGACCAGAGCATTGGAATAAGTGCAGGGAAGGGTATTCACGTGTGTGTGTGTGTGTGTACAGTGAGGGGAAAAAGTATTTGATCCCCTGCTGATTTTGTACGTTTGCCCACTGACAAAGAAATGATCAGTCTATAATTTTAATGGTAGGTTTATTTGAACAGTGAGAGACAGAATAACAACAAAAAAATCCAGAAAAACGCATGTCAAAAATGTTATAAATTTATTTGCATTTTAATGAGGGAAATAAGTATTTGACCCCCTCTCAAGAAAGAGAGACAGAGAGAGAGAAACTGATAAAGAGAGAGAGAAAGTGACAGAGAGAGAGGCAAACTGCAGTAGGATGAGTGCAGCTGTTGGGAATTTAGTGTGAGAGGGGCTCTGGGTCTGGCCCTCTCTCGTCCTCTCTGTGTGATTGGCCTAATGGTTCAGTGTCAGGTACCACAAACCCAGTGAACTCTTCCTCTGTCTACTGCCTGGAGACACCAGGGCCTAGCAGATATAGCACAGTGGAGGTTTGGTTTAGGTATTGGTGAGCAGATAACAGTGCTCTACACTACAGTTGTATTTTTGTATTGTGTGAACAGCCACCAGTGCTGGACAGTGGACACTAAAGTATTTTCTATTATTTTTACCTTTATTCTGTTCTTATTAAAACATTTATTTTAGTCATTTTAGCAGACGCTCTTATCCAGAGCGACTTACAGTTAGTGAGTGCATACATTTTTCATACTTCATTTTATCTAGTAGTTCACAGACATAATTACTATATTCCTGCTCTTGAACCATAATTGTGTAAACATTAGGTAGGCCTAATTGACGCTACATTTCCCTGACTCTTGTTGACATTGAAATGCTACACCCATTGAGCTCAGCTCACTACTAGAATGTGTGAAACACACTGATCCTTCTGGTGATTGGCTTCTCTGTGTCCAGCCCTGACTCCTGATCCTTCTGGTGATTGGCTTCTCTGTGTGCAGTCTTGACTCCTGATCCTTCTGGTGATTGGCTTCTCTGTGTCCAGCCCTGACTCTATCCTTGGTGATTGCTTTCTGGTCCAGTCCTGACTCCTGATCCTTCTGGTGATTGGCTTCTCTGTGTCCAGCCTGACTCCTGATCCTTCTGGTGATTGGCTTCTCTGTGTCCAGTCCCTGACTCCTGATCCTTCTGGTGATTGGCTTCTCTGTGTCCAGCCCTGACTCCTGATCCTTCTGGTGATTGGCTTCTCTGTGTCCAGCCCTGACTCCTGATCCTTCTGGTGATTGGCTTCTCTGTGTCCAGTCCTGACTCCTGATCCTTCTGGTGATTGGCTTCTCTGTGTCCAGTCCTGACTCCTGATCCTTCTGGTGATTGGCTTCTCTGTGTTCAGCCCTGACTCCTGATCCTTCTGGTGATTGGCTTCTCTGTGTCCAGTCCTGACTCCTGATCCTTCTGGTGATTGGCTTCTCTGTGTCCAGCCCTGACTCCTGATCCTTCTGGTGATTGGCTTCTCTGTGTGCAGTCCTGACTCCTGATCCTTCTGGTGATTGGCTTCTCTGTGTCCAGTCCTGACTCCTGATCCTTCTGGTGATTGGCTTCTCTGTGTCCAGTCCTGACTCCTGATCCTTCTGGTGATTGGCTTCTCTGTGTGCAGTCCTGACTCCTGATCCTTTGGTGATTGGCTTCTCTGTGTCCAGTCCTGACTCCTGATCCTTTCTGGTGATGGCTTCTCTGTGTCCAGCCCTGACTCCTGATCCTTCTGGTGATTGGCTTCTCTGTGTCCAGTCCTGACTCCTGATCCTTCTGGTGATTGGCTTCTCTGTGTGCCAGTCCTGACTCCTGATCCTTCTGGTGATTGGCTTCTCTGTGTCCAGTCCCTGACTCCTGATCCTTCTGGTGATTGGCTTCTCTGTGTGCCAGTCCTGACTCCTGATCCTTCTGGTGATTGGCTTCTCTGTGTGCAGCCCTGACTCCTGATCCTTCTGGTGATTGGCTTCTCTGTGTGCAGTCCTGACTCCTGATCCTTCTGGTGATTGGCTTCTCTGTGTCCAGTCCTGACTCCTGATCCTTCTGGTGATTGGCTTCTCTGTGTCCAGTCCTGACTCCTGATCCTTCTGGTGATTGGCTTCTCTGTGTCCAGTCCTGACTCTGATCCTTCTGGTGATTGGCTTCTCTGTGTCCAGTCCTGACTCCTGATCCTTCTGGTGATGTGGTGCAGTCCTGACTCCTGATCCTTCTGGTGATTGGCTTCTCTGTGTCCAGTCCTGACTCCTGATCCTTCTGGTGATTGGCTTCTCTGTGTGCAGTCTTGAGTGGAGACTTTGCTGTACAGTTCTGAGAATTGAAAACCAGTATTGTAGTGATGTAAATAAGCTGTACGTTTACTGCAATGTAGCCTCTGTCGAGTCCCCAACAACCGGATGTTCCGGTTTTCAGGGGAAATGGAAAGAGAGCATGTGACACAACTTCCACTTTTGGATGTTAACAAGGCGACACTCCATATTAACTCCTCCTCCACATTTACAGGATTGGTTGAACAGTGCAGAACAGAACCTCCCCGACAGTTCTTCTTCTTCTCGTCAAGACCAGGATGTACGGGATCTAGTTTCAGGCGTTTCTTTTATGCCTGCTATGTTTGGTTAGCTACAAAGTGGATATAAAATACATGAAGAAATGTATTTCATTACATGGGTTATTGTCAGGTGATTGCCATTTGACGTTACTCTGCGAGAGAGTATGTCCCATTAACCCAGTGTTTCCCAAACTAGGGGTCACGACACCATGTGGGGTCGACTGATTTGAAAATGGGGTCGCAAGAGAAACTGAAAAAAAAGGAAAAATATTTAGACCAGGCACTAAATCAGACTGAGGGGGAAAGTAACATCATCAAAGATCATTTTATTTTATACACAGAAGATTGTACACAATTATTGCCTGATGATCTTCTGAACTTCCCAATACCTTTCTAATGCATTTAATTCACTTCAAACCATACTTCCTTCAGATTGAAATACTGTCAAAAGTACTGTCACACTGATTTGTAATAAATTGTGTCATAGCCCCAAATAAAAAAGTAAACATTGGCCATTGATTACATAACTTTATTTTACATGGTGGGGTTGCAAAAAAAATTTGATATCAAAATGGGGTCGCGGGCCAAATTATTTTGGGGAGCCACTGCATTAACCTTTCTGCAGAAAGGCGTTTTGAAATATTAACTTTTAAATGCGCTGACCTGTACATGTACAGTAGCTTCCTCTTCATCCCTGTGTGACTTAGTTGGTAGAGCATGGCACTTACAATGTCAGAGTTGTGGGTTCGATTCCCTCTTGGGCCACCCATACAAAAATGTGTATACACACACACACACGCACACACACACACACACACACACACACACACACACACATGCACTGTGGTGTTTCAGGCAGAGATAACTGACCTCTCCCTGTCCCCTGTCTCTGTGGTGTTTCAGGCAGAGATAACTGACCTCTCCCTGTCCCCTGTCTCTGTGGTGTTTCAGGCAGAGATAACTGACCTCTCCCTGTCCACTGTCTCTGTGGTGTTTCAGGCAGAGATAACTGACCTCTCCCTGTTCTCTGTCTCTGTGGTGTTTCAGGCAGAGATAACTGACCTCTCCCTGTCCCCTGTCTCTGTGGTGTTTCAGGCAGAGATAACTGACCTCTCCCTGTCCACTGTCTCTGTGGTGTTTCAGGCAGAGATAACTGACCTCTCCCTGTTCTCTGTCTCTGTGGTGTTTCAGGCAGAGATAACTGACCTCTCCCTGTTCTCTGTCTCTGTGGTGTTTCAGGCAGAGATAACTGACCTCTCCCTGTCCCCTGTCTCTGTGGTGTTTCAGGCAGAGATAACTGACCTCTCCCTGTCCCCTGTCTCTGTGGTGTTTCAGGCAGAGATAACTGACCTCTCCCTGTCCCCTGTCTCTGTGGTGTTTCAGGCAGAGATAACTGACCTCTCCCTGTTCTCTGTCTCTGTGGTGTTTCAGGCAGAGATAACTGACCTCTCCCTGTTCTCTGTCTCTGTGGTGTTTCAGGCAGAGATAACTGACCTCTCCCTGTCCCCTGTCTCTGTGGTGTTTCAGGCAGAGATAACTGACCTCTCCCTGTTCTCTGTCTCTGTGGTGTTTCAGGCAGAGATAACTGACCTCTCCCTGTCCCCTGTCTCTGTGGTGTTTCAGGCAGAGATAACTGACCTCTCCCTGTCCCCTGTCTCTGTGGTGTTTCAGGCAGAGAAAAAAGCCCAACTGGTGTCAGTGTTGAACTTAATGGAGGACCATGAGGAGATGGAACCTGAGCCACAACAGAAAGAAGAGGTGTCAGTCATTACACCCCACCAGCAACAACAACAACAACAACAACAACAGCAGCAGCAGCAGCCCACGGACCCAGCGTCCCCTACTGTGGCCACCACTCCTGAACCTGTCCCCATGGTAGGAGGGGACAAGACGTCCCCCAAGACTGCCGGTACTGAGCCGGAGTATGAGGTAATCACACAGTGTAGCAATTACATATCATGTATACCACTTAGCAGACAGTCATCCACCAGACACTGACTGATAGTACAGTGAGTACATTGGGAAGCTGAGGGGGTTCTCCTGGTGGTGTTGTTGTTGTTGACCGTTGTTGTTGTTGTTGTTGTTGTCCTGTAGGACGGGCGGGATTTCGGCATTGGGGAGCTGGTATGGGGGAAGCTGAGGGGGTTTTCCTGGTGGCCTGGTCGTATTGTCTCCTGGTGGATGACCGGACGCAGCCGAGCTGCCGAGGGGACACGATGGGTCATGTGGTTCGGTGACGGAAAATTCTCAGTGGTGAGTAAAAAACTGTAAAACAGCACAACAGTGTCGTGTTCAGTAGGCACCAAACAGATGAAAACAGAGTGGAACTGGAAGGGACTACCTGGATTAATTTGTCCATTTTCAGTTTCCGTTTTAAAACGTTTTGCTACAGTGTACCCTACCGAACACCACCTGTTAAAACAGCATTTCTATTCCACTAATGAATAAAAAAATAAAAAAATATCAATGACTCTTTTCCTACAGGTGTGTGTAGAGAAACTGTTGCCTTTCAGTTCCTTTGCCAACGCCTTCCACCAGCCCACCTTCATCAAGCAGCCCATGTATAAGAAAGCCATCTACGAGGTGCTACAGGTCAGTACGGGGTTAGCTTTCATTATGTCTCATTCACAGCATTCAGTCGTTTCCCATCGCAGTCTTCGCAGCGGGTTAAAAGGTGGAAATTACGTCATTATTACCAGTTCACAACTAGACCTGGATTATAATCTGGTTGAAATGGATTATAATCTGGTTTTAATGGATTATAATCTGGTTGTAATGGATTATAATCTGGTTGTAATGGATTATAATCGGATTGTAATGGATTATAATCTGGTTGTAATGGATTATAATCGGATTGTAATGGATTATAATCTGGTTGTAATGGATTATAATCGGGTTGTAATGGTTGTAGTTTGATTGTGATAATGTCATGTCAACCAGTTTTGTGCGCTGGGAGGGATAGCTCAAAGATACAGCACATCTCAAAACCTTAGACCATGGTTAGGCAACTAGATTCAGCCGCGTGCCGAGTTTTGTCTGAGGGGAATTTTCGGGGGGCCGGAACATAGTTATAATAATTTTGAACACTGCAAATTTACCACAACTAAGCCCAAAAAGAGATTGTATTTGAAAATAAAAATCATTCCATACCTTGATTACATTGAGACACAATCACGTCTCTTTTTTTATTTGTGGGAATAGTTGGGAACAGATTTCCTAAATTAAACAAATTTGAAGATGAATTCCTGGTGATTTAGTCTTTTTTGACCAATAGCTAACCCCCCCACATTTCTTTTTACAAAATAAATCACTGCCCGCGGGTCGCCTGTTGTCGACCCCTGCCATACAATTAGTCCTTTTACCTCTAATTAGTCCTTTTGGAAGTTTTTCTTGGTAAGCCATTCCCCTGCCATAGACTGTTGAAAGAGGCATCAAATCCTCTAGAATGATGATGTCAATGTGCCATTGAGCAAGGCACTTAACCCTAATTGGGTCCAGGTCCGGTGTTGATAATGGCTGACCCTGGCCGTGACCCACTCTCCAAGGGAGTCACAGGGGGAGTTGGGATATGCAAAAAACACATTTCCAATTCACATGTGTATAATACTCACTTGTGAAGTAAGAGAAATAAGCCACCAAATTATAATAATTATTATTATTATTATAGAATGGCTCCAAGAAGATCTACTCTACTCTCGCTTATAATGCCTACTGTAAGTCACTCTGGATAAGAGCGTCTGCTAAATGAATAAAATGTCAATGTAAATACCTACTAGTATACATACATACAGTGCATTCGGAAAGTATTCAGACCCCTTGACTTTTTCTACATTTTGTTACGTTACAGCCTTATTCTAAAATTGATTAAAAAACATTTTGCAAATGTATTTCAAATTAAAATATATCACATTTACATAAGTATTCAATCCCTTTACTCAGTACTTTGTTGAAGCACCTTTGGCAGCGATTACAGCCTTGATTCTTGTTGGGTATGATGCTACAAGCTTGGCACACCTGTATTTGGGGAGTTTCTCCAATTCTTCTCTGCAGATCCTCTCAAGCTCTGTCAGGTTGGATGGGGAGCGTCGCTGCACAGCTATTTTCAGGTCTCTCCAGAGTTCGATCGGGTTCAAGTCCGGGCTCTGGCTGGGCCACCCAAGGACATTCAGAGACTTGTCCCAAAGCCACTCCTGCATTGTCTTGGCTGTGTGCTTAGGGTCGTTGTCCTGCTGGAAGGTGAACATTCGCTCCAGTCTGAGGTCCTGAGCGCTCTGGAGCAGGTTTTCATCAAGGATCTCTCTGTACTTTGCTCCGTTCATCTTTCCCTCGATCCTGACTAGTCTCCCAGTCCTTGCAACTGAAAGACATCCCCACAGCATGATGCTGCCACCACCATGCTTCACCGTAGGGATGGTGGCAGGTTTCCTCCAGGTGTGACGCTTGGCATTCAAGCCAAAGAGTTCAATCTTGGTTTCATCAGACCAGATAATCTTGTTTCTCATGGTCTGAGAGTCCTTTAGGTGCCTTTTGGCAAACTCCAAGCAGGCTGTCATGTGCCTTTTACTGAGGAGTGGCTTCCGTCTGGCCACTCTACCATAGAAGCCTAATTGGTGGAGTGCTGCAGAGTTGGTTGGCCTTCTGGAAGTTTCTCCCATCTTCACAGAGTAACTCAGGAGCTCTGTCAGAGTGACCATCGGGTTCTTGGTCGCCTCCCTGACCAAGGCCCTTCTCCCCCGATTGCTCAGTTTTGCCGGGCGGCCAGGTCTAGGAAGAGTCTTGGTGGTTCCGAACTTCTTCCATTTAAGAATAATGGAGATCACTGTGTTCTTGGGGACCTTCAATGCTGCAGAAATGTTTTGGTACCCTTCCCCAGATCTTGACACAATCCTGTCTCGGAGCTCTACGGACAATTACTTCGACCTCATGGCTTGGTTTTTGCTCTGACATGCACTGTCAACTGTGGGACCTTATATAGAAAGGTGTGTGCCTTTCCAAATAATGTCCAATCAATTGGATTTACCACAGGTGGGCTCCAATCAAGTTGTAGAAACATCTCAAGGATGATCAATGGAAACAGGATGCACCTGAGCTCAATTTCGAGTGTCATAGCAAAGGGTCTGAAAAATGTATTTTTTTCTCAAAAAGATAGGAGTACAATTTATTGACACCCCGTTTTCAATACCTTTCAATAGCTCACCTTGCGAGGATAACAGCACTGAGCCTTTTCTAAAATGTTTTATTAGTTGGATAACACTTTGGGAGGGATCTTAGATCATTCCTCAATACAGAATACATCCAGATCCTTGATATCCTTTGTCTGCGCTTATGGACTGCCCACTTCAATTCAAACCACACGTTTTCAATGGGTTTCAAGTCCGGAGATTGAGCTGGCCTTTGGAAAATTTAGATTTTGTGGCCAATTAACCATTTATTTGTGGATTGTGATGTGTGCTTGGAGTTATTGTCTTGCTGGAAGATCCACTTGCGGCCAAGTTTCAGCCTCCTGGCAGAGGCAACCATGTTTTGGGCTAAAATGTCCTGGTACTTGGTAAAGTTCATGATGCCGTTGACCTTTACAAGGACCAGTGGAAGCAAAATAGCCCCATAACATCAAAGATCCACCACCATATTTTACAGTAGGTATGGGGTTATTTTCTATTGTGCGTTCTCATTTAGACGCCAAACCCTCCAAAAAGCTCTATTTTCATGTCATCTGACCAAAACATCAGTTCCAATCCAAGTGCCAATGCCGTTTAGCAAACTCCAGGCGTTTACATTTGTTGAATGACATGAAAATATAGCTTTTTTACTTCTTAAACAAAACAAAGCAATTGTATTAGTATGAAATAATTTAATTTCCCCAAAAATGTTTACATACAATATTGCTCAGTATTTTATTTATTTATTTTATACAGTCATTTTTGCTCATCTTTATCAAGGGTGTCAATCATTTCGGACCCCACTGTACACACACACACACACACACACACACACACACACACACACACACACACACACACACACACACACACACAAACACACAAACACACAAACATGATGATAACACTGACAGGTCATGTCTCTTTGCAGGTGGCTAGCACCCGAGCAGGCAAAGCCTTCCTAGCCTGTCCAAAGAGCGATCAGACAGACACCTCCAAGTCAGTGGATCTACACAACAACCAGATGATAGATTGGGCTGTGACAGGCTTCCAACCCACCGGACCCAAGGGCCTAGAGCCACCAGACGGTAAGTTAAAAGTTTCATGTTTATTTGACAATGATTTGTAGTGAATATATTGGAAACCACCTGAGCATAGAGCCATCTGAGGGCAAGAGGAGCTCATAACATGTTAAAAGCCTACATTATGAAGGCTCATACATACAATACCATTGTAGTGTCCATGTTACAGTGGCCAAGGGAAATGTGTTTTCTGCTCCGTTCTCAACCCCCACCCAGACAGCACACATCACACACAGTTGAGAGAAGCACAGGGCCAGGCTGCGGCTGGAGAGCATGTTGTGGGGTTAAAGGCCTTGTTGCTCGCCGGCCCAACTGTAGGGGAATGTCTTTAGGATGTGATCCCAGCAGCCCTCCAGTTGCCAGATCAATTCCCCCCTTTTTTCCAGCGCCCGGCCCGGGATTCAGACCGGCCACCTTGCGGCTACAGGTCCAACTCCTTAGCCGCTGGGCTACCTACCGCCCCTACCTACCTACACGCTTATAAACAAGTAATAAACCTATATACCGGCAGGCTTTAAATAAAGTGTTACCGAAATGAGCGCCACAAAGAAAGCGGAAGCTCAATTTATACACCATATGCTAGATGTATTACACTAGAGCTAACATGGCACATAATGGGCAAATAATGACTGACTTGGGTAGTACTCTGTTTCCCTCTGCTTATCAGAGGTGTTTATTGTCTTACTCATATGCCCCGCCCACCAGAGGAGCGCAACCCATATAAGGAGGTGTACCCTGACGTGTGGGTGGAGCCAGAGGCGGCAGCCTACACGCCCCCTCCAGCCAAAAAGCCTCGCAAAAGCACAGCAGCCGAGAAACCCAAGGTCAAGGAGATGATTGACGAGGGGACGAGAGGTGAGGCGGCTCCTTTAAGTGGCTTAAATAGGGGTTGTGACCCCTATATACTTCCTCCTCAGGGAGGATCTCAGGGCTGTGTGTGTGTGTGTGTGTGTGTGTGTGTGTGTGTGTGTGTGTGTGTGTGTGTGTGTGTGTGTGTGTGTGTGTGTGTGTGTGTGACAGGGTAGCAGGTGCTTTGTACTAGAAGTCAAAGGGTTAACACGTTCAATTCTGTTAATGAGTGTAGGTGTTGTATGTTATGTAGCTGTTAAATGTTATGTAGCTCTTATCTAGCTTTTATGTAGTTGTTATAAATGTACTCAGCCTAACTCTTGTTACAATACACTTTATATTGTAGATAGATCTATTTAATATCTTAAAAGCAAAATGGAGGGGTAGGAGGAGGTATGTCTGCAGATTGTTTTTTACATGTCTTGAAGATGTCATCTGTAAAGATGTATCTGTTTGCAGATGGAAACAAAAGTAAACATGTCATCCCCCACGAATGATACAACAAACATGCATATCATATCCTGATCTGAAACTGTGTTCTGTCTGTTTCCAGAGAGACTTGTGTATGAAGTGAGACAGAAGTGCAGAAGCATAGAGGGTAAGTGTTCTGTCTCTGTGTTCAGACAGCCAGGGTCGTGTTCAGACAGCCAGGGTCGTGTTCAGACAGCCAGGGTTGTGTTCCATTTGGTGCCTACTGAACACGACCCTGGCTACCTGAACACGACCCTGGCTGTCTGAACACGACCCTGGAAACCCGAACATGACCCTGGCTGTCTGAACACGACCCTGGTTGTTTGAACATATATGAGTCCTGAAAGCATATTGGCTTTCCTTATGAAATGTACATTCTTCTCACATCTGTTCAAATATGCTTTTTGAATCCAAGGCTGGATGCATGGCAGTGGGGTTGTCAGATCTTGTGTGCGTTGGACTTTCTTGACAGCGGATTGCGCAGTCAGATGGAACAGAGTAAATAGGCATTTTAACATCATAGATTTAGCCGGTGGTAACTTGTGGAATAGACACCGGCTGGAATGCGATTTTAACCAATCAGCATTCAGGATTAGACCCACCTGTTGTATAAATGTTCATAAAGGACTCTGTTTACGCACCTTTTTCTTTTGTGAGTAGTTGCTAGATGCCTATTATGTTAAAGCAGCGTCTCTCCATCAGAAATCAGTTACCCACTTATTGATTTACATCTCTGAGCAATCACTTGTTGGTTTTACCACTACATTCTGTCTTTCTCCACAGACATCTGCATCTCCTGTGGAAGTTTGAATGTTTCCCGTGAACACCCTCTGTTTGCTGGAGGAATGTGCCAGAGCTGCAAAGTAAGGAGGGAAGAAGAGGCCATCGAGGCCATGAATTCAGGACCAGCTGTAGGAGTCAGGACCAGCTGTAGGAGTCAGGACCAGCTGTAGGAGTCAGGACCAGCTGTAGGAGTCAGGACTAGCTGTAGGAGTCAGGACCAGCTGTAGGAGTCAGGACTGTCTGTAGGAGTCAGGACTAGCTGTAGGAGTCAGGACTGTCTGTAGGAGTCAGGACTAGTTGTAGGAGTCAGGACCAGCTGTAGGAGTCAGGACCAGCTGTAGGAGTCATGACCAGCTGTAGGAGTCAGGACCAGCTGTAGGAGTCAGGACTAGCTGTAGGAGTCAGGACCAGCAGTAGGAGTCAGGACCAGCTGTAGGAGTCAGGACCAGCTGTAGGAGTCAGGACTACCTGTAGGAGTCAGGACCAGCTGTAGGAGTCAGGACCAGCTGTAGGAGTCAGGACCACCTGTAGGAGTCAGGACCAGCTGTAGTAGTCAGGACCAGCTGTAGGAGTCAGGACCAGCTGTAGGAGTCAGGACTACCTGTAGGAGTCAGGACCAGCTGTAGGAGTCAGGACCAGCTGTAGGAGTCAGGACCACCTGTAGGAGTCAGGACCACCTGTAGGAGTCAGGACCAGCTGTAGTAGTCAGGACCAGCTGTAGGAGTCAGGACCAGCTGTAGGAGTCAGGACTACCTGTAGGAGTCAGGACCAGCTGTAGGAGTCAGGACCAGCTGTAGGAGTCAGGACTGTCTGTAGGAGTCAGGACTAGCTGTAGGAGTCAGGACTGTCTGTAGGAGTCAGGACTAGTTGTAGGAGTCAGGACCAGCTGTAGGAGTCAGGACCAGCTGTAGGAGTCATGACCAGCTGTAGGAGTCAGGACCAGCTGTAGGAGTCAGGACTAGCTGTAGGAGTTAGGACCAGCAGTAGGAGTCAGGACCAGCTGTAGGAGTCAGGACCAGCTGTAGGAGTCAGGACTACCTGTAGGAGTCAGGACCACCTGTAGGAGTCAGGACCAGCTGTAGGAGTCAGGACCAGCTGTAGGAGTCAGGACCAGCTGTAGGAGTCAGGACCACCTGTAGGAGTCAGGACCAGCTGTAGTAGTCAGGACCAGCTGTAGGAGTCAGGACCAGCTGTAGGAGTCAGGACTACCTGTAGGAGTCAGGACCAGCTGTAGGAGTCAGGACCAGCTGTAGGAGTCAGGACCACCTGTAGGAGTCAGGACCACCTGTAGGAGTCAGGACCAGCTGTAGTAGTCAGGACCAGCTGTAGGAGTCAGGACCAGCTGTAGGAGTCAGGACTACCTGTAGGAGTCAGGACCAGCTGTAGGAGTCAGGACCAGCTGTAGGAGTCAGGACCACCTGTAGGAGTCAGGACTAGCTGTAGGAGTCAGGACCACCTGTAGGAGTCAGGACTACCTGTAGGAGTCAGGACTACCTGTAGGAGTCAGGACCAGCTGTAGGAGTCAGGACCAGCTGTAGGAGTCAGGACCAGCTGTAGGAGTCAGGACCAGCTGTAGGAGTCAGGACCACCTGTAGGACTCAGGACCAGCTGTAGGAGTCAGGACCACCTGTAGGACTCAGGACCAGCAGTAGGAGTCAGGACCAGCTGTAGGAGTCAGGACCAGCTGTAGGAGTCAGGACTACCTGTAGGAGTCAGGACCACCTGTAGGAGTCAGGACTACCTGTAGGAGTCAGGACCACCTGTAGGAGTCAGGACCAGCAGTAGGAGTCAGGACTACCTGTAGGAGTCAGGACCAGCTGTAGGAGTCAGGACTACCTGTAGGAGTCAGGACCACCTGTAGGAGTCAGGACCAGCTGTAGGAGTCAGGACCACCTGTAGGAGTCAGGACTAGCTGTAGGAGTCAGGACCAGCTGTAGGAGTCAGGACCAGCAGTAGGAGTCAGGACCAGCTGTAGGAGTCAGGACCAGCTGTAGGAGTCAGGACCAGCTGTAGGAGTCAGGACCAGCTGTAGGAGTCAGGACCAGCAGTAGGAGTCAGGACCAGCTGTAGGAGGGCTGTATGTATCAAGTGTCTGCAGCAGGAGTGCTGACTTAAGATCAGTTTTGCTTTCAGATCACAATAAAAAAGATTACAAGGACAGGTTGGACATGATCTCCGATCAGCACTCCTATGATCTCCGGTCTAACTCCCCTCTAGGTTGGAAGTTCTGCTTTAGGTCCTATTTAAAGCTCTCTCTTACCAAAACACAAACACAGCTTACAGGAAAGGCTCACAGAATCACTAGACAGATAATGTGTGTTAACGATAAGGCTATTACAATCACAACAAGCACAGTACACAGTCAGTGTTCCCTGTGAGCCAATGACACTTAGTATTCACATATTGAGTAGTGGTTTTCTGATTGCCACTTGTTGTTCTTTTAATAGTAATATTGACATAATAATGTATTCAACTTATCGAGCGCATATCATTACACAACGAATCTCAAAGCTGAAATGTTTTGTCATTATGTCCCAGAACTGCTTTCTAGAATGTGCGTATCAGTATGACGACGATGGTTACCAGTCATACTGCACCATCTGCTGTGGGGGACGAGAGGTGCTCATGTGTGGAAACAACAACTGCTGCAGGTGAGTGGACTACTTTCATATGATGCTGAGTTCAGTAATATGTGTGTTATTGTTCATTAACTTGATGTGTGATTCACTCAGTGTGTGAGTGTACCGGTTTACGTTTATCGTTGTTGTTTGCATAAGTGTGTGTTTCTTTGTGTGTGTGTGTGTGCGTGTACAGTATGTTGGTTCATACGTTTGTGTGATTGCGTGGGTCTGTGTGTGTGTGTGTGTGTGTGTGTGTGTGTGTGTGTACAGTATGTTGGTTCATACGTTTGTGTGATTGCGTGGGTCTGTGTGTGTGTGTGTGTGTGTGTACAGTATGTTGGTTCATACGTTTGTGTGATTGCGTGGGTCTGTGTGTGTGTGTGTGTGTGTTTGTGTGTGTACAGTATGTTGGTTCATACGTTTGTGTGATTGCGTGGGTCTGTGTGTGTGTGTGTGTGTGTGTGTGTGTGTGTGTGTGTGTGTACTAGTGTCTAGCAGTACATTATGTAATCCAAGATGGCGAAGTAGTGCAGTCCTGTTTCTGTCGTGTGTCTGTAAATAGCCTGTAAATACGCTACATTTGCACACACTGTATATATATTTTCTGTTGTATTTCTGACTTTATGTTTTTTTTACCCCATATGTAACTCTGTGTTGTTTTTATTGCACTACTTTGCTTTATCTTGGCCAGGTCGCAGTTGTAAATGAGAACCTGTTCTCAACTGGCTTACCTGGTTAAATAAAGGTGAAATAAAAAAATAAAAATAAAAATTAACGTACCTCCCCCGTCCCCTCCAGGTGTTTCTGTGTGGAGTGTGTTGACCTACTGGTGGGGCCAGGCGCAGCACAGATAGCTATAAAAGAGGATCCCTGGTGCTGCTACATGTGTGAGAAGGGTCAGAAGGGGGTGTTCGGCCTGCTGGAGCGTCACACTGACTGGCCCTGCCGTCTACAGCACTTCTTCGCTAACAATCATGACCAAGATTTTGTGAGTAGTTCCTCAGTACTACCTGTATGTGTGAAGTTCACAGCCACAGAGCCACAATGAGTCTCTGTTCCATTGTGACACACTGTGTGTGTGTATAACAGCCAAATGAGCTCCCTAAATCTGCAATAATGAGCAGGCAGACTATCACGGCTATGGGACTCTATGAATAGGGCTTCAAACCGTAGAGACAGCTGATGTCATTCCAGGCTCCCTCTCCTCTGGGTCAAAACTGAGCCGTATCTTCCTCTCTCGCGCTCATAGCGAAGCAGATCGAGAGAGAATAGAGCGCTCAGAGCGATGGTAGTCATATCGGAGGCTAGATCCAGGAGTGAGAGCTCGTATCGAGCGTAGCGATGCGATCGCGGTCTCGAGCGATGAGCGAGCTCTCTCTCTCTCTCTCTATCTCTCTCTTATCTCTCTCTCGCTCTCGTCTCTCATCTCTATCTCATGCTCTCATCTCTCATCTCTCTCTCTCCTCTCTCGTCTCTCTCTCTCTCTGTTCTTTCACAGGAACAACCAAAGCTTTACCCTCCAGTCATGGCAGAGAAGAGACAACCTATTCGTGTCCTGTCACTGTTCGACGGCATAGCAACAGGTTAGACAGGAATCTCCCCTTCTGTCCTCTTCTCCCCCCCCCTCTCCTCCTTCCCCTCTCGCCTCCTCTCCTCCTTCCCCTCTCCCCTCTTCTCCTTGACACAAAGCCCTTTGAGGTCTCTGTCTCTACAAAACGTTCTGTCTGCCTCAGGTTTCACTGGGACTGGCCCCCTAACCCATGACTATATTTACTACACTGACTGTCTATTGTGGTATAGATATATAGATAGACATCAACCTAATCCACACAGTATGCTGTTTAACCATATTGTCTAGCAGTGCACTTATCATACCTTTCCTGTCTGTCCTTCACTTCCCTATCTGTTCAATAAAACCACACAAAAATACAAAAGATGGTGTAATTCCCACTCCTGTAGAAAGACAAGACCTTCAGTGTTGTGTCTGTATTCTGTCATTCAGTTCAGTTCATCATGATTTAAATAGGATCATCCATTCTATCTAACCAGGATAATCCACTGTCAGTGTTGTCCAGGGAGTCATGGTGTCCATCAAAAGAACAACAACATGCTACTGTTTGACCTCATTGCTCTTTGACCACTGACCTTTAGGTCTGCTGGTGCTAAAGGAGCTGGGTATCCAGGTGGAGCGCTACGTGGCGTCGGAGGTGTGTGACGACTCCATCACGGTTGGCATCGTCAGGCATCAGGGACGCATCATGTACGTGGGCGACGTGAGGAACGTCACACGCAAACATGTGAGTCCATCATATAGTATAATGTTATGAACTGTGAGAGTAGATCAAGGCCACTCCCAATAGCCTGGCTCAAAGACGGACGCCCTAGCCACAGTCTCTCAATAAGGATATCCCAATAGCCTGGCTCAAAGACGGACGCCCTAGCCACAGTCTCTCAATAAGGATATCCCAATAGCCTGGCTCAAAGACGAACGCCCCTAGCCACAGTCTCTCAATAAGGATATCCCAATAGCCTGGCTCAAAGACGGACGCCCTAGCCACAGTCTCTCAATAAGGATATCCCAATAGCCTGGCTCAAAGACGAACGCCCTAGCCACAGTCTCTCAATAAGGATATCCCAATAGCCTGGCTCAAAGACGGACGCCCTAGCCACAGTCTCTCAATAAGGATATTACAATAGCCTGGCTCAAAGACGGACGCCCTAGCCACAGTCTCTCAATAAGGATATCCCAATAGCCTGGCTCAAAGACAAACGCCCTAGCCACAGTCTCTCAATAAGGATATCCCAATAGCCTGGCTCAAAGACGAACGCCCTAGCCACAGTCTCTCAATAAGGATATCCCAATAGCCTGGCTCAAAGACGAACGCCCTAGCCACAGTCTCTCAATAAGGATATCCCAATAGCCTGGCTCAAAGATGAACGCCCTAGCCACAGTCTCTCAATAAGGATATCCCAATAGCCTGGCTCAAAGACGAACGCCCTAGCCACAGTCTCTCAATAAGGATATCCCAATAGAGAAAGATTGTAAGGCGCCTATCAGCGAGGGTTATTACAATAGCACTTTATATGACATTACTTCAACCGCTAAAGCACAAAATGTATCTCTTAGTTGGATGATCTGTCTATTTTGTCTTTCTCATCTCATGTCCATTGTTTTCCTGTTCTCTCGCTCCCTTGGTAACAGTTACACGAATGGGGCCCCTTTGACTTAGTGATTGGTGGAAGTCCGTGTAACGACCTCTCTATTGTCAACCCAGCTAGGAAGGGTCTTTATGGTAGGTGACAACAACCCTTTTAAATGTATCACTTGTGTTCTGGGACCGGTGAATACTTATTTCCTGTAGCGGAATTTTAAATGCATGTCCTTCTCTGTCTCTCCTGTAGAGGGCACTGGTCGGCTGTTCTTTGAGTTCTACCGCCTGCTGCACGAGGCTCGGCCCAAAGAGGGCGACAACCGGCCGTTCTTCTGGCTCTTTGAAAACGTGGTGGCAATGGGTGTCAGTGACAAGAGGGACATCTCTCGCTTTCTAGAGGTTTGTTCCTTTACAGAGACTATTTAACTTCTAGAAGAACGAATTGTACTATATATCAGTCATGAAAGTCATGTATGTCAGTCATCCATTGGAATATGGATTCATGTATTATGAATGACACCTTGTGGTGATAATTGACAGTGCATGCTGTCAATATACACATTTAGTTAGGTTATGAAGGAACAATTTAAACTGTTAATTTAAAGATATGAATTGATCATTGTATGAGATTCTCCTTATACAAAATACTATCTCCAGTACATCCTTCAATTACATCCTCCGGGTCACTATTGCAAAAAAGAATGTGTTTTCAATAACTTGGTTAAATAAAGGTTAAATGAACATTCTGTCTCTCCTCTTCCAGTGTAACCCGGTGATGATCGATGCCAAGGAGGTGACTGCTGCCCACCGTGCCCGCTACTTCTGGGGCAACCTGCCTGGCATGAACAGGTTGGTGAGAGAACGGTGAGGGAAGAAACAGCCAGCCTGTCACCTAAAGCAATTTATACCTGGGCTAGTTCCTGAGCCAGTCAAACCCCGGAACCAAATAATCCTAATCACCTTTTTTATCTCTCCCCCCTCTCTTCTCTCTCTCCCTCTCTCTCTCTTCTCTCTCTCTCTCTCTCTCTCTCTCTCTCTCTCTCTTTCTCTCTTTCTCACACAATCTCGCTCTCTCGCTCTTTCTCTCTCTCTCTCACACACACCCTCTCTCTCTCTCTCTTTCTCTCTCACACACACTCTCTCTCTCTTTTACTCTCTCACACTCTCCTCTCTCACTCTCTCTCTCTGTCTCTCTCTCTCTCTCTGTCTCTCTCTCACTCTCTCTCTATCGATCTCTCTCTCTATTTTCACACATCCCTTACTTTTCCATCTCTATTCCTCTTCAGACCGTTGACGGCCATGTGCACTGACAGACTAGACCTTCAGGACTGTTTGGAGCACGGCAGAACAGCGAAGGTCAGTTATTCTTGTATTTTTGTAGCTGTGCTTTTGCTGCTGTGGCATTGACCAAATTATGCATATGGCCAAAAATATAATTTATATTATTCATTAATTTGATTAACTTAGTTCAAGATATTGTTGAGTGTGAGTACCTTTTGAACTGTCGAATGAAATGTTTGGTCATATGGACAATTTGGTCTGTAAACAATACTTGGTGATCCTATTCTCATGCACCAGCCGCTTAGTGTGTCCACCCTCTGGTTTCCCCTCAGTTTGGCAAAGTGAGGACCATCACCACTCGCTCTAATTCCATTAAGCAGGGTAAAGACCAGCACTTTCCCGTCTTCATGAACGAGAAGGAGGACATTCTCTGGTGCACTGAGATGGAGAGGTAGGAACTGATTACCTTTCAAATTATTTAATCATACCATAATTAAATGACTTTAATACGAGCAGTTTTTCACAGTGAGATACCTCTTTATTATAAAATGATTCCCTTACAGAAAGTGATAGATATGATTCCAATGTACCCTCCTATGGAGAACCTAAAGTCAATCTCACAGCAAATATAGCCCCATGTCACTCATTCTCAAGGCTCTCTTCCTCTCTTTTTCCCTCTGTATCTATCCATCTGTCTCTTGCTCTGTCTGTCTCTTGTTCCCTCTGGTGGCTGTCTGGTTACTGTCTCCCTCCCCAGGGTGTTTGGCTTCCCAGTCCATTACACAGACGTGTCCAACATGAGTCGGCTGGCCAGGCAAAGGCTTCTGGGAAGGTCGTGGAGTGTACCGGTCATCCGCCACTTGTTTGCACCACTCAAAGAATACTTTGCCTGTGTTTAACAAGACTTGGCTCAACAAACCATCACAAACATATAACTGATGTTGTAACTAGAAACATGAGCATTGGTGAAATTATACTACTCCCTGGTATCATTTCCCAGGCAAGCAAAACATCATCAACGTAAATATTTCACATTATTTCTAGTAATTTGAAATGTTCTTCTTATTCTATTTAATATGTATATGTAATTTTACCTTTTAGCAGTGTTATCCAGTGTTATTTTTTAAATTGATTTATTTGTGCAAGCTATACTTGAGACAAGGCTTTCTTCTCAAGGCACTGAGAAAGAAGTAACTAGGATCTGTGTGGTTTTTAGAATAAGGACTGGGATTGGATGATTGGAAAATATCTGAAAGAGAGTTTATGATACTGTATGTGCAGTATGTATGTGAAAGATGTTGGCTGTGTAGGCATGATTTTCTATTGGCCAATATCTGAAGTGGGTGAAGCAAGCCACCGATAGTATAGTCATGTTGTGTTTTGATTCCTCCAGCTACTGAGCCTCGCAGAGCTAAAGTGAATAAGGGTGATTTTCTTCAGTGTGACAGAAAGCTGTGTCTTAATGAATCCAAAACACCAGATCACATATACCTCTTTGTTTAAAGTTTATATACACAGTTAACTGAAGGTAAAGGTACTACTGTAAAATGGTTCCAATACCCATGGTGCTTCACGACGATAGGAAGCATCACAGTCCATGTGGCACAGGCACTACACTTTAGACAAGATGGGAATTTTAAAGATAACATCGCCTGGAAGGTTTTTTTTTTCAGTGTAATGTTTTGACTATTTAAAGAAGTTCTGTGTTATTTTAGTAACTTTAAATGATTTCAAAGTGGCGATTAATGAAGGCGTGGTGACAGAAGACTGCAGAATAATATGCCATATCCTCTTTTCTGTTTTACAGCTTTTATAAACATCAATTCTACTGGTGTTTTTTTAAAATCATTTTTCAAGCCTTGCTACATATAAACTCAGGCTCCCATGCATGCCTGTGTCTAACTCTGCACAAACAGAAAATGAAGCTAGCCACATGGGCAGTGATGTATTCTGTCGTTACAACAACAACAACAACATACCTTAAGATCAAAGTCTGTGGTGAACTACTTTTTTCAAGTTTCATCCTGACCAATGTCGTTACTGTACAACTGTTAGTGAGCATGGTGGTTGGACTGGAGGGAGGGCGGGTGGCCTGGGTTTTCCACAACAAAGTAAAGACTCTCCTTCCCTTTTCACCCCTGCAAACTACATACTGTCAGGTGCAAATCTTCTAACAATATGGTGCGGCTTCACAATGTTCTTCTACCTTTTTATAGCAATTTTGTGCTGTTTTACCAACATTATAAAGCACTTTTGATATGTATACTTCCTTTTTTTTCTTTAGTATTTTAAAATGTTTCTTCTTGGTTTTTCTTGTGAAATGTTATGTTTTTGTTTTTATGATGTAAACTGTTCTACAGCTGTGTAATACAGTATGTTTTCTATACAGTAGGGCTGTGCCAATAGAAGTGGAAGAATGGACTCATAGAATTATGTTAAATCCATGTATCCATGGAAATGATTGATTATTGATCCTACTCAATGTACAGTAGATGAATAGAAAATGATTGATGTGCCCCATTTCCATATCGTCTTCTGTTGAGAGCCGTAATTCAGTATGTCATCCTCTGGATAAAAAAAGAATGTGTCTATTTCTATTAAGATTGTAGGATTTAAAACAGAGTTAAGGAACTATGTTGTACCGTATGTTTGTAACGTTACCTTCCCAAATGTATAACAGACCGCAGATGCAATGTCCTCTGCACTTTCCTCTTGTAGACCACAAATAATTAGAAAAGGCGAGAGAGAGTGATAGAGAGACAAATTTTCAAACCATTATTACAGGGCCAGCTACAGGCATAAGGGATAGCTTATGGCCCCAGGCCGTTTTTTTTTTGGGGGGGGGGGGGACTCAGTCGGGGTCTCAACTGACTATTGAGAGTAAGAATAGTACAATACATAAGGTGCCATTTTGAAATTTGGTTGGGCATCATTCTGCAGTTTTTCTTTTGTTATGTCAGTCACTGACAGTCACTCAATTAGCCATGTCAGCTAACAATTTTTAGATTGAGTGTTAGTCTTGCCAGCTATCTATACTTGTAGTAATCATGGCCGAATACTGACCGGGCACAAAGGACACGTGCCCAGGGGTCCTGACCTCCAGGGGTCCTGACCACCAGGGGTCCTGACCTCCAGGGGTCCTGACCACCAGGGGTCCTGACCACCAGGGGCCCTGACCTCCAGGGGTCCTGACCTCCAGGGGTCCTGACCACCAGGGGCCCTGACCTCCAGGGGTCCTGACCACCAGGGGCCCTGACCTCCAGGGGTCCTGACCACCAGGGGTCCTGACCACCAGGGGTCCTGACCACCAGGGGTCCTGACCACCAGGGGCCCTGACCTCCAGGGGCCCTGACCTCCAGGGGCCCTGACCTCCAGGGGTCCTGACCTCCAGGGGTCCTGACCACCAGGGGCCCTGACCTCCAGGGGTCCCTGACCACCAGGGGCCCCCATTGATTTTGGTAGTCATTCTCACTCAGATATCATATTAGCATGGTATAAATCATGATGAATTGCAGGAAATTAGCTGTAAAACTGAAAAATTAATTCTCTGCCCCATGGCAAAATGAGTAGAATTGCATGAAATGTGTGATAAAATTGCTAAAGTTTCTCTCCACCCAATGGCAAGATGTGTAGAATTGCTGGGGATTCGTTTTAAAACTTGTGGACGATTTAGAAATGAGTTTTTCAGAACTCAAAACTGAAAGAGTGAACGGTGACTAGAAAAATACAGTAGCAGAGATGATGACTTACCAATGTTCTATCTAAAGATTTTCATAAATGTAGTTTTTCATACCTGATTAAGTTCTTAAGTGATCTTATTGTATCCTTTCCACCGTTTTAGTTGAACTTTGGCACATTGGGTTCACAGGAATCCTTGTGCGTTGTGTTGATATTGATGTTAATTCCCTTTCCCTATAGTAAATGACCATGCCCCTTGTACATTTTGTACATAGAGTTTTCCTGTCACCGTTTTTTGGTTTGTTTTGATCTTTTTGAATTACCTATGAGATGTACAAATATAATTCTTTGCTAATATATATCATGGAATTAGAAAAAAAAAAAGAAAGATTAGGTAAAAAAGAAAAGAAGAAATGAAATCAAGTAAAATAGATTTTCTTTTTTTAATCAAAATAAGCTATGAAGCATTAGAGGGCAGACTCCAAGTGTTACCTTCTAGTACTGTTAATTTGTTTTATTTAGTTTTAGTTTTTTGATGTTCTGAGTGAGTCCTGAGTGAATCCAGTTGAAATGTGTCAAGTGATCTTTAGCCTAATAATGACAGCTTTAAGATGCAACGGTCTCTACTTCACTGCACAGCCCTACATAATGTTGGTTGTTTTTGCCTTTTGTTTCTTTTTATAAGAACTATAAAGATGGATTGTAGGTGTTTCTGACGGTGCTAAATATTTTATCTAATCAAGAAAAAATATATTTGTTTTGGGAGAGAAATAAAACTTGTCTTGACAATGACTGTTTTTAACGTCCTTGTAGAAATGATGGACAAGATAAAGCACCATTATTTCACTGTCATAGGATGCATATATTAACAAAGACATTTAAACTTTGGACTTGAAAAAAATATAAATAATAAATAATAATGAGTTTCCTATATTGTTTTAGACTAGAAATTGCTGTAGTTGGTCGGTGCTTATCTGTGGGAAAAACATTTACTCCATAATGGGAAATAACAAAAAAATTAAAGCATTTCGGTAATAACTTTTACTGTAGCATAATGCATAATGTATGTTTTAAAACCTGGCATTCGCTTTGCTTCTTAATCCTACATTCCATGGCATAATATTCTGTCCTCCATGTCTTGTTTTCAATGGTCATTTTGGTTATTATTGGCAAGTGCTGTATCCCAAATGGCACCCTATTCCCTTTATAGTGCATTATATAGGGAATAGGGTGCCATTTGGGATGCTTTCCATGACATTTCACTGTTCCAATGCATCAGACAGGTCAGTCTGTGTGACTTTTTATTTTGTGTCTTATTAATTGTTTTATGGCCTATGTTCTTCGTCTTTAAGATGATAATCTGTGCATACAGCAAATGTAGCAGTAATTCTCCACCCTTTACCCAATACTTATGTTTTAGTGACCAGAAATAAGAAAAAGGCTCCTTATGTATTTGTGCTGGAGAACACTTGAATAAATGTATTGTTTTTGTGCAAAAATATGATAGCTCTTGTTATTCTTCACCTGTACCCGGAATAAATTGGAACCGTACAAAATCTGGTCACTATTATTGATCATGTTCCTTGGTCCCATAACAACATACTGCACCTATGGAACCATTGTTGCACATCTATACTAAAGGAAAAGCTAAAGCCTACTTTTAAACCGTTTTAGAAATCTTTTAAAAGTACTTTAAAATCTCAGAGACACATTTTTATTTGAACAGTATAAAAGGTAATAGTTTGTTGGCTCTGCTATTGCTCACGTCACCCTGCATTTTCTCACACATTTAAGGCCTAATGACTGCTACTAATAATAATAATCTGTGTTTGTAGTGTTTATTATAGCCTAATGTGTTCTCTTGTGTTCATAAGGATTACATAAACCTTCAATATGAATAGTATACTTTATGATTAAGAAATAATGTGTATTGTTATTTATAGGCTGTCTAATGAGTTTATGGCCTCCTGTCCATGATCATTCCTTTCCCGATGAGGTCCCGTGGGGCTCAGTTGGTAGAGCATGGTGCTTGTAATGCCAGGGTTGTGGGTTCTATTCCCACGGGGGACCAGTACAAAAAAATTATGAAAACGTATGCGCTCTGGATAAGAGTGTCTGCTAAAATGTAATCACAGTTCACACCAAATATTGACAAGATATTCGAGTGACCGCTCTAACAATGGAAATACATGTCCTCAAAGATGGAAGGCTAGCTGGAGGAGGTGAGATCAGGTGGGACCTTTCTATAATATGCCATTTTAGCAGACGCTTTTATCCAAAGCGACTTACAGTCATGCGTGCATAATTTTTTGTGTATGGGTGGTCCCGGGGATCGAACCCACTACCTTGGCGTTACAAGCGCCGTGATCTACCAGCTGAGCTACAGAGGACCACATTAGCCAATGACAGGGCAGATATGTGTGCGAACAACAGGCCATAGAGGACTCATTTGTGACACATTCTGTATTTTGTGACCATGGGCAGCGCCATTGAGGCTATTTCCAAGTAGTCTATTTTCTTCTTCTTCACTGATTGATTGCTCCCAACTCATAGGAATCCCCACCCAGTTGACTACTTTAAAATGGTGGAAGCCCTCAATGGTAATGTCCATGCTAAAATGGGTTATATTGACTACAGCTTAGCCTTCAACAACATAGTACCCTCCAAGCTCATCATTAAGCTTGAGGCCTGGGTCTGAATCCCGCCCTGTGCAACTGGGTCCTGGACTTCCTGAAGGGCCGCCCCCCAGGTGGTGAAGGTATGCAACAACACCTCCACTACGCTGATCCTCAACACAGGGGCCCCACAAGGGTGCGTGCTCAGCCCCCTTCTGTGCTCCCTGTTCAGCCATGACTGCGTGGCCACACATGTCTCCAACTCAATCATCAAGATTGCAGACTGCACAACAGTGGTAGGTCTGATTACCAACAACAACGAGACAGCCTACATGGAAGAGGTGAGGGCCCTGGCGGAGTGGTACCAGGGAAATAACCTCTCCCTCAATGTCAACAAAACGAAGGAGCTGATCGTGGACTTCAGGAGACAGCAGAGAGAGCACGCCCCCATCCACATCGACCATAGTGGAGAAGGTGAAAAGCTTCAAGTTCCTCGGGGGAAAACACGTCACTGACAATCTGAAATGGTCCACCCATTGAGAGCATCCTGTAGGGCTGTATCACCGCCTGGTATGGCAACTGCACCGTCCGCAAACACAGGGCTTGCCAGAGGATGGTGCGGTAAGCCCAACGCATTATCGGGGGCACACTGCCTGCCCTCCAGGACGTCTACAGCATCCGGTGTTACAGGAAGGCCAAGAAGATCATCAAGGACCTCAGCCACCCGAGCCACGGCTTGTTCACCCCGCTACCATCCAGAAGACGAGGTCAGTACAGGTGCATCAAAGCTGGGACCGAGAGACTGAAAAACAGATTCTATCTCAAGGCTATCAAACTGTTAAATAGTCACCACTAGCCGTCTTCCTCCCAGTACCCTGCCCTGACCTTTAGTCACTGTCGCTAGCCGGCTACCACCCGGTTACTCTACCATGCACTTTAGAGACTGCTGCCCTATGTACAAAGTCATAGAACATTGGTCACTTTAATAATGTTTACATACTGTTTTACCCACTTCATATGTATATACTGTATTCTAGGCAATACCTATCCTATTAAACTATTGCTGTACATATACTATTCTTCAGATATACTACATATTCTATCCATATACTGTCCATATGTCTATACATCCCATCACACACACACACACATATATATATATATATATATATATATATATATATATATATACTCTGGACCACTGACATTGCTCTCCCTAATATTTCTATATTTCTTCATTCTATTCTTTAACTTTTTAGATTTGTGTGTATTGTTAGATATTACTGCACTGTTGTAGCTAGGAACACAAGCATTTTGCTACCCACAATAACATCAGCTAAATATGTGTATGTGATCAATAAAATTTGATTTGATTTGATATCCCATGATGAGTCCTCTATCTATCTCTAGGACAACAGGCACAACTCCGATATAAAGACGGGTTTTTTTTAAGTTGCCGAAATGCCTCATGCGTCCACTTATATTATTAGTACATTCGTAACAACCTAACCGTTACGAAACTTCTATTCGATCACATAAGCCTCACGTAGCAAATTAGCAATTACATTTTTTGTTGACCAAATTCGACACTCGTTGACCTACATACAAAAATTCCTCACTTCGTGGGTGGGTTTATTTTCGTGGACAGATTTTGGGCGGAGTAAAACCTCTCGCTTCGCCTCTTCCTCTCTGTTCACACACACTTCCTGCAATAATGGTACAGCCCCCTCCAAGTGGATACGCCCTAAGTGCATACTGATTGGTTCCTCTGGTGGCCGACTCTGTGTTCTCTACCGGGGATTGGAGCGTCTGCACGTTGCACGGGCTTGGATGCTGTGACCGGAGGTTGAGAAGCCTGGATTCTGCTCGCTGTCTAACGCAAGTGTTCGTCTCATTCAACGGATTGGTGCTGTTGTAGGCTATCAGAAAGGAACCAAAAAGGCGTTTTGGAGAGGTATGTGGAACGAGGTTGTGATATGCAACCTTAGCATACAGTTATGTACTAAGAACAAAGTGAAGAGGCTTTGATTTGGGGACCCAGACTGTGCGCTGTGCGGGTGTAGTCTATGGATCGGCCCTAGACAACGATACTTGCTTTATGTGGATACTTTGTTTCTCATGCTGACTGACTGAATGTCTTGTAAATTTCTGATTCTGCCATCCTGATTCCTTTTGTGCCATCATTAGCTTTTGTTGGGTGATCGAAATTATAACCTAGTAGGCTATAGGCTACCGGTAGACAGCATATGGAACTCAAGACAGGGAACGTAAGTGCTATAGCTATCTATCCAATTGCACTTGCTATGAATTTGGCCCATCGATTTCTAGGTTGCAGGTGCAACATTATATTTTAGGCTGTGGGATGGAAGAGACTGTTTGTTAATATAGCGTGTGCCATTATTATGGGAGGGAGGGAGGGTTTGGAGAATGATGTATCCTGAGGGATGAAGGCCGATGTTTCTTTGTGTCAAGTGGGATGTGCGATGTATTATTGTTGATCTATGATGTATTATAGTAAATTAAATGAATGTTCTTATTTGTTATAGAATATAATTTAGGTTCTACCCTATAACAGGTGTATAAACGTTGGAATGGCTATCATTTATGTGTGTATCAATCTGTGACGTTTCAAACTCCATGACCAATTGTCCAAATGTCCAACGACGTATCCACGTTAGCTACTGTCATTTCTATGTTTGTGTCAATTTTGTGAAATATCCTATAGACAGTATTTGTAATAGACTTAGGTCCGACAATATATTAGGCTAGTCTACACTAGACAACCTGTTGGTACCTATTATTTCTGCAGTAGCCTAATTATTTGTGCTCCACCCTAAAATGTGTATTTTTTAAGTAGCCTGTATTTGTTTCTATTCTATCCGTGGAAGGCATATTGTTGTAACTTCATTCGTTCATTAATTATACATCATAAAACACTCAGTCAGATGTGGGTCAGCCAGTAGAAGTGATGGATAACAAATGGTTGGTGCATATTCTCTCCCTCCCTCCCATATTTCAAAATGAAGATGTGATCAGCTGTCTGCCTTTAAAATTGGCCTAGATTTGCATCTGAGCATGCATGTTCAAGATGTCATCTAGCCAACATTGTATATAGATGATCTCAGCTCCCTATCTGGAGCCATGAGGAGAGAGAGCATGTGGTAAATTTGCCAGCTGCCGCACCCACACACGTAGGCATGGTGCACAGTCTGCACACACCCTCACTGTGCATGGAGAACGCATACACTCCCACACCCACCACGTCTCACACCATGCACAGACACGAGGGGGAAGAGGGGGGAGTCCCCTGGGGGATATTTATCATATTATTCAAAAAAATTGTATTGTATTGGAAAATGTGAATATCTTAACGTTCTGATGAGGCAGTAGATCCCTCTATGTCCTGCACCACAGTACACCTGTAAGGGATGGTGTGAAGTGTGACCCAGGTGCGGTGCAGGATAGACAGTAGGCAGTAGGCAGAGATGGTGAAACAAGGATCTTTACTGATGGTCCCGAAGCCAGGATACAAAATAACGGACTATACACGAAAAAGAAATGAGGAGCACATAGGTCTCCAAAAAACAGGCTGACAGCAAACAATACGAAATACTACCTCTGACTGGAAAAACACAATGACACAGGGAGAACACTTCTCAAGTACCTGTCCATACATCTTGCGATCAGACTCTGATTAGTACTGCTTGGCATATTGAAACTAGCAGAGAAAACAGAGCAAGGGAACACAGGGAAGTGAGGGCATAAATACACAGGTGAACAGGTAGACACAGGTGACACCAATAGGATACTGATTAGTCCAGACTGTGAGTGAGGAGGTGCCTAAGGTTGTCGGAGGAGGACACCTAGTGGATCGCTCCGGAACTGCGACCCTCTCCTATAACAGTACCACAGTACACCTGCAGCTGTACCACAGTACACCTATACAGTATGTATGTACAGGTTCAGTTTATGTGTGCTACATTTTGGTTTTAGAATAATACAAAAATAATGTAATTGTGTAATGGATAATAATAATTTAATATTGTGTAATGGACAGAAACCAGTGTGTGACTTGTTGAACAGTTTTAGTCCAGCCCAGACAGACAGACAGACAGACAGCTAAGGGGTGTTTGGTTATACTCAGTGACATAGACAGACAGACAGACAGCTAAGGGGTGTTTGGTTATACTCAGTGACATTGACAGACAGACAGACAGCTAAGGGGTGTTTGGTTATACTCAGTGACAGACAGACAGCTAAGGGGTGTTTGGTCAACTCAGCGACAGACAGACAGACAGACGGACAGACAGTTAAGGGGTGTTTGGTCATACTGAGCGACAGACAGACAGACAGACAGACAGGCAGGCAGACAGACAGACAGACAGACAGACAGGCAGGCAGACAGACAGACAGACAGACAGAAGGGGTGTTTGGTCATACTGAGCGACAGACAGACAGACATCTAAGGGGTGTTTGGTCATACTCAGCGACAGACAGACAGACAGACAGCTAAGGGGTGTTTGGTCATACTCAGTGACAGACACAGCCTCCGAGTCAAGTCTGCTAGTTGATGTCACAGCAGCCTGGCCAGGCCAAGCTGAGAACACAATATTTGTTGTGTTATAGCTTGTTTTAGAACAGCGATTCATTTGTGTTCTTCAATGGGTCCCTCCCTCCTCGTCTGAATGTAATGCCAATGACAGATAGTAGTACCATAGCTTGTATATGCCAAGTTGTAGTTGAAGTGTTGTGGTATTGCTGGTCAGGAAACTTATACCATTCTCCATGAGAGTGAAAAGTGATTTCTCATCTGCGTGTCTCTCTTTCAGAGAAAATATGCAGAGGTAAAAACATGTATTTTTCTTCTACAATGTCCATTTTGGGGCTGTAACTCCCTGTACCACAAGTGAGAAAAGTACCGTTCTCTTCTCTCTTCCAGAGCCATCATGTCTTCCAGTTCAGCGACAACCAGGATCCTGATCAAGGGTGGCAAGGTGAGTGTGTTGTGTTGACTGTTGTTGTTGTGGTTGTTGATGGTGGTGGTGAAGATCCCAGTGGGATTTAAACATTTTCTGGTATGTGTTCATCTAAAATAAATCACTGGGGAGTATTACAGAGTTGCGGATATTACCTGTTTCATTATTCATTTTTTTCTGTCCAGCACCTGATTCTGTCCAGCACCTGATTCTGTCTAGCACCTGATTCTGTCCAGCACCTGATTCTGTCTAGCACCTGATTCTGTCTAGCACCTGATTCTGTCCAGCACCTGATTCTGTCTAGCACCTGATTCTGTCCAGCACCTGATTCTGTCCAGCACCTGATTCTGTCTAGCACCTGATTCTGTCTAGCACCTGATTCTGTCTAGCACCTGATTCTGTCTAGCACCTGATTCTGTCTAGCACCTGATTCTGTCTAGCACCTGATTCTGTCTAGCACCTGATTCTGTCCAGCACCTGATTCTGTCTAGCACCTGATTCTGTCCAGCACCTGATTCTGTCCAGCACCTGATTCTGTCTAGCACCTGATTCTGTCCAGCACCTGATTCTGTCCAGCACCTGATTAGTGCATATTTTTCCCACCAGGTGGTGAACGATGACCTGACGCAGGAGGCAGACGTCTACATTGAGAACGGCATCATCATGCAGGTGGGGGAGGGGCTGATGATCCCGGGAGGGGCCAAGGTGATTGACGCTTCTGGGAAACTGGTCCTCCCCGGGGGGATCGACACCAGTGTGCACCTCCAGCAGACTTTCATGAATGCTACCACCGTGGATGACTACTACAGCGGCACCAAGGTATGTGCTGTCTGTATGGCCTTCAGGAGTCCTGTCTGTGAGGTTGAGAGAGAAAAACACTGCTATAGGCATTACCCTCAATAACCCAGCGCTATAGGCATTACCCTCAATAACCCAGCGCTGTAGGCATTACCCTCAATAACCCAGTGCTGTAGGTATTACCCTCAATACCCAGTGCTGTAGGCATTACCCTCAGTACCCCAGTGATGTAGGCATTACCCTCAATAATCCAGTGCTGTAGGTATTACCCTCAATAACCCAGTGATGTAGGCATTACCCTCAATAATCTAGTGCTGTAGGTATTACCCTCAATAACCTAGCGCTGTAGGCATTACCCTCAATAACCCAGTGTGGTGGACATTACCCTCAATAATCCAGTGATGTAGGTATTACCCTCAATAACCCAGCGCTGTAGACATTACCCTCAATAATCCAGTGATGTAGGTATTACCCTCAATAACCCAGCGCTGTAGGCATTACCCTCAATAACCCAGTGTGGTGGACATTACCCTCAATAATCCAGTGATGTAGGTATTACCCTCAATAACCCAGCGCTGTAGGCATTACCCTCAATAATCCAGTGATGTAGGCATTACCCTCAATAATCCAGTGATGTAGGCATTACCCTCAATAATCCAGTGATGTAGGCATTACCCTCAATAACCCAGCGCTGTAGGCATTACCCTCAATAATCCAGTGATGTAGGCATTGCCCTCAATAATCCAGTGATGTAGGCATTACCCTCAATAATCCAGTGCTGTAGGCATTACCCTCAATAACCCAGTGATGTAGGCATTACCCTCAATAATCCAGTGCTGTAGGTATTACCCTCAATAACCCAGTGATGTAGGCATTACCCTCAATAATCCAGTGCTTGCTCTTTGGGGATTAAGGCAGAGTTACTTGTTGTTGTAAAAATGGCTGTATCATTCAACTTTGATTAATTGATTTTAGGACTGGCATTACTCTCTCTCTCTCTCTCTTTCTCTCTCTCTCTGTATTTTGGTAGAAACCTGCGGCAAAGTTGGACTAGCAAAGCCAAATACTCAGCTACAACAATGACATTCCCAGTGGGAAGAACAGGTTGCAATAACATCATTACTACGATGCCCTCTGGGAATTTGGCAATACATTATACTAATAGGTCATTGCAATGATGAACTGTCAAATGTAATGGTAGCAACTATTGTTAGAGAAGGTAATATATAGGTTTTGTACAGCAACGAGAGTCAATATGGTGGTATGGGAAGACAGAGATATAGTTACCATGCACCAATTGATAATGATAATTGACCCAGCCTTGTGGGAAACTAACAACCATCTGTCAGACATATTCCACCTCACTGTAACCCACTGGACCACAATGTTCCACCATGGCAACTAATTAAACGAATCTTCCCAGTGTGCCTTGCAGCGTGAGAAAATAACTTCAGATTTTGTGTGGAGACAGACTCCTGAATCCTTCCTTCCTGAATCCCATGTCGACCCTTGGTCCCTCATCCCCACATCCCCACACACTCCTGGAGATCTGGATAGAAGGCCAAAATCCCACTCAACCTCTCAGAATGCAAATTGAAGTGATTACCATATTGCCAATCAACTACCAATTCTCTTTGATCTACAGAAGTAGCTAGGGGCTAGGGGTTGATTAGGGATTCAGGGAGAGTGTAAGAAATAATCAGATAACTAATATTAAACCGGGCGTGGTTAGGACTCAGAGATGCTGCATTTATTTAGACAAAGATAGTGGATGCATAATTCTGCTGACTGAAGTTAGATATGATACATTATTCTCTGTTGTTCTGAGTCCTCTTTATTTTATTACATAACTCACTTCCCCCATCAATGATTTATATAGATGATGTGGCAGAAAGCTGTGGAAGCTGTAGCAGGGTGTGCTGTCTCCTGATGCAGTCAGACAGCAGGGCACTGAACATACCGGAAATAATTCCATTCTATTCTGTTCTATTTCATTCTATTCTGTTCAGTTCTATTCAGTTCTATTCTGTTCTATCCTGTTCTATTCTGTTCTCTTCTATTCTGTTCTGTTCTATTCAGTTCTATTCTATTCCATTCTATTCTATTCAGTTCTATTCAGTTCTATTCTGTTCTATCCTGTTCTATTCTGTTCTGTTCTATTCTGTTCTGTTCTATTCTGTTCTGTTCTATTCTGTTCTATTCTATTCTGTTCTGTTCTGTTCTGTTCTATTCTGTTCTGTTCTGTTCTGTTCTATTCTGTTCTGTTCTGTTCTATTCTGTTCTGTTCTATTCTATTCTATTCAGTTCTATTCAGTTCTATTCTGTTCTATCCTGTTATATTCTGTTCTGTTCTATTCTGTTCTGTTCTGTTCTATTCTGTTCTGTTCTGTTCTATTCTGTTCTATTCTGTTCTATTCTATTATGTTCTGTTCTATTCTGTTCTGTTCTATTCTGTTCTGTTCTGTTCTATTCTGTTCTGTTCTGTTCTATTCTGTTCTATTTTATTCTATTCTAGCAGGGCACTGAACAGACGGAAGAGAGAAGATGGTGAGAGAGAGAGAGAGAGGGGAGAGGGAGAGAGAGAGAGAGAGAGAGAGAGAGAGAGAGAGAGAGAGAGAGAGAGAGAAAGACAGATAGAAAGACAGAGAGAGAGAAAGAGAGAGAGAGAAAGAGAGAGAGAAAGATCATTATAATATTCTTATTTTATTACTATTTTATCACTATTTTATATTATTATTATTCAATATTGTTTTCTTACAATGTATATTGTATACATTGTTGCTATGGCAATATTGACTCAATGTTTTTCATGTCAATAAAACAGCTTAAATTTGAATTTGAGAGAGACAAAGAGAGACAAAGAGAGAAGGAGATGGAGAAAGAGACAGACAGATGAGGGAAAGAGAGAGAGACAGAGATACAGAGAGGGAGAGAGAGAGAGAGGTGGTGGTGGGGGTGGGGCTGGGGCTGGGGCAGCGAGCGGACTGAGACTGGGGCTATCCCAGATCACTTCAGGGCATGGATGACTCATCCATCATCATGCTCTACCACCCAGAGATAACACACAGCGTATGAGAGCATTGCTGTGTTTTAGACATTGACCACAAGCTAGCCAAGGATATGTTATCTTTCTGCTAATCTGGGGTTGGCAGACCCTGGTGATACAGGCAACATTCTCTGCCCTCCACTCCTCCTCCCCTCCCTCCCCTCTTCCCTCCACCCTCTCCCCCCCCCCCCCCACACACACACTATAGCTGCTGCCATGCTGCCTGGCTAAAGTACCAAGACAAATGCAGATCGGTTTCTGTTTCCATGGCTACCGTGGGGCTGCTGCAAAGACTGCTGCAAAAAGCCATTTTGCTTGAAGACAATAGTTCTCAAACACACTACACTAGACACGCTTATAACCCATACCAGACACTCCTCCACTCTCTCTAGGGTCAGCTGACTCAAATATGCTATTTGGAGGATGCACTTAGCTACACACAGTAACAGACTAAGTTGGTGTTTTAAAGGATGTAATATAGGAGGTATTTTGTTGTTTTACATCAGTATCAACCTGGTTTTATAAGGATTTAGAACATGTAATGGAGCAGTAGTGAAGCTTTCATACATCGGAATCTATGAATATAGAAATGTATCCTATAGAATAATATTTGAAATGTTTGACTATTATGATGGCCATACAATGCATTGTTCATTTCTACATTTTGGATCTAGTATGTCTGCCTCTGCTTGGATAGCTGATTGATGTCCTTGTTGTAATAAACAATGAGAGGACTGACAGCTGCTTGATATACATTAGCTAGCTCACTGACCATCATTATGACTGTAATACCTGGGTTGGGTTACCTCCCTGTCCCCTTCCCTGGTTCTAATCTAGTTACTGATAGATGTATGGGTTTTCCATGTGTGCGTTCCAAATGGCACCCTAGTTCCTATATAGAGCCCTGCTTTTGACCAGGGTCCATAGGTGGTCCGTAGTACACGGAATAGGGTGCCATTTGCAGTCTATAACATCCACCCAGCAAATAAACATTAAGACCAACATTAAGACCAACGTTAAGACCAACGTTAAGACCAACGTTAAGACCAACGTTAAGACCAACGTTAAGACCAACATTAAGACCAACATTAAGACCAATATTAAGGCCAACGTTAAGACCAACGTTAAGACCAACGTTTAGGCCAACGTTAAGACCAACATTAAGACCAACATTAAGACCAACATTACTAACTAACTAGATGTGAGGCTACGAGGCCTAGAGGTAATGTGTGTGTCCTCTACTACAACCTATGCTGCCCAGCATCTTATAGGTGACAACGTTTCCACTACTTAGGTCCCATTCTTTTTTATGAAGACCTGCTATAAATACATTGAATGTGCATATGTCATCTTTTTCTATTCTGTCTACAGGCTGCGCTGGCTGGAGGGACCACCATGGTTATAGGACATGTGTTACCGGAGAAGAACCAATCTCTGCTGGAAGCCTACGAGAAGACCCGCTCCCAGGCTGACAGTAAAGCCTGCTGCGATTACGCACTGCATATGGGGGTCACCTGGTGGGGGCCCAAGGTAACTGTCACACTCCTTTGATAACTGGTGTTTGATGGTATTATACCCTTTTCCATTTTACTGAGCTAAGATGAACCAAACAGAGCCGATCTCTACTGCACTGGCCTGATTACACATCCATATTAGTTGCTGGATCTGTGCTGGAAAAGACATTGTGAAAGAAAGATATCCAAGCCAGCATAGTACAATTCAGATAGGCACGATAATATGAAAAGGTATGACTCCTGACTGTGTTCATCTTGTACAGGTGAACTCTAAACTCTACCCTCTGACCTGTAGGTGCGAGCTGAGATGGAGAGCCTGGTGAGAGATAAAGGCATCAACTCTAACCTCTACCCTCTACCCTCTGACCTGTAGGTGCGAGCTGAGATGGAGAGCCTGGTGAGAGATAAAGGCATCAACTCTAACCTCTAACCTCTGACCTGTAGGTGCGAGCTGAGATGGAGAGCCTGGTGAGAGATAAAGGCATCAACTCGTTCCAAATGTTCATGGCCTATAAGGACCTGTTCATGCTGAGGGACTCCGAGCTCTTCCAGGCCCTACAGAACTGTAAGGACATCGGGGCTGTGGCCCGTGTATTCGCTGAGAACGGAGAGCTGGTGGCCGAGGTGGGTCAGAGACTCTGGTTCAATATGTAGTTCTATATCCCTGAATTTTCTTCCATTGTTTCTTTGATCAGAAATACATTCTCGGTAATGATTCAGATTTAGATTTAAAAAACATGTATGTTCTCAATGAGGCAAGTCATTTGCAGCAACCACAATACATACAAACTAAATCACATTTTTACTAATTACTAGAATGGACATTCAACATTACGTGATGGATGGACCGGCGGAACATATTTAGTGTACATTCTATTTCTATGGGTGATGCACCACATACACCAGGATTCATGACATCCTCCTGTGTGTTTTCTAGGGTGCCAAGGAGGCATTGGACCTGGGCATCAGCGGCCCTGAGGGCATCGAGATCAGCAGACCAGAGGAGGTAAGACCAATGAAATTCAATCAATCAAATGTATTTTATAAAGTCCTTTTTACATCAGCAGTTGTCACAAAGTGCTTTCCAGATACCCAGCCTAAAACCCCAAAGTGACTCTTGTAGCCTGTACTCATATCCGACCACATACTCCCTTATCTTTCTTTCATTACTTCATAGACATCGATGGAATACGTTTCTATTAGACCTGCACCATCAAAATATTGTAATGACCCTAGCGTTATGGATATCAGCCCTTCATAATATGGTAATGACCCTAGCGTTATGGATATCAGCCCTTCATAATATTGTAATGACCCTAGCGTTATGGATATCAGCCCTTCATAATATTGTAATGACCCTAGCATTATGGATATCAGCCCTTCATAATATTGTAATGACCCTAGCGTTATGGATATCAGCCCTTCATAATATTGTAATGACCCTAGCGTTATGGATATCAGCCCTTCATAATATTGTAATGACCCTAGCGTTATGGATATCAGCCCTTCATAATATTGTAATGACCCTAGCGTTATGATATCAGCCCTTCATAATATTGTAATGACCCTAGCGTTATGGATATCAGCCCTTCATAATATTGTAATGACCCTAGCGTTATGATATCAGCCCTTCATAATATTGTAATGACCCTAGCGTTATGGATATCAGCCCTTCATAATATTGTAATGACCCTAGCGTTATGGATATCAGCCCTTCATAATATTGTAATGACCCTAGCGTTATGGATATCAGCCCTTCATAATATTGTAATGACCCTAGCGTTATGGATATCAGCCCTTCACAATATTGTAATGACCCTAGCGTTATGGATATCAGCCCTTCATAATATTGTAATGACCCTAGCGTTATGATATCAGCCCTTCATAATATTGTAATGACCCTAGCGTTATGGATATCAGCCCTTCATAATATTGTAATGACCCTAGCGTTATGGATATCTTCCCTTCATATTTTAATGACTTTTTGAGCAGCGTCTTATGCTACTCACCACAATATTCTGTTGTTTCTTCTGTCTCACAGCTGGAGGCAGAGGCCACCCATCGGGCGATCACCATCGCCAATAGGGTGAGTGTGTGTTCTGTGTCAAGTTGTTGCATTTTCTTTATCGTCAAGTACATCAGCACAGTGGTACACCACATGACCAAAAGTATGTGAACACTTGCTTGTCGAACATCTCATTCCAAAATCATGGGCATTAATATGGAGTTGGTCCCCTCTTTGCTGCTATAACAGCCTCCACTCTTCTGGGAAGGCTTTCCACTAAATGTTAGAACATTGCTGCGGGGACTTGCTTCCATTCAGCCACAAGAGCATTAGTGAGGTCGGGCACTGATGTTGGGCAATTAGGCTTGGCTCACAGTCGGCGTTCCAATTCATCCCAAAGGTGTTTGATGGAGTTGAGGTCAGGTCTCTGTTCAGGCCAGTCAAGTTCTCCCACACTGATCTCGACAAACCATTTCTGTATGGACCTCGCTTTGTGCACGGGGGCATTGTCATGCTGAAACAGGAAAGGGCCTTCCCCAAACTGTTGCCACAAAGTTGGACGCACAGAATCGTCTAGAATGTCATTGTATGCTGTAGCGTTAAGATTTCCCTTCACAAGAACTAAGGGGCTTAGCCCGAACCATGAAAAACAGCCCCAGACCATTATTCCTCCTCCACCAAACTTTACAGTTGGCACTATGAATTCGGGCAGGAAACGTTCTCCTGGCATCCGCCAAACCCAGATCCGTCCGTCGGACTGCCAGATCACACCAGAGAATGCATTTCCACTGCTCCAGAGTCCAATGGCAGCTGGCATTACACCACTCCAGCTGACGCTTGTCATTGTGCATGGTGATCTTAGGCTTAGGCTGCTCGGCCATGGAAACCCATTTCATAAAGCTCCCGACAGTTCTTGTGCTGACATTGCTTCTAGAGGCAGTTTGGAACTCAGTAGTGAGTGTTGCAACCGAGGACAGACGGTTTTTACGCGTTTCAGCACTCGGCGGTTCCGTTCTGTGAGTTTGTGTGGCCTACCACTTCACGGCTGAGAATTGTTGCTCCTAGACGTTTCCACTTCACAATAACAGCACTTACAGTTGACCCAGGCAGCTCTAGCAGGGCAGACATTTTACGAACTGACTTGTTGGAAAGGTGGCATCCTATGACGGTGCCACGTTGAAAGTCACTGAGCTCTTCAGTAAGGCCATTCTACTTCCAATGTTTGTCTATGGAGATTGCATGGCTGTGTGCTCGATTTTATACACCTGTCAGCAACGGGTGTGGCTGAAATAGCCAAATCCACTATTTTTAAGGGGTGTCCACATACTTTTGTATATATAGTGTAACTGATCAGGAAATACCCTGCCATATCTGGAAAAAGTCCTGCATTTGGCAAGGGCAATGGTTTATCTGGTGAAAGCAAATGAAACTCTTTCTAAGATATATTGTCTCTCTCTCTGTCATTCTCCCTCAGGCCCACTGCCCGATCTACCTTGTCAACGTGTCCAGCATGTCAGCAGGAAATGTGCTCGCCACAGCCAAGATGCAGGGTAAGGCCAAGGCATATCCTGTCCTGTTCTGTCCTGTCCTGTTCTGTTCTGTTCTGTCCTATCCTTATCCTAGCTTGTCCTGTTCTGTCCTACCCTGTCCTGTCCTTTCCACTCCTATCCTATTATTTTCTGTCCTGTCAGATCAGAGATTACTTTTCATGTGGTTTGTTACCCACTGCTGGCTTGGTCTGGGCTGATCTTCACTACAAATGTGTTTTGGAACCCCATCCCTGTCTGTCTGTCTGTCTGTCTTGTACAGTAACTGGGTTCATACAGATCCATAGATAGTTATGTGTAGTGTGTACACACTTAATGATCTGTCTGTAGGTAAAGTAGTCCATGGGGAGACCACCACGGCACATGCGGTGCTGAACGGCCTGCAGTACTACCACCAGGACTGGGCCCATGCTGCAGCCTACGTCACAGTGCCTCCTCTACGCCTGGACCCAAACACACCCAACTACCTGATGAGTCTACTGGGGAAGTAAGAGCACACACACACACACACACACACACACACACACACACACAACTACCTGATGAGTCTACTGGGGAAGTAAGAGCACACACACACACACACACACACACACACACACACACACACGCACACACGCACACACACACACAACTACCTGATGAGTCTACTGGGGAAGTAAGAGCACACACACACACACACACACACACACACACACACACACACACACACACACACACACAACTACCTGATGAGTCTACTGGGGAAGTAAGAGCACACACACACACACACACACACACACACACACACACACACACACAACTACCTGATGAGTCTACTGGGGAAGTAAGAGCACACACACACACACACACACACACACACACACACCCAACTACCTGATGAGTCTACTGGGGAAGTAAGAGGGGCACATTGCCTTTGTAATCTGCTAAAGGTGTTTAATGTTTGAGCCGACAGCCGCAACTGTGATGTCCCGGAATGTCGGGGAATTGTCATTAGAATTATATCGTAAATCTACGTTGGATTGAATCCAGGCACCAGTCTGTTGGCATTCAATGATATAATCCAGGCACCAGTCTGTTGGCATTCAATGATATAATCCAGGCACCAGTCTGATGGCGTTCAATGATAAAATCCAGGCACCAGTCTGTTGGCGTTCAATGATATAATCCAGGCACCAGTCTGATGGCGTTCAATGATATAATCCAGGCACCAGTCTGTTGGCGTTCAATGATATAATCCAGGCACCAGTCTGTTGGCGTTCAATGATATAATCCAGGCACCAGTCTGTTGGCGTTCAATGATATAATCCAGGCACCAGTCTGTTGGCATTCAATGATATAATCCAGGCACCAGTCTGTTGGCGTTCAATGATATAATCCAGGCACCAGTCTGATGGCGTTCAATGATATAATCCAGGCACCAGTCTGATGGCATTCAATGATATTATTACGTTTCATCTAAATTTCCCCCCTGACCCGTCCTCTCCTCCTTCTCTCTGGTCTTTAACAGTGACACTCTGAACATTGTGTTATCAAATCAAAGTGAATGAAATGATGGTGTGTGTGTGTTTCCCCTGACCTATCCTCTCCTCCCTCTCTCTTGCCTACTACAGTGACACTCTGAACGTAGTGGTGTCTGACCACCGTCCCTTCACCACTAAACAGAAGGCTATGGGCAAGGATGACTTCACAAAGATCCCCCACGGAGTCCCCGGCATCCAGGACCGCATGAGCGTCATCTGGGAGAGAGGAGTGGTAGGCAAAGATATAAATATTATTATAGTATCTCTGTCTAGGCTAAGATAGAAATAGTATTATAGTATCTCTGTCTAGGCAAAGCTCTGTGCTCTACGACCAGATGGCTAAAAAAAAGACAAACATGTATCTCTATGTATGAAGGCAAAGCTCTACGGCTGGATAGAAAACAGAAAACATCTGCTGTTGTTATTGCTGTAACTAACTTACTATGGTGCAGACAGAAATGTATCTGTTGCAATATTTGTTGTGCATGGTCCCTGACTAATACATATGCTGTTTGATTCTAGTGGTAAACATCTTGATAACATAATTTCTCCCTCCCTCCCTCTCCCTCTCCTCCTCCCTCCCTCCCGCTCCCTCTCCCCCTCCCTCCCTCTTCCTCTACCTCTGACATGGAACATTTTGATCCCCTGCTAATCTAGGTCGGAGGCAAGATGGACGAGAACCGTTTTGTTGCGGTGACCAGCTCCAACGCAGCTAAGATCTACAACCTTTACCCCAGGAAGGGTAGGATCATCCCAGGGGCTGACGCTGACGTGGTGGTCTGGGACCCAGAAGGGACCAGGTATGTAAAGCTATTCACTATACACACTATACACTCACTCCCTCCCTCCTCACTACTACCGCTACATCAACCCTTTACCCCCTGGGGGATGTTAAGATTTAACCCTCTGGGGGATGTTAAGGTTTAACCCTCTGGGGGATGTTAAGGTTTAACCCCCTGGGGGATGTTAATGTTTAACCCCCTTGTGGATGTCAAGGTTTAACCCTCTGGGGGATGTTAAGATTTAACCCCCTGGGGGATGTTAATGTTTAACCCCCTTGTGGATGTCAAGGTTTAACCCTCTGGGGGATGTTAAGGTTTTCCTTTGATAGTGCAATAATAATATACCTCTTTCCAGATGCTTTTATCCAAAATCACTCAGGCCAGGATTCAATGCAAGGCGCAACATGAATGTGATGAATGTGCACTATAACAGACATTTAAAGATAATTTACATGTGTCCCAACATGAATGTGATCCCTGTGAATGTCGGGGAAAAAGCCTTTAAAAGGCACATTGTCGGCTGTCGAGTGCGTTGGGCTACAACGCGCCTTGCATTGAATTCGGCCTTACGGTAACAGTGAGTGAATAAATGTTCTGCCCATGATCCATGCAAGAATTGAACCTACCATGCTGGTGTTACTAGCGTTCTTCCCAGCTGAGCCACACCAATAACAGTAGCAGGTGTGAAGAAGCCATGTTTCTCTGTGCCCAGGACCATCTCTGTGGACAACCAGGTGCAGGGTGGAGACTACAACCTGTACGAGAGTCTCCGTTGCCATGGTGTCCCCCTGGTTACCATCAGCCGTGGCCATTTGGTCTATGAGAATGGAGTGTTCACGTGTTCTGAGGGCTCTGGGAAGTTTTATCCTCTCAGGACCTTCCCAGACTACCTCTATAAGAAGATGGTTCAGCGGGAGAAGGTACTGTACAAAGCCATCAACAGGATGTGGATTTTAAAATGTTAATTTACTCAGCAATTTTGCAGCAGACAAACAGTGATCTTTAAATGGCATAAACTCTCCATACCTGCTTCAGATTGTCTTTATTGTCATCAAGTGTTATGTGTTTTACTGTCTATAACCAGAGACTAATTATTGTGTGTGTCTGCGTGCATCCGTGCCTGTGTGTTTTTGCCTGTGTGTCTGTGTGTGCCTCTCTCTGACTCTCCTCAGTGTCAGGCCCTCAAGGCTGTGGAGCGTGAGCCGTACGAAGGAGACGTAGCAGTGATGCATTCTGGGAAGAAGGACTGTGGACCGTGTGACGGGGACACTCCAACACGACCACACACCAAGCATGGAGGACAGAGAGACCTGCATGAGTCCAGCTTCAGCCTCTCTGGTATCACACACAATGCATCGCTTTGCAAATTGGGATTTTATCATTTGCTTCCCTGCCTCTAAGGCCTAGAGAACTTTATTAATGCAGTGTCTATTCTATCTAATTAACAATTAGCTCATTTTTGCTAACCTGACAGATTGTAATTTCTCTTTTTGTCTATCAATCTCTCCAGGTGCCCAGATCGATGATAAAATCCCAAAGAGATCTTCTGCGAGAATTCTGGCCCCCCCAGGTGGTCGATCCAGTGGCATCTGGTAACTGTGTGGAAGATTAGCGAGTTCTAGAACCAAACAGCTACCATAGTTCTCAATTACAATGAAGAATGGAACCTGAAGAGAAGTTCAGGGCCAACCAAGACAACTGCTTGTTACGATCACCCAGAAAGCATAGAAAGAAAAATATTACTCACATTTTATTTGAAAAACGAACGCACGTATTTAGTGTACAGGTAAAAGTCAGTAAATTAGAATATTTTGAAAAACTTGATTTATTTCAGTAATTGCATTCAAAAGGTGTAACTTGTACATTATATTTATTCATTGCACACAGACTGATGCATTCAAATGTTTATTTCATTTAATTTTGATGATTTGAAGTGGCAACAAATGAAAATCCAAAATTCCGTGTGTCACAAAATTAGAATATTGTGTAAGGGTTACATTTTGAAGACACCTGGTGCCACAAAATAATCAGCTGATTAACTCAAAACACCTGCAAAGGGCTTTAAATGGTCTCTCAGTCCAGTTCTGAAGCCTACACAAACATGGGGAAGACTTCAGATTTGACAGCTGTCCAAAAGGCGACCATCGACACATTGCACAAGGAGGGAAAGACACAAAAGGTTATTGCAGAAGAGGCAGGCTGTTCTCAGAGCTCTGTGTCCAAACACATTAATAGAGAGGCAAAGGGAAGGAAAAACTGTGGTCAGAAAAAGTGTACAAGCGATAGGGATCACCGCGCCCTAGTCAAGATTGTGAAAAAAAAACCATTCAAAAATGTGGGGGAGATTCACAAGGAGTGGACAGCTGCTGGAGTCAGGGCTTCAAGATCCACCACCAAGAGACGCTTGAAAGACATGGGTTTCAACTGCCGCATACCTCGTGTCAAGCCACTGTTGACCAAGAAACAGCGCGAAAAGCGTCTCACCTGGGCTAAGGAAAAAAAGAGCTGGACTGCTGCTGAGTGGTCTAAAGTCATGTTTTCTGACGAAAGCAAATTTTGCATTTCCTTTGGAAATCGAGGTCCCAGAGTCTGGAGGAAGACAGGAGAGGCACAGGATCCACGTTGCCTGAAGTCTAGTGTAAAGTTTCCACCATCAGTGATGGTTTGGGGTGCCATGTCATCTGCTGGTGTCGGTCCACTCTGTTTCCTGAGATCAAGGGTCAACGCAGCCGTCTACCAGCAAGTTTTAGAGCACTTCATGCTTCCTGCTGCTGACCTGCTCTATGGAGATGGAGATTTCAGGTTCCAACAGGACTTGGCGCCTGCACACAGCGCAAAATCTACCCGTGCCTGGTTTACGGACCATGGTATTTCTGTTCTAAATTGGCCAGCCAACTCCCCTGACCTTAGCCCCATAGAAAATCTGTGGGGTATTGTGAAAAGGAAGATGCAGAATGCCAGACCCAACAACGCAGAAGAGTTGAAGGCCACTATCAGAGCAACCTGGGCTCTCATAACACCTGAGCAGTGCCAGAAACTCATCGACTCCATGCCACGCCGCATTAATGCAGTAATTGAGGCAAAAGGAGCTCCAACCAAGTATTGAGTATTGTACATGCTCATATTTTTCATTTTCATACTTTTCAGTTGGCCAACATTTCTAAAAAATCCCTTTTTTGTATTAGCCTTAAGTAATATTCTAATTTTGTGACACACGGAATTTTGGATTTTCATTTGTTGCCACTTCAAATCATCAAAATTAAATGAAATAAACATTTGAATGCATCAGTCTGTGTGCAATGAATAAATATAATGTACAAGTTACACCTTTTGAATGCAATTACTGAAATAAATCAAGTTTTTCAAAATATTCTAATTTACTGACTTTTACCTGTATATATGATGACAGGGTCTGAATAACATTTATATGACATTGATGTCTTTTTAATATTGGAATATCTGCCTGTATGGTCGAAACCTGAACCATATTGGGCTTAACTTAAAAAGTTAAACATTTTTGTTTTTAAAATTAGACAAATCTAAACTAAATTTGCACAGCAGCTAACATAAGTTGCTAGATGACAGTTTTGGATAAATGGATGTATGTTAGAGAAAGTACTGTATGTCATTATACACTAATGCTTTTTTGGGGGGGGGGGGGGGGGGTGAGTTGATAATTGTTTAACCTACAATGCTGCACTTGTATCATGTACTACTTAGCTGCCTTTTCCTTACATTATTTGATGTGTAACAAAACAACTTTTTCTACCAATACAGAATCTTCATGAATAAATGTGATTAGTTATTTACTACACAATATCTCAAAGCACTTGGCATGAAATAACGTGGATATCTAATAATGTTCATATCTCATAACATGGATATCTCATCATTTTGTGTGAAACACCTATTTTCTGTTCGGTCTGTTGACTAAAACGCAAATGCAAGCTGATACTTTGAAATGTTTTTTTTTTTGTGTGTGTGTTATTGGAAAATATGTTATTCCCCTTTAGGACACTGTAAAATGATGAGTCGTGAAAAACTGAGGATGACATAGGTCATTAAAATACGTAGGCTAAGTAAGGGCAGAGTTTTTATAGCTTCTATGTTTCTGTTTACAGTTTAATATAGTAGCATTCTCCTTCTTCCTGGTCATCTCATCTCCCATCAATATGAATGAACCTACGCTGTGTTTACTGTATGTATGTTGTGGCATAGAACACTGGTGACTCAAATTTAGCAGCGTTCTTTGTGTAATATAAGTGGTGATACCCCTTTCCTTTTCTCTGTCTGTTAGCGACAAGCTAGCTAGCTCCTCTCTGAAATGCCTTTTTCTCACCAGAGAAGTCTCTCATTATCCACATATTACAGTTAATGTATAGAGATAATAGTACCTTAACATGTGTATCATTGTGATTCCTCTTATGATGTTCAAGCTAACTACTGAGCACATAACACTTAGCACATAACACGGAGGAATTCTGGTCTTGACTTGCACTGAAACCTATTTGACAGTTTTGTGTATCTTTTCGGTTGACGTTTCCAAGGTTGGAACACTGTCAATTGGGCAAGAGTAGTTAGTGCATGATCTATAATTCGATTGAATCTTGGGTATTATAAGGGCAATTTAAATATACAAAATGTTCTCCAGGGTTTTTTGATGTTTTTATGTCATAATGTCAGTCAATGCATTATATCACTGGATGGCATGCTTATTCAATAGTGTGTCTATGAAAACCACTGATGTCTTTCTGTTTTAAATTGTCTTTACACTCTTCCATTATAAGCTACTGAGAACATATGAGTTTTATTTTATAAGAATATACTTTTTTATTGTTTTTCCGTAGCCTATTTCAAACCCCACTGTACGATATAAGACTGCAGATGAGGTCCATACTGGTGCTGAACATCCTTCGGTGTTTTTCACTGAGGTTTGTCTTTGTTTTATCCTATATGTTCTTGCAGCTCTTTAGCACAAGTCTGAGTGCAAATAAAACCACACTGAAATGTCAAGCTTGAATTGTGTTTCTTTAAAAATATATATATAGAGAGAGAGAGCCTATAGCCTATACTGACTGTATTTGGCAAATGGGGTTCAATAAATTACAATTTACAATTGTGTTGCTATAGAATAGAATATAATAAAATATAATATAATAGGATTTATATAAGGTGAATATACCCCCATCGGTAAGCAGCAAATCTGTTAAGATGCCTAAGCACATATAGGCAAGAGAGTCTGCTCCCTATAATAGACCAAAATGCTATTGATTTATTTACCATAGAAGCGCCTCCAACAGCATGGAGTCTGGCGCATGCGCGATATATGCCGGATTGTTGCAGACGGGGCGTCGGTAGCTGTGGGGGGCGGCCGGTTACTAACCACTGCACCGCGTTGGAGCTCTGGCAACAGCCACAACCGAGGACTGGAGCATAGCGATACTGCCAGCGAGATAACAACAGAGAAAGATAGCTGTCTGAATACAGTGAGTAGTAATGCCTTTAAGCCTATAGCCAAAACACTGCATTTGCCATTGCAAGTAAGACATTTTATAGGTGCATTTTGCATTTCAGGAGAAAATCAAGGGTCTCTTGAGGATATTTGTCTTTACAGTGACAGTCCTCTGTCTCTGTGTGTGTGTCTATTCTGAGAGGCCTGCAGAGGGGGTCCGGGCAGCCGCTTGGATAGCCTAGCAACTAACATTGCAGGGTTTTGTTTCTTTGCACCAAATGCAAATTGGACAAATGTATTGTTCTCTGGGTATGCAATAAATAACAAATTTCCGCGTTTAAAACCCAGGTAAATAAATACATTTTGTGAACAATGCATAAGAGTGAGGTAGCGCACCGTTCAAAGGCCTATAACAGAAAAGGGTTTAGAGACGAGAATAAAATCGACTCCTCCTCGCACGATAGAGTATGTTGTGTTTATGGTTGCTACAACGTAACCAGGCTTCTTTTTCTCTTCTTTTTTTATTTTATTTTATTTTACAATACAATAATAAAGATTGTTGTATTATAAACGCTGGTGTAAATTACCTTCTACATACAGCCATCTATAAAACCGTTTACTGCAGGTGGACTTTCCGTTATAGGCTATTACCCAATTGTGCAGCCCCGTGGGATTTGACAGATAGTGCTATTCAATGCACGCTCCTGGGAGGGCTGGTGCACGTATTGTATATCGCTATGCAATCATTTATGATGAGGCTGAAAGCAACGGAACAAATGGGGAAAGAGGACCCTCTCCTCTGCTGGCACAGACTGAACATTCATACATTATAAGCCTTTACTTTGAATGTCATAGAAATATGCACCATATAGGCTAACCTTTATTCACGCAACTCGATGCATTGGCTATTGCTTTTTCTTTTCGTTTCTAAAAAGGTGGTGATAGCCTAGGGGCTATTTCTTTATCAGGTCATAGTCAAATACATATTCCTCTGCAGATTTCCACATATCCTGGGTCAAAACAATATTTCTGGTTGGTTATCAGTGCCAGACATCTCTGACGTGCTAATATGTGAGATTGCTGTTTCTGTATTTCAGATTTTGCTAGAAATGTAGCCTAGTAAATACATTGTATTCCTAAAACAGCAGAAAGGCAGATTTACACTCAAACTAAGCTGAGGGCCAGATGTGTCCTGCCTGTCTGTGCTGCTTCTTTCAAGCATCAGGAAATTCTGTCTAATCTGAGTGGATTATTGTGACAACAGAAGATTGAAAGTTAAAAATAAAAGACTCCTTCAACATCAAACTAGCCCAGAAAGTGTAGTCTGATACTGTCAACAGTAGGCACAAGTTATATTTATATTCCTGTATTGTAGTGATAAAATCTTGCAGACAAATACCTGTAGGCAGGCTTTGATGATGTTCTGTGACCCTGTGAGGAACCCTCATCTTCTCGTCTGTAACAAATTATTTATTCCTTGAATGGTGAACAATAGTAATTTCTTGTATTTTTAACCACAAAATTAATTTTATGTTTTGCAGCATTGCAAAACAGCTATGAAGTTTGCTTAATTGCTGCCCAGTTGAACATCTTTACCATGTTTTCTTCTTCTTTAGGTGTAGAGGATGGCAGTGAATGTGCACGCCACGTCTGTGTCCTGTGACACCTTGAGCCGACATGACATGCTGGCCTGGCTCAACGATTCCTTGCACCTCACCTACACTAAGATAGAACAGCTCTGCTCTGGTATGTTTTTCTCCAGTCCTCCTGACGTCAATGATACCTTTTTTTTAGTTGGTTCCTTATATATCAACCGACTCAGGCAACATAGCCATTGTTCCCTCATCTCATTTCCCAAATTAATGTAATGAACGGGTCCTTTCCCCATCCCATTGGGAAAATCTGGTTCAAATGACGTCATTACACTGGTTATAATTTGGTTAAGATGACATCATTTCAACCAGTTTTGCCTGTCGGGATGGACCTCAACAAACCCTTTCAAATGATGAGTAATACGATGACGTTTCCATTGTGTTGTCTTATAGCAGTCCTTTTCTTCCTACGTCTCAGGGGCAGCGTACTGTCAGTTCATGGACATGCTGTTTCCAGGCTGTGTCCTGCTAAAGAAGGTTAAGTTCCAGGCAAAGCTGGAGCATGAGTTCATACACAACTTCAAGGTTCTCCAGGCTGCCTTCAAGAGGATGGGCGTTGACAAAGTCAGGCTATTATCTATTTATCATCTTCTGTAAAGCATTAGAAATAATGCATATACTGAAAAAAGTAGTGTCCGGAACAAATCGTACCGATTTGCACTTGTTTCATTCAATTGTGACTGCAGCCATGTTAGGGCTTGCGGCTAGATTTTTCAATGGAAAGATTGTCATCTCTCGAAGAGCTTTCAAACATGTATTCTTATTCCTACAGATAATTCCAGTGGAGAAGCTGGTAAAAGGAAAGTTCCAGGATAACTTTGAGTTTGTGCAGTGGTTCAAGAAGTTCTTCGACGCCAACTATGATGGGAAGGAGTACGACCCGCTACAGGCCAGACAGGGACAAGATGTGAACCCCGCCCCCAATCCAGGTGATCACTTTTCCCACAGACCAAAGAGAACTCATGGCCCTCCAGGTAACCCAACGGAATGGTTCTATCTCTTCTGAATGGGATTGTCTCGCTGATTGAGCTTTGGATGGCTCAAAACACTCACAGCGCTCTGCAAGTGTTTGTGTGTGTATGTGTGTGTGTGTGTGTGTGTGTGTGTGTGTGTGTTTGTGTGTGTGTGTGTGTGTGTGTGTGTGTGTGTGTGTGCACTGCACGATCCACGGCATTTTAGAAACAGTCAAGGAAAGGTAGCTCTGCGAGTGACTGTCGGGATTCTTGTGATCTCCACAGTACCTTTAGCAGACTTGATGAACACAAATACATTATTTTCTAATCTTTAAATACATGTTGTTGTAGTGATCCTTCATTGAGTGAATTGATAATTGTGTCACCCCTTTGGGACTCTTCGTACTAACATAAATGTTTTAAGCCTTGATTAGACCTGCTATGTGTAAAAGCAGCTTTTTTGTGCATTGTCTTTTGGCATTAAGGTTGAAAATCAGTCAGCATCAGTTCTCAAAATCAATAGTGTGTGTTACACCACAGACAAAACATTATGGTATGGTTTCAACATGGGTTCTCATTGAAATGCTGTAGTTGTATCCATAGCTTTGATTGCATGGGATGACAAACAATTAGTATTTGTTTGCTATGTTTACTAGTATTTACTACTATTTTGACTACATTTAGTTTACTACTATTTGTTTGAGAGTATTTTGTTTACATTTACTATGAGTATGGCTGGGATTCAATCCAAGGCGCGTTATAGAGCAGTGCACTAGACATCCGACAATGCACCTTTTAAAGGCATTTTCCCCCTCCAACGTTTTCCGAGATCACTTTCACTGTAAATTACCTTTAAAAGCTTGCTCTATAACGCACCTTGGATTGAATCCCGGCCTAAATGTTATAACAGTAAAAATTTACTGCAACAATAAGGGCCCAATTCAATCTGTATCGCAGAAGATCCACGGTATAGCGCGATTGAAAGTAAAGGTCATTTTCCGATTGAGCCGACATACACAGCGTTTACCGTGAATGCAGTCGCTGTGAACGCGGGAACATTGCCTTTAACTTTAGATCGCACTATACAACGGATCTGCGACACGGATTGAATCTAGCCCTAACACTATCTGATTATTCCAGGCCCCCAGAGGCACTCGCCCACGGTGCCCAAGATCCTACCCACGCCTCAGAGGGTGCTGAACACCACCGTGCATGTGAGGAAGGCCCCGGCCCTGGCGCGGAACGGGGGCACCGACGCGGAACTCATGGAGCTAAATCAACAGGTAGAGTCCCAGGGAGGGTAAGGAGGTCTTTACATAGGAGAAGTAAACTCATGGGCCATACGACTGTAGTATTGACAGTATTCAATACAATGAACGTATATTAGTTATCAGGTTTTATTTACTGTAGAGTGGAGTCATGCTTAGCCCTGAGGCATGACCGTAGCCTACCCCCATGTCTCAGGGCTAAGTCATGCTCTGGTCTTTGGAATGTGTGAGTGTAAGTTCAAAACTAGAGTTTGTATCCTAATTTCTTACTCAGTTGCCACGTAGACAATAAAGAAGATATTTGGGGCATATTAGGAAACTAAATGTAAGTATAGTTTAAGTATAGTAAGTATGTTACTAACATAACACTACTCAGTGAGTGCTACATTGACATTTTCATTCCCTGTGTGTTTGAGACAACCTTTTCTTCTCTTCCCCTGTGTAGTTGATGGAGCTGAAGTTAACAGTGGACGGACTAGAGAAGGAGAGAGATTTCTACTTCAGTAAGCTGAGAGACATTGAGCTGATCTGTCAGGAACACGAGAGTGACACCAACCCTCACCTCTCCAGGATCATGGACATTCTCTACGCCACAGAGGTACCTGTCACAACCACATAAATTCACTGTATATTCAATGTGTTCATATACTTTGGTCAACACTGAAACTAAGGGCTTTTATTCAATCTCTATCGCTAAAACTTTACAGATTGCACAATAGAAATGTCAAGGTAATTTCCAATTGAGCCGACATAAGCAGCGTTTACCGTGAATGCCGCCTCCGCTAACGTGGGAACATTGCCTTTAAATTTCAATCACGCTGTAACGCTGAACTTCCATGGTACGGATTGAACAGAGCCCTAAGTAAAGAATAGCCATCTTTTTTAAAACTAGAGATAGCAATTGAAATTAGCTATCCTTAATTGGCTCTACCCCTCTCTCATGTATAGAATATTAACTCATATTATTATAAAGTATATATATGTGGGTTATCATCAACATTTACTGTACATTTGATATCTGTATTTCAGGACGGCTTTGCTGCTCCAGATGATGACGAGATTGATGGACAGGCCCACTTGGACCAGGATGAATACTGAGCCTCTTAAACCTTCTGTCCACATCCCCCTCTCCCTCCTGTAAACCCTTCTGTCCATCCATATCCCCCTCTCCCTCCTCTAAACCCTTCTGCCATCCATTCCCATCCCCCCTTCCCCCTCTCCCCCCTCCCTCCTCTAAACCCTTCTGTCCATCCATATCCCCCTCTCCCTCCTCTAAACCCTTCTGCCCATCCATATCTCCCTCCCTCCTCTAAACCCTTCTGTCCATCCATATCCCCCTCTCCCTCCTTATCTAACCTTCTGTCCATACCAATCCCCCTCTCCCCCTCTAAACCCTTCTGCCATCCATATCCCCTCTCCCTCCTAACCCTTCTGCCCATCCCCTATCCCCCTCTCCCTCCTCTAAACCCTTCTGCCCATCCATATCCCCCTCTCCCTCCTCTAAACCCTCCTCACCCATACCCCTCTCCCTCTCCCCCCCGCCCTCCTTCCCACACCCCACCCCCTCTCCCCCCTCTCCCTCCTCTAAACCCTTCTGTCCATCCATATCTCCCTCTCCTCTAAACCCTCTTCCGCCCACCCTAACCCCCTCATTTCCCTCCTTCCCCCTCCTCCTTCCCCCCTTCCCATACCCCCTCCTCCCTCTCCTCCTCTAAACCCTTCTGTCCATCCATATCCCCCTCTCCCCCCTCTCCCCCTCTCTCCAAACCCCCTTCCCATCCATATCTCCCTCTCCTCCTCTAAACCCTTCGCCCGCCACCATATCCCCCCTCCCCCTCCCCCCTCTAACCCCTGTGTCCATCTCCCCTCCTCTAAACCCTTCGCCATCCATCTCCCCTCTCCCTCTCTAAACCCTTCTGTCCATCCATAATCCCCCTTCCCCTCACCCTCCCCCTCTCCCTCCTCTAAACCCTTCTCACACCTATCCCCTCTCCCCCCTCTCTCCCTCCTCTAACCCTTCTACCCCCTCTCCCCCCCCTCTCCCTACTCTAAACCCTTCTGTCCATCCATATCCCCTCTCCCCCCTCCTCTAACCTTCTGCCCATCCATATCCCCCTCTCCTCCTCTAAACCCTTCTGCTCCATCCAATCCCCCTCCCTCCCCCTCTAAACCCTTCTGTCCCATCCATCCCCCCTCTCCCCCCTCTCCCCCCCTCCTCCCTAAACCCGCCTCCATCCCCTCCTCCCCCTCTCCCTCCTCTAAACCTTCTGCCAACCATCTCCCCCCTCTCCCTCCTCTAAACCCTTCTGCCCATCCATCTCCCCCTCTCCCTCCTCTAAACCCTTCTGCCCACCCATATCCCCCTCTCCCCCTTAAACCCTCTGTCCATCCTCTACCTCCTCTCTCTACCCTTTCGCCCACCCATATCCCCCTCCTCCCTCTGTCAAACACCCATCTGTCCATCTCCTTCCCTCCTCTCCTCTCTCTCTCTCTCTCTCTCTTCTCCTCTCTCTCTCTCTCTCTCTCTCCTCCTCTCCTCTCTCTCTCTCTCTCTCTCTCTCTCTCTCTCTCTCTCTGCATCTCTCTCCCTCTCTTTTGTCCCTCTCTTGTTCCTGTTCTATCTCTTTTCCTCTCTTCCTCTCTCTTCATATGCATATATGTGTGTCTCCTCCCTTCCCCCCGGCTATGTACTGTACATACGCCACTACATCTCAGTGTCTGTCATAAGCTACCCCTCCCTCCCTGCCCAATGACACAGTAGCAGCAACAATAACAGAACATATCCTCAGTCGTTCCAGCATGGTACATAGTATAACACAGAATAATGAGCCAAACCAAGGGGATATTAATGGGGGTGTTAGGCCTGCACAATTCATTCAGAGTTGTAAATATGACAAAAAAGGAACGATTTTGAAATAAGGTAGTTGTCAGAATGCATTTGTTTGTTTGTCTTTTGGTTTGACTCGCGCTTTTTCTCAACCTCATTTTGGTTCTATTCCAGAGTATAGAAAGCACCTTGTGCATGTTACTGTATTACAGGTTACCACGGTTACCACAAGAGTCCTACAGTAGACTCTAATTATACTTAATTTGTCTTTACTTTCTTATTTTTTTATTTTAATTTTGATTTTAACTACTATCGGTACAATAATTGGTGAAAACTTTATGTAAATTAAACAATACTGTAACGTATGCTCATGGTAGTGGAAAGGCTTAGAAAGCGTTTTATTTCAGTTGATGTAGTAATATCAAGGGAAAATGCATTAAAGAAAGTGGTCCGGAAATAATCATTTGGTCATAGGATATGACCTATGCTCTTTGACTGTACTCATTATGGATTAGCTGTATCTGAACATGAGAACGTCATAAATTAACAGGGAATGGGCGATATATTCATAAGCTATTTTATGTGGAGATTTTCTATTCAGTCAGAAGTGTCTGGGTAGATGCCATGGTATTTATTATGCTTAATGAGTTTAATATTAATTTGGTATTAACAATACATAAGGTACTATGTAAGCTGACTATGGCAGCACATTGTTTTTAAATGTAACTGTAAAAATGTGTTATTTAAAAGAGCCTGAAAACAATTATTTACTTTGATTTGATCATATCACATTTCTGCTGCTAATTTTGCTGTGTTTATACTTTTGGTTTGCTATAATATATTGCTCAGCAGTAATGAGTCGTCTTACAAATTTCAAGTTGAGTTTAGAGAACGGTGAAGTCAGGAGGTTGCGTCCCAAATCAAGTTCAAGTTCAAGTTTTAGTACAGTGAAATGTTAACTTGTGCTCTCTACCCAACAGTGCAGTAATCAATGTCAACATAGAATAACTAATAATAAAATAAAATAATTATACAGTTTATATACAGCACCAGTCAAACGTTTGGAAACACCTACTCATTCAAGGGTTTTTCTTTATTTTTACTATTTTCTACATTGTAGAATAATAGTGAAGACATCAAAACTATGAAATAACACATAGGGAATCATGTAGTAACCAAAAAAGTGTTAAACAAATCAAAATATATTTTAGATTTTATATTCCTCAAAGTAGCCACCCTTTGCCTTGATGACAGCATTGCACACACTTAGCTTCATGAGGAATGCTTTTCCAACAGTCTTGGCTGCTTTTCCTTCACTCTGCGGTCCAACTCATTCCAAACCATCTCAACTGGGTTGAGGTCGGGTGATTGTGGAGGCCAGGTCATCTGATGCAGAACTCCATCACTCTCCTTGTTGGTCAAATAGCCCTTACACAGCCTGGAGGTGTGTTTTGGGTCATTGTCCTGTTGAAAAACTAATAATAGTCCCACTAAGCACAAACCAGATGGGATGGCGTATCGCTGCAGAATGCTGTGGTAGACATGCTGGTTAAGTGTACCTTGAATTCTAAATAAATCACAGACAGTGTCACCAGCAAAGCACCCCACATACCATAACACCTCCTCCTCCATGCTTCACGGCTGGAACCACACATGCGGAGATCATCCTTTCACCTACTCTGCATCTCACAAAGACACGGCGGTTGGCACCAAAAATCTCAAATTTGGACTCATCAGACCAAAATACAGATTTCCACCGGTCTAATGTCCATTTCTTGAGTTTCTTGGCCCAAGCAGGTCTCTTCTTCTAATTGGTGTCCTTTAGTAGTGGTTTCTTTGCAGCAATTCGACCATGAAGGCCTGATTCACGCAGTCTCCTCTGAACAGTTGATGCTGAGATGTGTCTGTTACTTGAACTCTGTGAAGCATTTATTTAGGCTGCAATCTGAGGTGCAGTTAATTGCCGATTTCTAAGGCTGGTAACTCTAATGAACTTATCCTCTGCAGCAGAGGTAACTCTGGGTCTTCCATTCCTGTGGCGGTCCTCATGAGAGCCAGTTTCATCATAGCGCTTGATGGTTTTTGCGACTGCACTTGAAGAAACTTTCAAAGTTCTTGAAATTCTCCGGATTGACTGACCTTCATGTCTTAAAGTAATGATGGACTGTCGTTTCTCTTTGCTTATTTGAGCTGTTCTTGCCATAATATGGACTTGGTCTTTTACCAAATAGGGATATCTTCTGTATAGCAACCCTACCTTGTCACAACACAACTGATTGGCTCAAACGGATTAAGAAGGAAAGAAATTCCACAAATTAACTTTTAACAAGGCACACCTGTTAATTGAAATGCATACCAGGTGACTACCTCATGAAGCTGGTTGAGAGAATGCCAAGAGTGTGCAATGCTGTCATCCGAGGCAAAGGGTGGCTACTTTGAAGAATATAAAATATAAAATATTTGTTTAACACTTTTTTGGTTACTACATGATTCCATATGTGTTATTTCATTGTTTTGATGTCTTCACTATTATTCTACAATGTAGAAAATAGTAAAAATAAGGCAAAACCCTGGAATGAGTAGATGTGTCCAAACTTTTGACTGGTACTGTATATACAGGGTCAGTGCTAATACCAAATGCACAATGTGCAGGGATACTGGAGTATTTGAGGTAGATATGTATATATAGGCAGGGATTAGGAGAAAGTGACTGGTAGCAGGATAAAGAATAATAATAATGGGTCATAAGTAGTACACTAAATAGGGAATAGGGTGCCATTTGGGACGTATTGAGTTAGTTAGGGGTCTATGACCAGTTCAAAATGATGCTGGTCATCATGAGCATCATAAGGAATAGAAGTCCTTTGCCCTGTACTACTGGCTTTTCAATGCAAACCTACAGCCATCTGCAATGGAATCTGACCTGCATTCTCTCACATGCTTTGACTGTGTACCAGTGTCTGCATAACTCTCATCTCTTTGAGTTTTATTAAGTAAATAAACGATTGTGAAATAAACTGTTAGAATACTGTTGTTGATTTCTGTTTGGCTAAAAGATTGTGGGCACAGAAAACCATGGAAAGAGCCCACTGGCCCCTCTATCAATGGTAGGGATCTAATCTCTGTTAACCCAGAAGTACAATCTCGCCTAATTTGGTCAACTGGTCGCCTAATTTGGTCAATTGGTCTACAGGCAGAATCAATTATGCATATAAACCCTTGATTGCTGATGCTATGTATTGGCCAGTGAGAGGCTTTGAAGCCACCGGTCAGTCATATTGGCACTCCCCAGTAGGAGCAGTCCTCCATAGGAATGAATGGAATTCTACAGTATTTCAATTAAATGTTTCAAGGACAAAATTAAATGTATTTAAGTATTATTTGGTTGTAGTGGGGACAGTAGCATTAAAACGTTCAAAAAACGATATTTAGTTTCCAAAATATTTTTTGCAATGGTGGGGGAGTGCCAAGATGGAGGCACGGTGGCTTCAAAACAGAGCCCCCGAGTCGAAACGAAGAGGAAGAGAGAGGCCCAAGTCGGCAGAAAATATGTCTCCCTACAGCAGGTGGCGTATTTCGTTGTTTCGCGCACCAAGCAAGGAGTTTTTGTATGGAGGTCAAAGAGAGTGTCGAATTTGGTCTACAAATAAATGAATGGCTTATTTGCTACACGAGGTTTATTTGATCGAATAGAAGTTTCATAACGCTTAAGTTGTTACGAGTGTACTGAAATAAGTAGGACACGTGACATCCCGGCAACTTTGAGAAAAAACACTTTATATCTGAGTTGTCTCCAGATGGCTATGCATGTCCATGTTATGAGGGCTAGTAGCATAGCGTCTCTCACCATTGAATACAGGCAGTTGACGTCAACAACCCTCATCGAATATTCAAAACAGGATTACAATAGTGAGATTTATCCACCAATCCAAAGCAAGGATAGGCGGGAGCTAGACAGCCCGTCGTGCTGCTTTGTGGACAACGATTCCCATTGTTAGGGCGGAAAGACATGTATATCAGTATATCGATAATTTTTTATATAAATCATTGCGCAGATTAGTAGGGCCAAAAAAAGACAATTCGTTTCCATTCAAGGACTGTAGAGGGAAATATTGTTCCACACAAAGTGTTGCACTGTTGAAAAAAGAATCGCATTGGGTCTTCTATTCATTTCGTAGATCAATCAAGCAAAATACACGTAGAGAGAAAATGTCTCTATAATGTCGTATATGAATGTCGAATCAACATTATACTCAATGCAGACAATTCTTTCTATTGAAATTCAACACAACACTGACAAGGTCTTATACTTACACAGCCTCGGCGACACATATACGGGGGATTAGCTCAAATGGTAGAGCGCTCGCTTAGCATGCGAGAGGTAGCGGGATCGATGCCCGCATCCTCCAAGTATTTTTTTGAGAGAGTAGTGAACGTAAAGCGCGTTTATTATGAGTTTACTCTCTTTACTGTAAATTAAAATACGTATTATAAACTACATCAATTATCAAAATCAACCTTTAGAACGGAGGGATTTTAAACCTACAAAACGTTTTCTTCAATAGGTCCATTATTTTGTTGGTTGTGGGACATACATTCAAAATATACAGCAAAATCGAAACAAACTCCTTAATTCAATACATAATTGTCAATTCAAATAATTATGTTTGAAATAAATAAATAAAGCAGAGATTCTTTAAAGTGAATTTGAAGTAGACATGCTCCTGATAGCTACCTACCATAATATGCTGTTGCCAGCCTGTTAGCAACTTATCCAGTAGCCATAACGGATTGAACAGCACTGTGTGTTTGATACTCAAAGCACAACAAATAATACACTCCAATAAAATCATAGTAGGCTGTACATATCTATGTGTAGCAGATCTGGGTTCAAACACTATTTAAAATCTATCAAATACTTGGAGCTACTTTTCTCTAGCCTGCCTAGAATACCAGATGGGTGGGTTTTCAGTTTTGAGACTATTCTATTAGTCCTTGAAGCCAGGCAACCCCAATCAAGATAAAGTATTTTGAATTTTGAAAATATTTCAAATAGTATTTGAACCCAGGTCGGATGTGCAAGGCTCAAACTTAACTGCACATGGATATCATATACCTTCACAGTCAAGAACAACTCAGACACTCAGTTAGGTTTCAATGGGTTGTACAACGTTTGCTTATCTAGGTACACCAAACAATGCACTCCACTGAAGACAAAATTGTACATGTGTTTTGGGTGAAGGGGTCTGTGTGTTTTGGGTAAAGGACACAACCCTCGCTCTCAGACATCCATTAGCTTCTTGACCATGTATCCAGGCATGCTGTATATGAAGAGGCCCAGGATGAGCACCAGCAGCAGAGCCACCACTAACTTGACCGTGAGCCAGAAGCACCAATTTGTAAGTCGCTCTGGATAAGAGCGTCTGCTAAATGACGTAAATGTAAATGTAAATGTACTGGTTGCAGATGAGGTTTTTGATGGCCTTGAAAGGCATAAGGAACCACGGGAAGGCTGTGTCTGGACGGCTGGGGGAGAGAAGTAAGGGTTGGTTGGTTAGACTGCAGTAAAGTTAATGATAGTAAAATAGCTTGTGGTACAGTAGGTTAAAATTCATTGGACCTGCCATAAGCATTTATTGTTTCATAATGATGTATTATAATCATCTAATAATGATCATGAATGTTGATACATAATACTGATGCATCATTTCTTACTGAGATATTCTGAAAACAGATTGGATTGGATTCAGATGGATTGTATTAAAATGCATGGGGTGACAAAGAAAACAGGCTCAGATATTGTTCTTCTCAGTTTATTCACAAAAACCAGATTATACATAATACACTACATACTGCACACTGTTAAACAAAAACATATAAATACACATTCATATCAACAGCCACAGAAAAGTCAGTCTCTGCAAACCAAGGCTAATACATGACTTCAAGCAAGAACAAAATCAGAATTTCAAAACAAAACATTTTACTTTGTAGATTGGAGTTTTCTGCAACACCATAATATTAAAATGATTACTACTGTATGTCCTTGAACAGGTATTTGAAAGGCATGTATATATATATATATATATATATATATATATATATATATATATATATATGTGTAATAAATCATATTTATTGTATTATTTATTTATACTTGGACATTGTTTTGGTACTTTTTCTTTTAACGATACATGGTGTGTGTACGATTGTCTTGTCAAATGGCAAAAACATTACAGGGACTCCATGAGAAGAGGAGATGCTTGTTACTGAAAACAAGTCGTTGAATATAGTATAGAGTTTGGAAGTTGAAGAGTAACTATCCCTTTAAAAAATGTTCCACTTCTCAAGCCCCCATTAGCTTCTTGACCATGTATCCAGGCATGCTGTATATGAAGAGGCCCAGGATGAGCACCAGCAGCAGAGCCACCACTAACTTGACCGTGAGCCAGAAGTACTGGTTGCAGATGAGGTTTTTGATGGCCTTGAAAGGCATAAGGAACCACAGGAAAGCTGTGTCTGGACGGCTGGGGGAGAGAGACAGGGTTGGTTGGTTAGACTGCACTAATGCCTTATAAGGCCATCAAACAGAGACACAGAGGATTACCAAATAGGACTATAAGATACAGCTCCGGTTTGCTGTAAATATTAACAAACCCATAAGAATTATAGAGTAAATAAAGGGTATTTTAGTAATTTACGTGTAAAGTATGATCATCCCTGTTCAAATCCAGTACTTAGTCAAAGCAATTTCATAAAATACCCTTTCTTTATTCCATAGTTTGTATGTATTTTAATCAAATGGACCTTTACATCAGGGTGCTTTCTGACAAGGTTCCAACTGCATGGTAGAGCTTAGTTTTGGTGCAACCTGTTTTAGTGCAACCTGTTTTAGTGCAACCTGTTTTAGTGCAACCTGTTTTAGTGCAACCTGTTTTAGTGCAAAAAAACATGCTCCTACCCCTTCCCCACTCCAATGCACCTTCCTCATTGAAATACATTGAGTTGGCTGCAACATTTGACACTGTATTTGTTAGCTCAGTGGTAGGTTAATGGTGCTCTTACTTGGGTTTCTCCAGGGGTTCAGGTTCGTTGCGTCCTTCACCTACTGGGTTCTTCTCAGCCTCCTCTGCAGTCATCAGCTGCAGCTCTGCTTCCACTTTCCCCTGCAAAGACACAAACATCACTACCAAAACACTAGGGTTCATACAGTATATAAAGGAGGTCTTGCGTTTCTTTATCTTTTGGCTGATCTTACATTTCCAAACTGACCTCTGTTCAATCTTTAACTCAGCTAGTTTCTTCACAGTGTAACCAAATGGTCACGCTTTTTTAAATCAAAGATACCATTTTGTCAAGTGTATAGTTGAATGTGTTTAATCAAAGACACCATTTTGTAAAGTGTATAGTTGAATGTGTTAAATCCAAGAAACCATTTTGTCAAGTGTATAGTTGAATGTGTTTAATCCAAGACACCATTTTGTCAAGTGTATAGTTGAATGTGTTTAATCCAAGATACCATTTTGTCAAGTGTATAGTTGAATGTGTTTAATCCAAGACACCATTTTGGCAAGTGTATAGTTGAATGTGTTTAATCCAGTCCACACTACATACAGTGAGTTCAAACTCGTCGTTCTCATCTCTGGCCAGGAAGGGCCACCAGCCCTTGATCCTCCTCTGTTTGAAGATAGACACCATGGGAATATCCTGTTCGTTCAGCACCATGTTGATGGAGCACTGCTTGGCTGTCTTCGCTCCACGGGGGAAATGGTTCAGGTCCAGCTCAATGGCGCCTAGGAAGAGACAAAAAATATCATACATCTTTTTATTCGATAAGCATTAAGATTTCTCAGCTGTTGCTGTTTCTGATTATGTTGATGTTGTTGTTATGACTGCCACAACAGTACTTTCCATGTCCCAGAATACAAATTCAATATAAAAAAAAGTAGCCCTAGTCTGAAACGTTATATATATTCACAGAAAGACCAACATTTACAGCCCAGAAAATCATTACGGTGAATGTTTAGTAGAGGGAAATTAAATCACTCCACCTAAGAAGTCATCTGCAGAGAAGTGATCCGCATCCCAGACTTGTAGGTTGAGACGAGCAGGGATCTTATACTCAGTCTCGTCCCAGGCGAACATAGACTCCTTCTTAGAGATGACAATCTTCTCTTCAGCCTGTAGGTAATCAAAGGGGTAGATGAAGCGCCAGTTGAAGAGACCCTCCCCTGTCAGGGAGTGGTAGTGGACATCTGTGTCCTGCTTGTCCTCCTGCTGGCCCTTCAGCCAGCTGTTAAAGAAGAAGAAGAAGAAGAAGAAGAAGAAGAAGAAGAAGAAGAAGAAGAAGAAGAAGAAGAAGAAGAAGAAGAAGAAGAAGAAGAAGAAGTTTTAATATTTGGCACACCTCCTGAAGTTCGAAAAACATACATTCTTTCAAAGGAAACATTATTTACCCCCGCACAAAGATATCACTGGACTTTTCTCCAGTGAAGATGTCATCATCCTCCAGAATGACCTCGTCTGTGTTCCAGATGATCACCCTCAGTTCAAACCTTCAACAAACCAAACAGTTCAGTGTGACATCAGTGAGGCACAGTAACATTTGTGTTGCATTATGTGATGTCTGTTTTTAAAACGTCTGTTATGTGATATATCTTCTCAAATAAAATTGTGAATTTACTGATATATATATATATATATATGATATAATATGTATATATATAACACACAGTAGTGATCAGGGCCGGTTCTTGCCGTTCTGCCGCCATAGGCGAGACCAGAAAATGCCGCCCCCCCCGGACGTTGAAAAATATGTATTTTCCGGACGTTGAAATCAGGTTAATTTTCGGTTCTGAATGAAAGTTCAAAATACTTATTTCCTGATGTTGAAAATACATATTTTACAGACATTGAAAATGTGTATTTTCCGGATGGTGAAAACACGCTAATTTTTGGTTCTGAATGAAAGTTGAAAATAAGTAATTTATAGACGTCTATGTTTGGGCCAAATCAAGGCTGGTCCAGACTGAACAAAATCTGAACCAAACATAGACGTCTATGATTGGTTCAGATTTGGTCCAGACCAAAAACCAATGTCCCTGGATGTGGAAATCAAGGCCGGTCCGCAAATGCACCAAAAAAAGATGTCCAAAAGGCATTGGTGTTGCCTGAAATTGAATTTTATGAATGCCCATCAATGTGGTAAGCCTACCATTTGTAAAACACCAAAAAACGACATCCTGACAGAACCAAAAAAAGACGTCCAAAAGACGTTGGCTCGTGCTTACTGGGGTGTAGCCTACCATGTCTGCAGCAATGGAATTTTATGAATGCCCATCCATGTGGTAGGACCACCATTTGTAAAACAGACCGTTGCATTGACTTTATTAGTCCTGATTCATGTGACTAATCAATTTGGCCATTTAAACTCTATCAGCTACCTAACTTTATCAGGAGTTTTGCGAGCCTATTTGCAATGAGAATCAATGTGTTTACTCAGCGAGAAATGCAGAAGTATTTTCTTTTTCGCTATGATCAGCTTGTCAAGAATGTACGGATACAAACTTGAAACCCCTGATCATGACAATGGGGTGAAACACCTGGACAACAGTTGTGATTGTCCATTCCATATTATCCATTTTACTTTGACCTGTCCTGTTTTTAGGATATGTTGTTTGTTAACATGACAGCAAGTTTTATATTTGATTGAGCGCCATTTAGGTTAGGCTATTTGATCGGAGAAACCTGCATGATGTAAAAAGTGTCTGTATCATTACATTGTCATACATTTGATCTCCAGCCTGTAGGCTACAGAAAAGGCCACATACTCTTTCTACCATATCCTATACCTATATGATTTATGTTAGATGATTTTTTGACAGAACGTTGGTGGAGGGCTGCAGTGATGCGTCTCTCCAACAGCACCCTGGAAAGGCGGGCTGGGAATGGACAAGCAAAATATTTTGCAACCCCTGCCTTTGACAAAGTGGGCAATGCTTATCAGCATCAGCGCTCACCTAAAAAGCCCATATGCCACTGGTTTAGAGAAATTGTCATTGATTTTGTGCAAAATTCTGTGAGGTTTTAAGTGTTGTTGTTGGAGAAACGTCTTGGTCAGTTTAGCTCAGAAAAGGCTGCCCTCCTCAATCTGCGGCCACAGGCAGCCGCCTAATCCTGCCTAACGGGCTGCCCGCCCTGGTAGTGATATTGTGTGGATGAAGGGCAGGTTGAATAAAGAGAAAACAATGCATAAAAAATCCATAAATGTATAATTATTGTGCAATTTATATGTATCTATAGGCTACATTGAGGTTTTTCTTACATTATTTTAGTGCCTAAGCCTAAACTTTAGGGTCTATCTGTATGTGCGTCAAATGGCCTACAAGCCAATCACCAAATGCTTTTGGGAACGGGCAGAAAAAGTTAATGTCGATCCACCGAGGCAAAACGGACAGTGTCGGAGTTGAATTCAATAAGAGAAAAGCTGCGAAATGGAGAGTTGAAAATAAAGAGAGGGGAGGGCCAGAACAGTAGTCTAATGTTTGGGAAAGATTTGGTGAAGTGGTAAAAGGGGATGATAGCAGTGCCGGTTATGTTATGTGTGATGATTGAAAGGCGCTATACAAATTCGACAGTCACAAGATGGGAACTTCATATAGGCCTTTGGCACATCAAGGGAATAGTAGCCTACTGTTCAGATGTGTTAAATGGAAACTGAGATCTGGACACTGACTGTACGTCTATAACCTCTCACATAGCCTTAATATTAACTCCTGCAGAATTAAGCATTTCTTGCAGTAAAATGATACACCAAATTTAGGCAGAATGTTGATTTGGGAACAGGAGTGGAGAAATATGATTAATTTAGGTGGATGGAGCGAGACATGATGTCCCAGATGTGCTCAATTAGATTCAGGTCTTGGGAACGGGCGGTCCATAGCATCAATGCCTTCCTCTTGCAGGAACTGCTGACACACTCCAGCCACATGAGGTCTAGCATTGTCTTGCATTAGGAGGAACCCAGGGCCAACCGCACCAGCATATGGTCTCACAAGGGGTCTGAGGATCTCATCTCGGTACCTAATGGCAGTCAGGCTACCTCTGGCGAGCACATGGAGGGCTGTGCGGCCCCCCAAAGAAATGCCACCCCACACCATGACTGACCCACCGCCAAACCGGTCATGCTGGAGGATGTTGCAGGCAGCAGAACGTTCTCCACGGCGTCTCCAGACTCTGTCACGTCTGTCACATGTGCTCAGTGTGAACCTGCTTTCACCTGTGAAGAGCACAGGGCGCCAGTGGCGATTTTGCCAATCTTGGTGTTCTCTGGCAAATGCCAAACGTCCTGCACGGTGTTGGGCTGTAAGCACAACCCCCACCTGTGGACGTCGGGCCCTCATACCACCCTCATGGAGTCTGTTTCTGACCGTTTGAGCAGACACATGCACATTTGTGGCCTGCTGGAGGTCATTTTGCAGGGCTCTGGCAGTGCTCCTCCTGCTCCTCCTTGCACAAAGGCAGAGGTAGCAGTCCTGCTGCTGGGTTGTTGCCCTCCTACGGCCTCCTCCACGTCTCCTGATGTACTGGCCTGTCTCCTGGTAGCGCCTCCATGCTCTGGACACTACGCTGACAGACACAGCAAACCTTCTTGCCACAGCTCGCATTGATGTGCCATCCTGGATGAGCTGCACTACCTGAGCCACTTGTGTGGGTTGTAGACTCCGTCTCATGCTACCACTAGAGTGAAAGCACCGCCAGCATTCAAAAGTGACCAAAACATCAGCCAGGAAGCATAGGAACTGAGAAGTGGTCTGTGGTCACCACCTGCAAAACCAGTCCTTTATTGGGGGTGTCTTGCTAATTGCCTATAATTTCCACCTGTTGTCTATTCCATTTGCACAACAGCATGTGAAATGTATTGTCAATCAGTGTTGCTTCCTAAGTGGACAGTTTGATTTCACAGAAGTGTGATTGACTTGGAGTCACATTGTGTTGTTTAAGTGTTCCCTTTATTTTTTTGAGCAGTGTATAATGACAGAAGAGAAGCTGCATATGCTCTTAAACGCTAGTAAAACTAAATGCATGCTCTTCAATCGAACGCTGCTTGCACCCGCCCGCCCGACTAGAATCACTACTCTCGGCGGGTCTGACTTAGAATATGTGGACAACTACAAATACCTAGGTGTCTGGTTAGACCGTAAACTCTCCTTCCAGACTCACATTAAGCATCTCCAATCCAAAATTAAATCTAGAATCGGCCTCCTGTTTCGCAACAAAGCCTCCTTCACTCATGCTGCTAAACATGCCCTCGTAAAACTGACTATCCTACCGATCCTTGACTTCGGCGATGTCATTTACAAAATAGCTTCCAACACTCTACTCTGCAAATTGGATGTAGTCTATCACAGTGCCATCCGTTTTGTTACCAAAGCCCCATATACTACCCACCACTGTGACCTGTACGCTCTCGTTGGCTGGCCCTCACTACATATTCGTCGCCAAACCCACTGGCTCCAGGCCATCTATAAATCTCTGCTAGGCAAATCCCCGTCTTATCTTAGCTCATTGGTCACCATAGCAACACCCACCCGTAGTCTGCGCTCCAGCAGGTATATCTCACTGGTCATCCCCAAAGCCAACACCTCCTTTGGCCGCCATTCCTTCCAGTTCTCTGCTGCAAATGACTGGAACGAACTACAAAAATCTCTGAAGCTGGAGACACTTATCTCCCTCACTAACTTTAAGCATCAGTTGTCAGAGCAGCTTACCGATCACTGTACCTGTACACAGCCCATCTGTAATTAGCCCACACAACTACCTCATCCCCATATTGTTATTTATTTGTCTAATTTGCACCCCAGTATCTCTATTTGCACATCTATCACTCCAGTGTTAATACTAAATTGTAATTATTTTGCACTATGGCCTATTTATTGCCTTACCTCCATAACTTACTACATTTGCACACACTGTATATAGATTTTCTATTTTCTATTGTGTTATTGACTGTACGTTTTTGTTTATTCCATATGTAATTCTGTGTTGTTGTTTGTTTTTATCGCACTGCTTTGCTTTATCTTGGCCAGGTCGCAGTTGTAAATGAGAACTTGTTCTCAACTGGCTTACCTGGTTAAATAAAGGTTAAATAAAAAAATTGATATCTAGTTATAGACAAGTTGACTACCAAAATGTTGGAAATTATTAGCAGAAACATATCTAAAATCATGCAAAAACACCCCCTTTCAAATTCGCCGTCTGACTAGCCTACAGCGCATTTTATATATTAGCGTGTTAGGGTCGGGTGCGGGTCTTCACTTTATCACATATAGTCGGTGGGTTGCGGATCTGTTATTAGCAATTGCGGGTGGGTGTGGGTGAACAAACAGCTGACCCTTGCCCCACTAATATACAGTATTACTGATATCTAATCCTGCTGACTACGCCAAATGTAATTTGGGGGACAATGCACATTCATCATAACTTTTATTTCACTTTGCAAATTCTCTTACTACATTTTTTTAAAAGCACATTACATTGTACTAGAACATACTTCTTTGGTTTCCTGGGTGAGATATCAATGGCCGGTCCAGGTGCAGGCATATCCTTGGGGAACATGTCCACCCACATCTCAATCCTCCCCTACACAAAGAGAAACACACAGACAAACATGGGGTGAGATACAATTGAACTACACAGCAATCAAACCTAATCAATCAGGCCTACCTTCACATGGAAAATGTGTCAACTTTACTTTACTGTACTTTACTACTTTCACCAGATAGATCATTTGAAACACTGAAGCAGGCACTCAGGCAGCTAGCAAGCACAGCCTTAAAGGCAACCTTGTACTACCTGTTCGATGCCAGGCTTGTCAGGGTTGAGGAGTGGTCTGGTCTCCACATGTTCTGGGATGAGTTTACAGCCCACCCTGGGGATATCCTCCCAGTGCTTTAGCACCGTCAGGGCCAGGTGCTCATCCGTCTGCTTCTTCAGACCTAAAGAGCATCACCAGACCAACCCAGACAGACAGTAATTGTCAACCTGGGGTACTACACTAGTCGAGTACTACCTGGCCTACCCACAGGGAAAGCTCATAAGAACATAGACCTATATGATCAGTTGTACATGAGGGGGTACTTCAGACAGGCAGAGCAAAATGTGATTGGGGGTACAGTAACCAACATGGGAGGGTAGAAAGCATTTCAGGTAATGTTGTTGTGTTGTACTCTATACAGTACCATTTTCATCTTCAATCTCGGTTGGGCCCATGAAGACCCTGTTGGCCACCTTGACCCGTCCTCCAGGGCCGTAGTGGGGTCCGTCCAGCTTGCCCTCTTTACACAGCTTGGCCAGGATCTGGGTCGGCTTCAGGGGATCCCGCCACACGTTGTAGCCATGGCTACAGAGACGAAAAACAAAGATGGAGACAAACAAATTGAATGCCTCACAGTTCTAAGATAATATTGGGTATTTATTTATGAATCCTTTAGGTAAGGATCCTAGGTAAGTCCTGAATTGGATCATATACAGGATCCTGTGTTGTACGTATATATATAGGCAAAAGAGAGGGTGCACCTACATGGATTTGATGCCACATTTTGCTCTGTGCTTGCTGTAATAGTTGCCTGGCTATCCAGACTCCTTGCTCCGGCCAAATGTGTGAGTCGTCAGGCTACTGTAATAGTACTTACATGGCATATTTGGATGGGAGGCCACATATAGCTCTGTGCTTGCTGTAATAGCGGTTCTCCAGATCCAGTTTAGTCTCTCCAATCAGGTCGTCAGTGCCCACTAAGTCCCAGTCATAGACTGACACTGTTAGTGTGGAGTCCATGGGAAATGTGGCTTCGATGTCAAAGGATCTGATGGGTTCAAAATAAATGACTTTTTTAAAGTCTTTTGTCATAACTTATGGTTATTCTTTTCAACATGTTTACACTTTAAATGCGCAAGCTATAATTATACAAGTAGTGCCAGTCAGAGTAAATTACTTGGCTAGCTCGTATGCTATTAATAATTAAGGCCATATCAAGGATAAATTCATTCTACTACGACATCATGAATGTTAGTGGAAATGGACGAAATATTGTTTTTAGAGTTTCTCCACTTACTTGCCAAAGATAGGATTGAGTTGTTTGGAGAGGTAGTTCTCTTTGTCTTTGATGTCTGCCTTTCCCAGTTTGATAGCGATGTACGGATCAGCTTTTCCATTGATATCCGCTGGATGCAGATCAGTTGCCTTTAGAAAATATTTTATTTGGTTTTATTTGACAATCAAGACATTACATGTTAATAATCACAGGATAGTCTAATCTGTAGCTTCCAAGATTAATTCTGATATTTAGGATTGTAAGTTGTACTCAGTACAGTGTAGTGTAGTGAAGTGTAGACAGTGTAGTGTAGTGTAGTGTTGTGTTGTGCAGTGTAGTGTAGTGAAGTGTAGACAGTGTAGTGTAGTGTTGTGCAGTGTAGTGTAGTGTTGTGCAGTGTAGTGTAGTGTAGTGTAGTGTTGTGCAGTGTAGTGTAGACAGTGTAGTGTAGTTTTGTGTTGTGTAGATACCCTGATGATATAGACCCGGACTACAACGTTGATTGGGTCATTGGTTGGAATGTTCTGGAACATGCCCATGTTGGAGTCGAAGCCCATCTCCCTCTGCATCTCATCTGACACCGGCACTTTGTACATGCACAGAGAGCCCTGAAACACAAACAGACATGCACAATTGTTTTAGATTCTGGAAAGAGGGGGGGGATGCGTTCAACTGAAATAGAGCGCCACAGTGAAGGTGTCATAATACCCATAAAACCTAGTGGTCAAACAGGGAAATGGTTCCATTCATTTTTCCCACAGGGGATTTTAGAAACCCTTAAAATAAGGGCTGTGTTTCGTGTTGGCTTACCCTTTGCATGCAACTCTGTTATTTCATGTCACATCACTATATCAGGATTGGGTGGGGTGTGGTATTCAACAAAATAATGGATGCTGTATGCTCAATACTGATTCTTCCTAACCTGGTCCCAGATATTTGTATGCTGTATAGACAACTCTATAGACAACTCCTATAGACAACTCCTATAGACAACTCCTATAGACAACTCCTTTAGTCATTGAACAACTACGGCAGAATCTAATGTACAGCACATGAAGATCTGGGACCAGGCTAGTTCCTTCTCTCTTCCGTCTCCGACAAAGAAGAAGGGAAGGCCATCTGTGTGAAAGGGGTTTTACTTTGAATTTGCCAATAATCCTGTCCTCATCCGCCATGTTCTGGTCGTCGTCGTCTCCAGCCTTCCCTCTGAACAGGTTGAAGGTGTGAAGCCAGTCTTCAAAGTTATCAAAGTCCTTCTCCAACTCCTTCGGGTACACCTAATGAGGAAATACAAAAAGTTGCTCTATACAGTAAAATCATGAAAATAAAGAAAGAAAGAATATACAGTATTTGCCCAGACTTCTGTTTTGAACAGCCTGAATTTAAAATGGATTAAATTGAGATTTTGTGTCAGTGATCTACACACAATACCCCATAATGTAAAAGTGGAATTTTGTTTGTAGAACATTTTTTAAATTAATAAAAAATAAGTATTCAACCCCTTTCTTATGGCAAGCCAAAATAAGTTCAGGAGTACAAATGTGCTCAATAAGTCACATAATAAGTTGCATGGACTCATTCAGTGTTCAATAATAGTGGTTAACATTACTTTTTATGACTACCTCATCTCTGTATCCCACACATACAATTATCTGCAAGGTCCCTCAATCGAGTAGTGAAATTCATGCACAGATTCAACCACCAAGACCAGGGAGGTTTTTCAATGCCTCGCAAAAAAGGGAACTGATTGGTAGATGTGTAAGAATAAAAAAAGCAGACACTGAATATCCCTTTGAGCATGGTGAAGTTATTAATTACACTTTGGATGGTGTATCAATACACCCAGTCACTACAAAGATACAGGCGTCCTTCCTAACTCAGTTGCCGAAGAGGAAGGAAACTGCTCAGGGATTTCACCATGAGGCCAATGGTGATTTTAAAACAGTTACAGTTTAATGGTTGTGATATGAGAAAACTGAGGATGTATCAACAATATTGTAGTTACTCCACAATACTAACCTAAATGACAGAGTGAAAATAAGGAAGCTTGTACAGAAATCAAATATTCCAAAACATGCATCCTGTTTGCAACAAGGCACTTAAGTAATACTGCAAAAATGTGGCAAAGAAATTAACTTTTCGTCCTGAATACAAAGCATTATACAGTATGTTTGGGACAAATCCAACACAACACAACCACTCTTTGGCTGCATCATGTCCTGGGTATGCTTGTCATCAGCAAGGACTGTGGAGTTTTTTTGTTGATAAAAAAAAACAGAATACAGCTATAAGCATAGGCAAAATCCTAGAGAAAAACCTGGTTCAGTCTGCTTTCCAACAGACACTGGGAGACAAATTCACCTTTCAGCAGGACAATAACTTTAAACACAATGCCAAATATACACTGGAGTTGCTTACCAAGACAACATTGAATGTTCCTGAGTGGCCTAGTTACAGTTTTGACTTAAATCAGCTTGAAAATCTATGGCAAGACTTGAAAATGTCTGTCTAGCAATGTGTATGTATGTATGCATGTGTGTATGCAGGTCTCTTCTTCTTATTGGTGTCCTTTAGTAGTGGTTTCTTTGCAGCAATTCCACCATGAAGGCCTGATTCACACAGTGTCCTTTGAACAGTTGATGTTGAGATGTGTCTGTGACTTGAACTCTGTGAAGCTTTCATTTGGGCTGCAATTTCTGAGGCTGGTAACTTTAATGAACTTATTCTCTGTAGCAGAGGTAACTCTGGATCTTCCATTCCTGTGGCGGTCCTCATGAGAGCCAGTTTCATCGTAACGCTTGATGGTTTTTGCGACTGCACTTGAAGAAACTTTCAAAGTTCTTGAAATGTTCCGTATTGACTGACCTTCATGTCTTAAAGTAATGATGGACTGTCATTTATCTTTGCTTATTTGAGCTGTTCTTGCCATAATATGGACTTGGTCTTTTACCAAATAGGGCAATCTTCTGTATACCCCACCTACCTTGTCACAACACAACTGATTGGCTCAAATGCATTAAGAAGGAAAGAAATTCCACAAATTAACTTTGAAGAAGGCACACCTGTTAATTGAAATGCATCCCAGCTGACTACCTCATGAAGCTGGTTGAGAGAATGCCAAGAGGGTGCAAAGCTGTCATCAAGGCAAAGGGTGGCTGTTTGAAGAATCTCAAATATAAAATATATTTTGAATTGTTTAACACTTTTTTGGTTACTACATGATTCCATATGTGTTATTTCATCGTTTTGATGTTTTCACTATTATGTACAAAATTGTAAAAAAAAAAAAAAAAAAAAAAACTTTGAACGAGTAGGTGTGTCCAAACTTTTGACTGGTACTGTATGTACATATATGATCAACAATAAACTTGACAGAGCTTGAAGAATTATGTGCAAATATTGTACAATTCAGTGCAAAGCTCTCAGACTTACCCCCCCCCCCCCCCCCCCCCCCCCCCAAAGACTAACAGCAGTTAATCGCAGCCAAAGGTGTTTCTATAAAGTATTGGCTCAATGATGTGAATACTCATGTAAATGAGATATTTCTGTATTTAATTTTCAATACATTTGTTAAGTTTTCACTTTTTGTGTAGATGAGTGAATATATATACATATATTTTTACATCCATTTTGAATCCAGGCTGTAACACAACACAATGTTGAGTAAGTCAAGGAGTATGAATACTTTCTGAAGGCACTGTAATCTGTTTTGCTGGCTGGGTGGTGTTGAGTAGCCACATACCTGCAGCTCATTGAGTTTGTGCTTCTTCTTCTCTGGTATTTCTCCAGGCCGCTTCTTGTCCTTCTTTCCCTTTCCTTTCTTTCCTTTGACAGGAGAGTCATCAGGTTTGATATCTGAGGTTAGGGACATGGGGTGAGGGGTGAGGGGTGAAAACTGAATATGAACGGTCAGTGGCGATGCATCACGTGGGCGCAGGTGTGGCTGAGCCCCACCATTATCCAGGAGATTTGCAATTCTGTTATTTCATGTCACAACAATATAACATTTTAGCACCCAATTGAATTTTATTTAAAGAATTGTTTGATCTAATAAAGTATACGTGGTCGCTTTCCCATTGTATTCTTGTTTTGTAAATTTTCATTGACTAAGGAAGCTCCTAAAGGCAGCTGTTTCAGCCTCGCTCGTGGTGGAGTGGCAGACAGAGAAATTACAGAGCATAAGCGTCATTGATTTTCTCTGGTTGCGCGTGATTGGCTAAGGGTGCTGTCACTCATGGGGATACTACATCACCGCAGCACCTGCTAAGAGAGCTTGCCAGATAAATCAACATCTTAGGCCCGGTAACTTTGATTAGACTGATGTTTCAACTTCATAGCTAGCTAGTTGTTTACCACGCACTGTTACCACGTCTTCAACCTAGGTAACTTAGCTAGCTGAAACATGTCGACAAGCTTAGCTATCTCCTAGCAAATCACTTTCAAACTTAGCTGTATGAAGGAAATGTCGAGATAAAACGTCTTGGTGCTCGTTAGCCACCTACATTTTAAAATATGTCCATCCATTAAAATAAAGTAAGCTGGAAAAGAAGATTCAAGTGGAGTGGTTGGTGGTGGGTCATGGAGCAGGGTCTCTGTTTTGAGGTAGGCTAGCTATAACACCCTATAGGCTACCAGTCTTATTGTTGATGTTTGATGGCAGACTGTAATACCCATTGAACCACATGTAGAAGAAGGGTTAGTTATAAATATATTTGATGGAACTGGAACTGTGCAATAGATGACGCGAGGGAATAGCGTTACAAACGTTACATATTGTTAACCGGGCCCCTTTATAACAGGCAGACGTATGCAGTGTCGCAATATTGCAGACTGATTACTAGCTAGTTTATTCTATAATAGTATGCGACTACCATGGACTTCCGTGCAATAAGAGTTAAAGATGTGGGGAGTAGCCATAAACTGATCATAACCCAAACGTTATAACGGCTCAAAACTCATTTTTAGGGTTGGGATTGTGCTGGTTTCGATGCACATCGTGAGCTTTGTTGATTAAGTTTGCCCTACCAATATGTTCATGTTAAAATCGTCTCTGTGAACAGTATATACAGTGAATGCCAGTGCAACAGACCTTTCAGAATAGCTAGGACAACATTTAGCCAATAGGTCATAAGCTTAGCTTTGCACACAATCTCTGCACAATAGTGCATTTGGGATTCAAAAAGATTTGTTTGTTAGTTTTATATAAACTGTTTTATGTATCATGTTAATTCAAAGCTATCCTTAACTATTTATGTGTGTTTTACACATTGTTCATATTTTACATAGACATCTTCCATGACCGGCATAATGGTAATAGATATGCAGTTGAAGTGATGGAAATCATGGATTCATGACAGAGGTCAGGGATTATGGTAAGGGTTCATGTCTGTGTTAATGTATGCAGAGATTAACTATGACAGAGGTCAGGGGTCATGGGAAGGGTTAGTAGTAGGGGTTGTCCTGATTCTAAGAGGACAACACATACTGGATAGTAGGTACATGAAAGTGGACATAGCACACAACCTGATAATTCCATTCGACTGCAATAATAACATTCTACTTTAAAGTCCAATGATCAATATGCAAAGGTTCATGATTATGCTGGACCATCTACAAGACTTTAAGGTTTGTCTGTATCTATGGTATCTACATTTCAATCTCTACCAAATTAACAGACATCAGCAACCTTAACATGAGAACATATTGATGATACATAGAAATCTGTATAGATAAATCCTAGATGTTCTAGATCTGCCTCTCTGGTGTTTTCCACAGTGTAGGATTGTATTTGTTACCTCCACCCTCAGCAGAAATATCCTGGTCCTCTTTCTCCTCGGCGTCCGCCATAGCTGCCTCCTGAGCCTTGAGAATCTACCGAGTCACACACAAACCAATAATATCAAATACACAGTAGCCATAAAATGATAATAATGTTAAAGGAAAAACGAAATAACAATGCCATTTTCACGGATGGCCTCACCTCCATCAGAGTTTCGATCGAGGCGAAGTACTTTGACCACCAATCCAACATGCTCTCATCAAACTCCTCCTCCTCCACCTCGTCTCCTCCTCCCTTCTTCCTCTTCTTCTTCTTCCCTCCCTTCTCATCCTCCTACAACATCAATGTAAGGTTAGATTACAGGTTGCAATAGCCCTTTTTTTATATTTTAAACTACTGTACAAACTTAACAAATAAACCGTCACCCTACAAATGCTTTTAACATTGTCCCTACATTGAGAAACAGAGACATTTCCAGATCAACGTCGTAACGCTTACCTCAATTTTAACCACCGCATCAGACCCCTGAAAAACACCACAAAACATATAATATCAGCTATATTACAACTCAGGATGTTTTATTCAAGTTTATTATTCAAGTTAACATTAATGTAACGGTGTGAGATCTTACAGAGTCCAGCTTGACCATGGTCTCCATCTTCTTGATGGAGGGCTCTGGCTCGTAGTTGACAATGATCTCCTCTGGGAGAGGAGAAAGACTGCATGAGTATCAGTGGTACAAATCATTTATCTTCCCGACCTTTGCAAAGTGCAAGGGCACTGCGAGGTGTGTGTGTGTGTGTGTGTGTGTGTGTGTGTGTGTGTGTGTGTGTGTGTGTGTGTGTGTGTGTGTGTGTGTGTGTGTGTGTGTGCGGGCGTGTGCGTGTATGTGTGTGCATGTGTGTGTACCTTCAGTGTTCCAGTTGTTGGCTTGCTTGTCTGTTGCCCGGTAGATGAACTTGCGTAATGTGGTGACAGCATGGTTCCCCACTAAGGTGTAGCGACCGAACGCTCTGCAGTCCACCACTCTGATGTTCAGGGGAGGGTGGAGCAGCTCATTCTCAGGCAAATCCTGAAGAACATAAGTTCACAGTAAATGAATGGGCCACATTTGGCACATGGCATCTTAATGGTGTCATTTCCTGGTTGGAAAAACGGTTTTCTGGTTGAGAAGACTTGATATAATCACATTAAAACCAACTGATCTCTGTTACAGTAAGGTCAAGATTTAGTTTTCATGACGACATCACAACGTCATGGGAAAATCGTCATATTTTGGTTGTTATTAGGCGAGAACCAGGTGAATGATGGAATGATTTTAAAGAGAACTCACCACCTCAAACATCTTAACCAGGGTGCCGAAGTTGGGATTTTTCTTGTAGTTCTGGATGAGGGAAGACTGGACTCCTTTACCGGCACATTCTATGTCCACACGAGGCCTGTCCACCGCGGCTAGGTTGACCCTCTTCAGGTCCCTGAGGCCCCAGAACAGCACCTGGAAAATGGAACAATTCAGTAATACTTTATTTAAAGGGTACCTACATCAGGCCTTCATACCCCATTCATAACCCATTCATGACACATTCATAACATATTCATAACCTATTCATAACCCGTTCATAACCCGTTCATAACCCGTTCATAACCCATTCATAAGCAGTACATAAGCATTTCCTAAATGTTACAGCAATATTGACAGCTACACTTCCTGTACACCAAGAGGAGGTTAACTCCCACCTCGATCCTGTACTTGCTGAGGACTGGTCTGATGCCCAGAGGGACAGGTAGGATGGGACCACGGTCCATGTCTGTAGGACCGTCGATGGGCGGCAGGTCAGCTTTACCATGCGGACCAATCTGAAAAATTAACAGACGTTACAGACATCAACATTACTGATTCATTTAGGTCTAATCAAATAATCTATTGTCACATGACTGGCAGAAATAATATTTAGTTTTACTATTATTAACCTAGGAAATCTCAGAATACAAAAACTTTGAAAGTAAACGTTTGTTCAACTTCTACCTTTATTTGTCCCACAATCAATTTCCCTCCACTTTGGGACAAATAATGTTGAGGTTGATCTATTGCCAGGCTCACCTGCAGCAGTTCGAAGGCTGCCAGCATCTCTCCAGCGGTGCAGTTCCCCCTATAGATCTGGTAGTACTCTAGTTGGGGAGGGAAACGTGGAGGTCCGTAGTGTTCGTCAGCCATCTTGGTTATGGGCTTGGCGAAGGTCCTGCCCATGAACTCTGCTTTGCCCTGGAGTCACATCATAACATAACAGGAAGACATATAACCCTGAACCTGCTTTGATAAATCAAGGACCACACCACGTCCACAATTATGAATTAAGGTTTAAATATTTGAAAGAATGGTCTCTTTGTAATACTGTACTATCTACAATCCGAAGAAATTGGCCTGTGTTCACATACAATAGAGGGTGTTCATGCCACATCATTCATCAATAGGTTAAGTATGGTATTAGCTTTACCCAACAAAGAAGCATGGCTTGACAATGCACATGCTTCAAAGCTCAAGATAATACAGGAGAACAATGAAAATAAACTAGCCCTGGTCCCAGATCTGTTTGTACTGTTTTGCCAACTTGACTTTAGGAGTTAGCTATACACACACACACTTCAGAACAGATCTGGGACTAGGCTAAAAAATGATGGAAATGACACCCAAACATAACCACTGTACCGCATAAGCAAAAAGCTTCCATTGAAGGAATGCAAGAGGGGTAAGGCTGATGTCCAGTGAATGTGTCTTTCCAGCTAAATCTTTTATACCTCTTGCATGCCTTGGTCCAAGGCTCTACAACCCTGTTCCTGGAGAGCTACCGTCCAGTAGGTTTTTGCTCCGACCCTAATTAAGCACACCTGATTCTAATAATTAGCTAGTTGATAAAGCTGATTCCATATTGCTGAATCAGGTTTGTTAGAACTGGGGTTGGAGCAAAAACCTACAGGAGGGTAGCTCTCCAGGAACAGGGTTGGAGAGCACTAGTCTTGTACGAATTATCCTGATCTCGCGAGCTTACATTCTGTTTTCGCGAAACAGAACATCAGCTCGCGAGATCAGGATGGTTCATACGAGGCTAGGAGAGCCCTGCCTAGGGGCATAATGCTCTCATCCACTACTCCAAGACTTCAATCAGAATGAAATTCACACTCTACTTATCCCGAGCCAGGGTCATCCAAAACAATGGTGTTTATGTTCAGGAATAGATATAAGATCATCAGTTGAGTAAACATATACATTCTTTCAAATATAATTCATATAAATCAGATTAACATGTAAGTTGCAACATTATTTAAAAATGATGCTAACAAAGCACCTACTACTGTATCTACAAGATCTCATTGAAATGCAGAGACTCATTTTATGTTACTTAGAGGACTGGAGCAGCAAGGAAAGAGAGGTCTGGGTTCTAACCAGGCATCATGCTTACCACCGTGTCCTGGTCATAGATTTCTATGACGATTATAGGAGGGTCGTCCCTGAGTTCGCCGACCTCTCCGAACAGTTCTACGTTGTCGAACACCATCAGCTGGTCCCAGGTGGGGCACAGTGTCTCATTCAGCACCTGGGCAGAGAATGATATTAATTAATTAATTCATTCATTCATTCACCATCTTGTTACTCTCGTTCACCATTCTGTTATTCTTATACTGATTCTTAAATTACTTGAAAGATGATAGAAAGTTATATTCATGGAATCACTGTATTTAAAAAAAATGAATAAACAAACAAACAAATCTAGTTGTCCTACCTCTGTGACCTGGCTGTGTGTGGAGAAGAAGACCCTGGCGAAGGGGTCAGAGAGGCCGCTGCTGTCTGCCGCAAACAGGCTGCGAGCCTGGTACATATGGACCCTCAGCTGGAAGATCTGCTTCACTGTGGAGGGGGAAGATAGATAAGCATTTATCAATGGGATTCTCTAGCTTCCCTTCTTCGTAGTGATACAATATGTGAATAGAATTAGAACTACTAGAAAAAACATTCCCATTCAAGTCAACGCTCCCTGAAGAACGTCAGGGATGACAACCACCATAAGGAGTTTGCTATAAAGCACAGACCGAGACCACCAGGGTAAATCTGAGGGATTTGTCCGTTCTATTCATTCTGTTTCTATGGATATGTGGATATGTGTGGCACATGCATGGGACATCACCATCTCCCTTACTCATGTGTCTAGACCGCTGATAATGTAAGCATTTATCAGTCCCTCTTACTCATGTATGTGAGGCTGATGGGGGGAGCAGACTGTGAGCCAGGTCCTTTCAGCATCTTGTTCTCCTCAAAGCCGTTGGGCAGACCAGACAGGAAGTCTTTCCTCTGACGGTTCAGACCCAGCCACAGGTAGATCTCTGTCTTAGCCTGCACTGTCCAGCCAGCTGCCCCAAAGCCCTTCTTACCAGGCAGCTGGGCATGATGAGGCAAACACATGAAGGAAAATCAGATGGACGCACCAGCAGTGGTTCAAAACAAGTTAAAACTGAAAAGGGAATGGCTGTAATTATTACTTTTGGGGGATTTCAAGCTAAATCAATAAACACACACTGGAAGAGGAAATAGGCTTTGGTTTTGGACGTAGAATAACTATTCAAAGACCTTAAGGAAGATGGTTTTGACTTTGCCACAGTCCTTCCCAGTCTCCTCCTCCACCCCGGAGTACAGGATGTCTTTGGAGGGGACACGGGCGTAGGCGATACGCTTGTTGTTACTCATCATCCAGATGTAGATGTCAGGGATGCTGTGCTGAGGCTGCAATTACACACAGAGGATTCAATCAATCAGCCAGTCAATCAACCAATCAATCAATCTCAAATATATTTATTGTCCCAATTGGGAAATGTGTAGTGCAAACAGGGTTAAAACAACAATAACAACCATTCAACAAATATACACATAATATAAAGGAAAAAAAAAAGATGAACAAAGACATCTGGAATGGAATCAATAGCTTTAGATTGATTAACTATTGTATATGTACCATACATATATACCCCTTCCTGACTTACCTCGTCAGCTAGGAACCTGAGCTTTTGGAGGAAGTTCTGCACCATCTTGATCTTATCCCTCACTGTGTTCTTCTTCACCTGTGTCCTGATGGTCTTAGCCTGCTGACCTATGTTCTCCTACAAGCACACACAATGAGACAAGTACACTTTTTACCACTGACACACGAATGGCCTGTTTCCTGGACACAGACAAAGCCCAGTCTTGGACTAAAAGCAGGCTCAGTAGAAATAGCGTTTTAGTCCAGGACTAGTCCAGGACTGGGTGTAATATGTGACAGAGAATCATATATAAAAACACTACAGTCATAGATCATGTTTGCCGTACCAGTTCCCTCATGCAGGACTTGAGTCTCTCTTTGTCCAGCTTGGTCCTCCCAGTCTGGTTCTGGTCCTTGTTAGCCAGAGTCAGAAATTGACTAGAAAAAATGATTAAATGTCAGTCAATGGCAGCGTTCCAAATGGCACCCTATTCCCTATATAGTACACTACTTTAGATCAGAGCTTATTGGATACAGACAATGTCCTCCTAAAAACAAGGAATTGAGTAAGACAGTACAGAGCCAGTAGTAGGACTTAGTAGTGTTATCAGTATAGAGCCAGTAAGACTCAGTAGTGTTATCAGTATAGAGCCAGAAGTAGGACTCAGTAGTGTTATCAGTATAGAGCCAGAAGTAGGACTCAGTAGTGTTATCAGTATAGAGCCAGTAGTAGGACTCAGTAGTGTTATCAGTATAGAGCCAGTAGTAGGACTCAGTAGTGTTATCAGTATAGAGCCAGTAAGACTCAGTAGTGTTATCAGTATAGAGCCAGAAGTAGGACTCAGTAGTGTTATCAGTATAGAGCCAGTAGTAGGACTCAGTAGTGTTATCAGTATAGAGCCAGTAGTAGGACTCAGTAGTGTTATCAGTATAGAGCCAGTAGTAGGACTCAGTAGTGTTATCAGTATAGAGCCAGTAGTAGGACTCAGTAGTGTTATTAGTATAGAGCCAGTAGTAGGACTCAGTAGTGTTATCAGTATAGAGCCAGTAGTAGGACTCAGTAGTGTTATCAGTATAGAGCCAGTAGGACTCAGTAGTGTTATCAGTATAGAGCCAGTAGTAGGACTCAGTAGTGTTATCAGTATAGAGCCAGTAGTAGGACTCAGTAGTGTTATCAGTATAGAGCCAGTAGTAGGACTCAGTAGTGTTATCAGTATAGAGCCAGTAGTAGGACTCAGTAGTGTTATCAGTATAGAGCCAGTAGTAGGACTCAGTAGTGTTATCAGTATAGAGCCAGTAGTAGGACTCAGTAGTGTTATCAGTATAGAGCCAGTAGTAGGACTCAGTAGTGTTATCAGTATAGAGCCAGAAGTAGGACTCAGTAGTGTTATCAGTATAGAGCCAGCAGTAGCACTCAGTAGTGTTATCAGTATAGAGCCAGTAGTAGGACTCAGTAGTGTTATCAGTATAGAGCCAGTAGGTCTCAGTAGTGTTATCAGTATAGAGCCAGTAGTAGGACTCAGTAGTGTTATCAGTATAGAGCCAGTAGTAGGACTCAGTAGTGTTATCAGTATAGAGCCAGAAGTAGGACTCAGTAGTGTTATCAGTATAGAGCCAGTAGTAGGACTCAGTAGTGTTATCAGTATAGAGCCAGAAGTAGGACTCAGTAGTGTTATCAGTATAGAGCCAGTAGTAGGACTCAGTAGTGTTATCAGTATAGAGCCAGTAGTAGGACTCAGTAGTGTTATCAGTATAGAGCCAGTAGGACTCAGTAGTGTTATCAGTATAGAGCCAGTAGTAGGACTCAGTAGTGTTATCAGTATAGAGCCAGTAGTAGGACTCAGCAGTGTTATCAGTATAGAGCCAGTAGTAGGACTCAGTAGTGTTATCAGTATAGAGCCAGTAGTAGGAACTCAGTAGTGTTATCAGTATAGAGCCAGTAGTAGGACTCAGTAGGGTTATCAGTATAGAGCCAGTAGTAGGAACTCAGTAGTGTTATCAGTATAGAGCCAGAAGTAGGACTCAGTAGTGTTATCAGTATAGAGCCAGCAGTAGCACTCAGTAGTGTTATCAGTATAGAGCCAGTAGTAGGACTCAGTAGGGTTAAAGGATCAGTATAGAGCCAGTAGGAACTCAGTAGGGTTAAAGGGTCAGTAGAGACCTGCATCCATTGCTGAGATCCTCCAGGACCCCTCTCAGTCTGCGTTCAGGATAGGCCTTCTCTGTTTTAATGACCTCCTGAACATCGTTCAGACCCTCCTCCTGTTGACACAGTGTTACAGACATGATAGAACATTACTCTGATGTTTTAAGAATGTTGGTAATATAACTATTTATTATGTTTTACTAATGTCGTTCTTACACATTTCAATTGAGTAACAGTGATTGATTGACCCACCAGTTTATCGGCAATGTTGTCTATAAGGTTGGCATTGTACAGTCTTCTTCTCTGGTCCTGCCACCAGCTCTTGATGTAAATACACGGCTTCCTCTCAAAGTAAGGCAGGTGGAAATAGTTTCTGAAGGTTTGAGATGCATAAAAAGAGAGAATGAAACCTGACCTAGAGAAACTTACGATCCAGTTGCAGAAAAAACAACAATCCCAGCAGGAAAACTAGCTGAAATGATTGTCATTAGAACTAGTTCACAACCAGAACTAACTTCCTTTTAACCAGCTTGGCACGCTGGGGTACTCTGCCAGTGAGTCTGTTGGGATTTGACAAGGGTTGCAAAATTCTGGGAACTTTTAATGAATTCCCTAATTTTCCGGTTGGAGAATTCCCTGGATCAGGAGGGAATAAGCAGGAAATCCGGAATCCTCCAACCAGGATTTCTAGAAAACCAGGGAATTTATTGAAAGTTCCCAGAATTTTGCAACCCTAGATATGACCTGTCGGTGATGACTAGTTTCATGGGCGGGATGGTGGACACTGAGACCAGGTCATTATAATGTCATGTGTCTGTTGGGATCTGACCTGTCGGTGATGACTGGTTTCATGGGCGGGGTGGTGGACACAGACCAGGTCATTATAATGTCATGTGTCTGTTGGGATCTGACCTGTCGGTGATGACTGGTTTCATGGGCGGGGTGGTGGACACTGAGACCAGGTCATTTTCATCTTCCTCCTCTTCATCACTGGATCCATGGATCAGTTCTGTCTCCTCTTCATCTCCGTCTCCCCCACTCTTCTTCCCGCTACTCGACTTGGGTTTGGTCACACCATCAATCTCGCTACCATAGTTACCTGGTTAAAAGACGCACTTTTAAAATATGCCGATATAAATCAAAGGTTGGTTACCCGGACACAGATTAAGCCTAGTAATGGATTAGAAAGAATTGGGATGGAGGCCTGGGCAGATTGGGATGGAGGCCCGGACCCAGATTAAGCCTAGTAATGGATTAGAAAGAATTGTCAATGGAGAATCTTCATTGAGGGATGGTTTCTCAGGGACGGATTGAGGCTAGTCCTAGACTATAAAACCCAGGACTAGTCTTAAAGTAACTGTCCAGCGTAAATCTCACTTTTAAAAGTTAATATTCTGTTAACTCATACCTAAATAATGTTGTTGACTCATCCTATACTTGTATTTGTGGCAAAAGCATAAATTTAGAGAAAAAAAAAACTTCACAAACCCCACCTCAAACAGACCGTTTAAAAAATGCTTGCTATTTCCTCATAGAGGATGATGTCATGTTGGCTCATTGGCTGAGATATTGAAGCTACCAACCTATTGTAACCTCGAAGCAGATTGGTTTGTCCCCGATCTTCCTGTCAATCATGGTGGCCTCCAGGAATGCCCCAAAGAGGAAGAACTCCTCCACTTTCCCTGTGGCACTCTGGATGGAGAGAGACACAAAAATTAACATGGATATACATTATAACAGGATAATTCCCCCCCCATTTTCACAATGGTATTCTTGATGGATGGAGACACAAAGATCAATATGGAAACCCTCATATGTGATAACTAGATGTACACTACATGACCAAAAGAATGTGGACACCTGCTCGTCGAACATCTCATTCCAAAATCATGGGCATTAATATGAATTTGGTCACCCCTTTGCTGCTATAACAGCCTCCACTCTTCTGGGAAGGCTTTCCACTAGATGTTGGAACTTTGCTGTGGGGACTTCCATTCAGCCACAAGAGCATTAATGAGTTTGCGCACTGATGTTGTGCGATTCGGCTTGCAGTCAACGATGGGGTTGAGGTCAGGACTCTGTGCAGGCCAGTCAAGTTCTTCCACACCGATCTCGACAAATCATTTCTGTATGGACCTCGCTTTGTGCACAGGGGCATTGTCATTCTGAAACAGGAAAGGGCCTTCCCCAAACTGTTGGCACAAAGTTGGAGGCATAGAATTGTAGAGAATGTCATTGTCTGCTGTAGCGTTAAGATTTCCCGTCACTGGAACTAAGGGGCCTATCCCGAACCATGAAAAACAGCCCCAGACCATTAATCCTCCTCTACCAAACTTTACATTTGGCACTATGCATTGGGGCAGGAAGCGTTCTTCTGGCACCCACCAAATCCAGATTCCTCCGTCAGACTGCCAGATGGTGACGCGTGATTCATCACTCCAGACAACGCATTTCCACTGGTGTCCAATGGCGGCGAGCTTTACACCACTCCAGCCGATGCTTGGCATTGCGCATGGTGATCTTAGGCTTATGTGCGGCTGCTCGGCCATGGAAACCCATTTCATTAAGCTCCTGACAGTTCTTGTGCTGACGTTGCTTCCAGAGGCAGTTTGGAACTCTGTAGTGAGTGTTGCAACTGAGGACAGATAATTTTTTACGCGCTATGCACGTCAGCACTCGGTGGTCTCGTTCTGTGAGTTTGTGTGGCCTACCACTTCGCGGCTGAGCCGTCGTTGTTCCTAGACGTTTCCACTTCACAATAACAGCACTTACAGTTGACCGGGACAGCTCTAGCTGGGCAGAAATTTGACGAACTGACTTGTTGGAAAGGTGGCATCCTATGACGGTGCCACGGTGAAAGTCACTGAGCTCTTCAGTAAGGCCATTCTACTGCCAATATTTGTCTATGGAGATTGCATGGCTGTGTGCTCGATTTTATACACCTGTCAGCAACGGGTGTGGCTGAAATAGCCCGAATCCACTAATTTGAAGGGGTGTCCACATATTTTTGTATATATAATGTATGGTTTGAGAATGATGTAGCGTGTATAATATGGTGTATGATGTATCAAAATATATGAGACTATGGTGAGTATTTCCATGATGAGTATGGAAATATGGTGCATGCAGAGTTCTGGTCCAGGATCTGGCAAAGACCAGTGACGGTTAGATAGACGCTCCCTCGTTCAATCGGCTCTGTGACTTACATTGTCTGAACACATAAAAGACCTCTATCGATGGAAACAGTCAGTTAATAATGTAGCATCAAGGATCAGCTAAATAAAGATGATGAATAATTTAGTCAGATTGCACCGCAATGACCTGTTGTTGTGAGGTGTCAGTCACTGTAGGAGGGTTTGTCTGCTTGAGCACTCACCCAAGAAAGAAAGAAAGAAAGAAAGAAAGAAAGAAAGAAAGAAAGAAAGAAAGAAAGAAAGAAAGAAAGAAAGAAAGAAAGAGAGAGAGAGAGAGAGAGAAAGAGAGAGAGAGAGAGAGAGCGAGAGAGAGAAAGAGACAAAGAGAGAGAGAGAGAGAGAGACAGAGCGTGTGTGTGTGTATGTATGTGTGTGTGTGTGTGTGCGTGTGTGTGTGTGAGACCCACCTCTGAGATGTTGGGCACCCCCTCCACCTTGACCTCAGTGGAGCTCATGACCTCCGGAGAGGAGGTGTCCAGGATCTCCACACCCAGGCTGACCAGCAGACGGGCCCTGAAGGACACCCCCTCCCCCAGACCCTCGTTCAGGTCCTGGTGCTCGTCCATGATGGTGTAGCTACGTGTGGAGCCATACATGTTCACCCAGGCCGGACCCAGGGTGGGAAGGAAGCCTGGGAGAGAAGGGTATGGGTGTTAAGAACATGGCAACTTTGCAATTGCTTTTGGAGATTGGAGCGCTAACACAGCCAACTCCGGACCACACACTGTTAAAACGCATCTCTCGGTTGGTTAAACATGGTCAGACTTTTCATGAGGTAATACTTCTCCAAATTGGTCCAGCTTGGACTCATTACACTTGACTTGACTCTACCCCAGGGCTCTCCAACCCTGTTCCTGGGGAGCTACCGTCCTGTAGGTTTTCACTCCAACTCTAATCTAGCACGCCTGATTCTAATCATTGGCTGGTTGTGAGTTGATTTAATAGATACAACTGGAGTTGGAGCAAAAACCTACAGGAAGGTAGCTCTCCGCGAACAGGGTTGGAGTGAAAACCTACAGGAGGGATGGGCTCTACAGGAACAGGCTGGGAGAGCCCTGCTTTATACAAACACCAAATATATCAAAAATGAAACACAAAAAAAAGAAACGAAAACATTTCTCCACTGAAGCACCTTTGTCTCCATCATTGGCGATCTTTCTCAGGTCAATGAAGTGTGTTCCGAGGGCCACGTCGTTCACTTTGTCTGAGTCTCGGATCTGGACCTTCATGCGTTTGCAGAGCGGTGGAAACATCTCAGTGAAGATGATCTGCTCGTTCCAGATGGGCTCGTAGCTGCTCTTCTGGATAGATGTTTTCCCCTGGGATCACAAAGCAGTCCACAGAGACACTACAATAAAACAAGTTGTGCCCATTGCATGTAGCATGACATAACATAGCGTAGCATAACATAGCGTAGCATAACATAGAATAACATATCATAGCATAACATAGCGTAGCATAACATAAAATAACATAGCGTAGCATGACATAACATAGCGTAGCATAACATAGAATAACATATCATAGCATAACATAGCGTAGCATAACATAAAATAACATAGCGTAGCATAACATAACATAGCGTAGCATAACATAACGTAGCATAACATAGTTTAACATAACATAGCGTAGCATAACATAGTTTAACATAACATAGAATAACATAACATAGTTTAACAGACACACGCATATAGATACATATGATAACACATGCACTCTACACACACGTACACATTGTGTTGTAGATATGTGGTAGTAGAGTAGTGGCCTGAGGGAACACACTTAATGTGTTATGAAAAGTGTTATGAAATATAATGTCATGTAATATTTTTTATTGTATATAACTGCCTTAATGTTGCTGGACCCCAGGAAGAGTAGCTGCTGCCTTGGCAGCAGCTAATGGGGATCCTTAATAAATACAAATAACATAACATAGTTTAACATAACATAGAATAACATAACATCATTTAAAGTAACATAGCATAACATAACATTGTTTAACGTAACATAGCATAGCACCAGAACAGTGCTATAACTTACCCTCTGGCCAGCGAACAGTATTTGTACATAAGGGTCCACAAGGTCCTTGTTCTCCCCTATGAAAGCCTTCTTGACATTAGCCATGATGCTGGTGTTCATCTTGGGAAGGCCCTCGGCTCGGTAGATCTTCACATAGTAGCGAGCCCACTGGCGCTCCGTGGGAACCCCCTCAGGTAACAGGAGGTTACTGAAACCACAGAATTAAAGAGAACACTTGTAACACACTGTGTTGCATCTCTATGACTAAAACAGCAATAGAAAGTAAGCAAGAATTGTGAGAGGGGAGATCTTTCGCAGGGCTCTTTAGAGCAGGGAGGGGCAACTTTGATAGTAGTGGGGGCCACAAAAAATCTGAACTCATCATGAGGGGCCGCAGTGGCTCGCGGGTCTGCATACCTACATCCATACCCACACATGTAGTCAGCCTCTTGCGGGCCCTAAGCAACGTTTTGTTGGGTAATTTACAACTACAATTACTACTTTTCTCACTCATATCCCAAGTAATATGTTGGTTAGGGTTCATTACTACAACAGTATTACTGCTTTTTCCAGTGGTGTTAAGTACTTAAGTAAAAATACTTTAAAGTACAAATTAAGTAGTTTTTTGGGGTATCTGTACTTTACTTTACTATTTATATTTTGGACAACTTTTACTTTTACTTCACTACATTCCTAAAGAAAATAATGTACTTTTTACTCTATACATTTTCCCTGACACCCACCCAAAAGTACCTGTTACATTTTGAATGCTTAGCAGGACATGAAAATTGTCCAATTCACGCACTTATCAAGAGAACATCCCTGGTCATCCCTACTGCCTCTAATCTGGCGGACTCACTAAACACACATGCTTCATTTGTAAATGATGTCTGAGTGTTGGAGTCTGCCCCTAGCGATCTGTAAATTTAAAAAAACCAGAAAATGGTTCCGTCTGGTTTGATTAATAGAAGGAATTCGAAATGATTATACATTTACTTTTGATACTTAAGTATATTTAAAACCAAATACTTTTAGACTTTCACTTTTACTTGAGTCATTTTCTATTAAGGTATCTTTACTTTTACTCAAGTATGACAATTGAGTACTTTTTCCACAACTGTTGTTTTCTCACTCATATCCCCAGTAATATGTTGGTTAGGGTTCATTACTTCTACAGTATTAGTGGTTTTCTCACTCATATCCCCAGTAATTTGTTGGTCGTTGTTTACCCTTCTATGTCATCTTCATCGGTTTCCGTGGCCTTGTGGGGAGTCTTGATGTTGTCTCCTTTACCCACGACGGCGATGTCACATTTAATGTAACCTTTGCACCCGGCAGTGATGTCATCAGGGTCAGAGAGAAGGGCCCATTTGTGGAAAAATTGGTGTTCTGTTGGACATTTTTTAAATAAAATAAAAACATCAACATGAATATGTATAACGGTAGGTACCAGAACCATAGATGGGTCAGTAGTAGCTACCATGTTTCCCTCTGTTTCTCCCTGACCTGGCTGTGAGTAGACAGTGCCTACGTCCAGTTTGAAAGAGCCAACCAGGGTCCCACTACGCAACAGGTTCTTGGAGTGGATTACCTGAGGGATGGATGAGCAGAGATGTGCTTCAATAACATGTGACCTGAATTGAATATTATGAATGACTATATAAATAATGGACACAGCGATTCCCATGGTTCTCCATTCATTTATATATGGAGGGGAATTCTTGCACGGCTGTTTGGTTGTTTGTATGGTGGTAGAGCTACTCACCGACAGCTTCAGGATCTTGTCAAACATAACATCCGATGGGACGTGGAAGTCAAAGACAAAATACTAAAAGAGAAATGTGAGATAAAGTAAATGCGTGAGGGTAGTTTGCTGTTAAAATGTGTAGCTTTATTGAAAAATGACTATACATGCAATTACAGTGTTGTAGATCTTGTTATAATCATCATCACCCTCATCATCATCATCATCATCATCACCCTCATCATCAACCTCCTCCTCCTCCTCCTCCTCATCATCATCATTCTAGAGCAGGTTGGTTACCTCATTGTAGTATGGGCAGTTTGTCGACTCCTTCATCTGAGTGTACTTCTTATCATCTCCGATCTCCACACAGACCACTGGGTCCATGTTCAGCCCTACTAGCTGTCTGGCCTCTACGATGGTAACACTAACCTAGTGAAATAGGGTTATCATGTATAAACACTCTAGAGTATAACACTAACCTGGTGAAATAGGGTGATCATGTATAAACACTCTTCAGTATAACAATATGTTAAATGCTGACTATTCCTTGATTCATTGAGCATACTGTATAGTTTCATTTACTTGGTAATCCACTGGTCTCCCGGCACTAGGTTCCATCTTAATGTCTGGTTTTGATCTGACGTTAGACACATGTTAGAAAGACGTTTCAGTGTGAATAAATCAATGCAGACTTTCATTTCAGAATTCTGAAAAACTAGAGGATACTACATTGTAAACAATGTAATTGAAACACCAGTCTTCAATCCAACACTCAGAGTTTGCTTCTATGTTATCTTACTACACTGAACAAAAATATAAACACAACATGTAAAGTGTTGGTCCCATGTTTCATGAACTGAAATAAAAGATCCCAGAAATGTTCCAAATTTGTTTACATCCCTGTTAGTGAGCATTTCTCCTCTGCCAAGATAATCCATCCACCTGACAGGTGTGGCGTATCAAGAAGCTGATTAAACAGAATGATCATTACACAGGTGCACCTTGTGCTGGGGACAATAAAAGGCCAATTGAAAATGTGCAGTTTTGTCCCACAATACAATGCCACAAATGCTTGTCGTCCTCACCAGGGTCTTGACCTGACCGCAGTTCGGCATCGTAACCATCTTCAGTGGGCGAATGTTCACCTTCGATGGCCACTGGCACACTGGAGAAGTGTGCTCTTCATGGATAAATCCCAGTTTCAACTGTACTGGGCAGATGGCAGACAGTGTGTATGGCAGGGTTCCCCAACTGGCGGCCCGTGGGCCAAATTTTGGGAAATAAAAAACTGTAAAAACACCAGGAAATCAGCTCCACAAATTTAATTGGAAATCTGTTCCCAAGTATTTCCATGCATAATAGAGAGACAAATGATCGTAAGCAAGTTTTGAAATTATTAATGTTTTAGTCAAATAATATATCTGTTTGTTGGTCAATTTGCGGTCTACAAATGATTTGTAATTATGTTCCAGTCCTCCCGACCATCCGCTCAAGAAAATAAAATCGGCCTGGGATACAGCCATCCCAGCTCTGCAGATTTTGCTCAGTTGGTAGAGCATGGCGCTTGCAACGCCAGGGTTGTGGGTTCGTTTCCCACGGGGGGCCAGCATGAAATTGCACACTACTAACTGTAAGTCGCTCTGGATAAGAGCGTCTGCTAAATGACTCAAATGTAAATGTAATGTTTTGGTACTGTCCATATGTAGCTTATACTATAATAATATTAATATGCCATTTAGCAGACGCTTTTATCCAAAGCGACTTACAGTCATGTACTATATAAAATGTATATAGTATGTGTAAGCTGGAAGTAGAAGCCTAAGTGTTGTTGTCCATTAGTTTACTCCAATTAGGGGAGGGGTGGTAAAGTTAGGGGAAAATAATAAAGCAAAATATATAAAAATGTTTTTTTTTAAATATATATGGGGGATTGGACATGGGGCAGACACTTACATGTCACGGTTTCGGCCGAGACTGCTCCTCCTCCTGGTTCGGGCAGGCTTCGGCGTTCGCCGTCCCCGGAGTACTAGCTGCCACCGTTGTATGTTTCGTGGTGTGATTGCTTTAGTCTGTCTTGTACACCTGTGTCTGTTTGTGTTCTGATTACGTGTCTTATAAGTTCCCTGTTTTGTATTAGTTAGATTGTGTGTTGTTGTTTGCCTGTCGTGCGGAGCTGCGTGTTTGCGCTCTGTTAGTTTTGTTTATTGTTTTACGCATGTTGCGTAATTCCCTCGCCTCCGTTTGTTTTCGAGGTCGTGTATTGTTTTGTTGCACTTTGGACTAGTAAAGTCTTTTGGACGAATCCTCTGTGTCCTGCGCCTGACTCCTCCACCACATCCACATCGGTTCTTTTGACAGAACAACACACCAACTATGGAGTCAGCAGGAGCAGCGGCGGCACCCAAGTCGCTGGAAGAGCGGATCAGCTATCAAGACACCATGATCCGGCAACTTGGGGCCGCCATGGACGAGGTGTCCAACACTCTGCGCCGGTTGGTGACTGGAGAGGTGCCTACGCCTTCTTACTCCATCCCATCACCAACGGCCAGTCCTCCTCTCTCAGCACCGAAACCCAGTGGCATTCGGCTCTCGCTCCCGAGGGCATATGACGGTTCTGCAGCCGGGTGTCAGGGGTTCCTCCTGCAGGTGGAACTCTACCTGGCTACCATACACCCAGCGCCCTCGGGATACGAGAGCGTCTCCGCCCTCATCTCCTGTCTATCCGGCAAGGCGTTGGAGTGGGCCAACGCCGAATGGAGGGGAATAGACGCCGCTACCATCACCTACGCGGAGTTCGCTACCATCACCTACGGGGGAGCGTCTGTTCCACCTCTGACAGGGGAAGAGGAGCGCACAGGAGTTCGCACTGGAGTTCCGGACGCTAGCGGCGGATGCGGGGTGGAATGAGAGGGCCCTCATCGACCATTACCGGTGCAGCCTACGAGAGGACGTTCGTCGTGAGCTGGCCTGCAGGGACACCAACCTATCATTCGACCAGTTGGTGGACATCTCCATACGTCTCGACACCCTGCTGGCTACCCGCGGACGTCCCGAGTGGGGGCCGACCATTCCACCCTCCAGCACCTCCGAGCCGATTCCCATGGAGCTCGGGGGTGCTGGCGCTAGAGAGAGGAGGAGAGAGAACCCGAGGGGGGCCACCCCCTGCACCAACTGTGGCCGTGGAGGACACACCGCGGCCAGGTGCTGGGGAGGGTCTCCTGGGAGAGGGGACAACAGGTCACGCACTGGGGAGTCATTTCAGGTGAGTAGGCGCCCCACTTACCCAGAGCTTTCTGTTGGTCACATGAGTATTCCTGTGAGATTTCCACAGGTGGCACCTCATTCCCAGCATAAGGCGCTAGTAGATTCAGGCGCAGCTGGGAATTTTATTGATCGGGCATTTTGTTATAGGTTTGGAATTCCCCTTCAGCCGGTAGAAGCCCCCTTTCCTGTCCACGCCTTAGACAGCCGGCCGTTGGGGTCGGGGCTGATCAGAGAAGTCACAGCACCACTTACTATGACGACGCAGGGGGGTCATGAGGAGATCATTCAGTTTTATCTGATTGACTCTCCTGCGTACCCCGTGGTGTTGGGGCTTCCCTGGTTAAGCACCCATGATCCTACCATTGCGTGGCAACAGAGGGCTCTTATGGAGTGGTCTGCCCAGTGTGTAGGGAGATGTCTAGGTGTTTCCTTAGGGGCGACCTCGGTTGAGAGTCCGAACCAAGTGCCCGCAATGTGCATTCCCCCTGAGTATGAGGACTTAGCACTCGTGTTCAGCAAGACGAGGGCAACACGGCTACCACCTCATAGACAGGGGGACTGTGCGATAAATCTCCAAACAGGAGCGGCTCTTCCGCGGAGCCGTGTGTATCCCCTGTCTCAAGAGGAGACAGAGGCTATGGAGACTTACATAGCCGAGTCCTTGGCACAGGGATACATACGGTCCTCCACTTCCCCGGTTTCCTCGAGTTTCTTCTTTGTGAAGAAGAAGGACGGGGGTTTGCGCCCGTGTATTGATTACCGTAGTCTCAATCAGATCACGGTTAAGTACAGTTACCCTCTTCCACTGATTGCGACTATGACGGAGTCATTACGCGGAGCGCAGTTCTTCACAAAGTTGGATCTCAGGAGCGCGTACAATCTGGTGCGCATTAGGGAGGGGGATGAATGGAAAACGGCATTTAGCACCACCTCGGGTCATTACGAGTATCTCGTCATGCCATACGGGCTAATGAATGCTCCTTCAGTCTTCCAATCCTTTGTTGACGAGATTTTCCGGGACATGCATGGGCAGGGTGTGGTAGTGTACATCGACGACATCCTAGTGTACTCTTCTACACGAGCCGAGCATGTAGCCCTGGTGCGCCGAGTGTTGAGAAGACTGTTGGAGCATGACTTGTATGTCCTTTTTGGGTTATCGGTTGTCCGCGTCTGGTGTGGAGATAGAGGTAGACCGTATGTCGGCCGTGCGTAATTGGCAAACTCCAACCACTGTAAAAAAGGTGCAGCAGTTCTTGGGTTTTGCTAATTACTACCGGAGGTTTATTCGGGGCTTTGGACAGGTTGCAGCGCCCATTACGTCCCTGTTAAAGGGGGGTCCGGTTCGTCTGCAGTGGTCAGCTGAGGCGGACAGGGCATTGTCAAACTGAAGAACCTGTTCACCTCGGCCCCGGTGCTGGCGCATCCGGATCCCTCTTTACCATTCCAAGTAGAGGTAGACGCGTCCGAGACCGGTATTGGGGCAGTCCTGTCACAACGGTCCGGCACGCCACCTAAGCTCCGCCCCTGTGCGTTCTACTCTAAGAAACTCAGCTCGGCGGAGCGCAATTATGACGTTGGGGACAGGGAGCTGTTAGCTGTAGTCCAGGCCCTAAAGGTGTGGAGGCATTGGCTTGAGGGGGCTCAACACCCTTTCCTCATTCTGACCGATCACCGTAACCTGGAGTACATCCGGGCAGCTAGGAGATTGAACCCTCGTCAGGCTAGGTGGAACATGTTCCTGACCCGGTTTGTTTTTAAGATCACATACATCCCAGGTTCCCAGAACGGTAAGGCAGACGCCCTGTCCCAGTCTTGTCTGGTGGCTCCGGTGGTATGGGAGGTCGATACGGAAATCGAGCGGGCACTGCGTGCCGACCCTACTCCCCCCGAGTGTCCTGTGGGGCGGAAGTACGTTCCGCTCGAGGTTCGTGATCGTCTTATTTATTGGGCTCATACATCACCCTCCTCTGGACATCCAGGTATTGGCCGGACAGTGCACTGCCTTAGCGTGAAATACTGGTGGCCAACGTTAGCTAAGGATGTGAGGGTTTATGTCTCCTCCTGCTCGGTGTGCGCCCAGTGTAAGGCGCCTAGACATTTGCCCAGGGGTAAGTTACATCCCCTGCCCGTTCCACAACGACCATGGTCCCACCTCTCGGTGGATTTTGTGACCGACCTACCCCCTTCCCAGGGGAATACCACCATTTTGGTCGTTGTGGATCGGTTTTCCAAGGCCTGTCGTCTCCTCCCAATGCCGGGTCTCCCTACTGCCCTACAGACCGCGAGGCCCTATTTACCCACGTGTTCCGGCACTATGGGGTCCCCGAGGATATTGTGTCTGACCGAGGTCCCAAGTTTACCTCCAGAGTCTGGGGGGCGTTCATGGAACGCTTGGGGGTCTCGGTGAGCCTTACCTCGGGGTACCACCCAGAGAGCAATGGGCAGGTTGAACGAGTCAACCAGGATGTGGGTAGGTTTTTGAGGTCCTATTGCCGGGACCGGCCGGAGGAGTGGTCCAGGTATATCTCCTGGGCCGAGATGGCCCAGAACTCTCTCCGCCGGTCCCGGTTTAACACCTTTCCAGTGTGTTTTAGGGTATCAGCCGGTCCTGGCACCGTGGCACGAGAGCCAGATCGAGGCCCCTGCGGTGGACGAGTGGATTCGGTGCTCGGAGGAGACGTGGGACGCTGCCCATGTCCATCTGCAGCGGGCCATCCGTCAACAAAAGGCGAGCGCCGATCGCCACCGCAGTGAGGGACCGGTGTACGCACCGGGAGATCGAGTCTGGCTCTCGACTCGAAACCTGCCCCTCCGCCTGCCCTGCCGGAAGCTGGGTCGGCGGTTTGTGGGTCCCTTCAAAGTCCTGAGAAGATTGAACGAGGTGTGTTACAGGTTACAACTGCCTATTGAATACAAAAATATTAACCCCTCGTTCCATGTGTCTCTTCTCAGGCCGGTGGTAGCTGGCCCACTCCAAGAAGATGAGATAGGAGAGACCCCTCCGCCCCCTTTGGACATCGAGGGGGCCCCGGCGTACAGGGTCCGGACCATCTTGGACTCGAGGCGCCGGATGAGTGGTCTCCAGTATCTCGTGGAGTGGGAGGGGTACGGTCCGGAGGAACGGTGCTGGGTGCCTAGGAGGGACATCCTCGATCCATCCCTCCTGACTGAGTTCCACCGTGGGCATCCCACGCGCCCGGGTCCGCGTCCTCCTGGCCGTCCCCGAGGCCGGGGTCGGCGCACGGCTGGAGCCGCGCGTCAAGGGGGGGTACTGTCACGGTTTCGGCCGAGACTGCTCCTCCTCTTGGTTCGGGCAGGCTTCGGCGTTCGCCGTCCCCGGAGTACTAGCTGCCACCGTTGTATGTTTCGTGGTGTGATTGCTTTATTCTGTCTTGTACACCTGTGTCTGTTTGTGTTCTGATTACGTGTCTTATAAGTTCCCTGTTTTGTATTAGTTAGATTGTGTGTTGTTGTTTGCCTGTCGTGCGGAGCTGCGTGTTTGCGCTCTGTTAGTTTTGTTTATTGTTTTACGCATGTTGCGTAATTCCCTCGCCTCCGTTTGTTTTCGAGGTCGTGTATTGTTTTGTTGCACTTTGGACTAGTAAAGTATTTTGGACGAATCCTCTGTGTCCTGCGCCTGACTCCTCCACCACATCCACATCGGTTCTTTTGACATTACATTGATGGAAGCTACAATCTATCAGCAATATTAAAGCTGATCTACCCCTATAAAAAATATATATAAGAAAACAACAACAAAACTTCAGCATGCGGCTGAATTCAGTTGATCATCCCTGGTGTATGGCGTCAGGTGGGCGAGCGGTTTGTTGTGAACAGAGTGCCCCATGGTAGAGGTGGGGTTATGGTATGGGTAGGCATAAACTACGGACAACAAACACAATTGCATTTTATTGATGGCAAATTGAATGCACAGAGATACCGTGACGAGATCCTGAGGCCCATTGTCGTACCGTTCATCCCCCGCCATCACCTCATGTTTCAGCATGATAATGCACAGCCCCATGTTGCAAGGATTTGAACACAATTCCTGGAAGCTGAAAATGTTCCAGTTCTTCCATGGCCTGCATACTCACCAGACATGTCACCCATTGAGCATGTTTGGGATGCTCTGGATTGACATGTACGACAGCGTATTCCAGTTCCCGCCAATATCCAGCAACTTCGCACAGCCAATGAAGAGGAGTGGGACAACATTCCATAGGCCACAATCAACATCCTGATCAACTATCTGCGAAGGAGATGTGTCACACTGCATGAGGCAAATGGTGGTCACACCAGATTCTGACTGGTTTTCTGATCCATGCCCCTTTTTTTAAAGGTAATTGTGACCAACAGATGCATATTTGTATACCCAGTCATGTGAAACCCATAGATTAGGGCCTAATGAATTTATTTCCATTGACTGATTTCCTTATATGAACTGTAACTCAGTAAAATCTTTGAACTTGTTGCATGTTGCATTTATATTTTTGTTCAGTGTACATAGAAATATATGTTATGTGTAAATTAAATAGCAAACCACAAGCACCATAGAACTGTGCTCTGCTTACCTCTTGTTGGAGACATTAGTGGTGACGGCTGTGACTGAGGCCAGGGAGATGGTGTCAGGGTCAGGACCCCCTCCACCTCCCATCCCTCCCATGAAGTCCAGGTCCTCTGTCTCCAAGATGGCAGCCTCATCGCCTGGACAATCACAGTCAAGGAGGCCACACCTGTCAGAACAGCCTGACAGGATGACGATAGCTAAGCTTTTTTTCTTTCTTTCTTGTATTCATTTTTGTTTACATTCATGTTTAATGTTACTGTTTACAATTTATTGTAGGTTATGTTACACATTTTAATCTGTATTTTTCTCTTTTTTTGATATGTCATTTTATCAGAGAGTGAGGCGGACCAATGGTTGTATGAAAGTATTTTATGTATCTCCATTATTTTACATGAAACAATTGGGGTGTGTGTGTGTATGTATGTGTGTGTGTGTGTGTGTGTGTATGTTGTATTATACTGTACCCCCTCCTCCTTTCCCGTGGTCTGATTTATGGCCACGTGATTTCTTCATGATTCAGAACAGTCCTTTTCTTGCTCTGTGAAGTAGATAGAACTAGGGTAGTTTTGAGGGAGGTTATTGATGCGTAGAATGCGTTTTTAACCAATCAGCATTCAGGATTAGACCCACCCGTTGTATAATGATGCGTAGACTACGTTCTGGAGTTATTAAATCAACCAATACTGCACTGTGGATTCAATTTATTTGAACTTTTAGGGTCCCTATATAGTGCGCTACTTTTGACCTGTGCCCTATGTAGGGAATAGGATGCCATTTCAGACGCACATCAGTCTCCTCTCATGGCACAGCATAAGAGTGAGTTGGTTAGTCTCAAATGGCATTTGAGCCTAACCCAGTGTATTTCTACTCTACCACCACACCCTCATTTGGCCTCCAATGGGGAGTTTAATAATTCACATCCCATGACCTTAATGCATTAATTAACCACGGATACATTTCACATGCTTTGTGGAAAATAAAAAACACTCACAATAATTAGTCTAAATGTAAAGCATCAGGATTGCAAAACATTTGATTAACAAGCTCTACTCAGAAATGTTGGTGAAACCATCATGAAATTGCTCAATTTTAAACTCACATGTCTAGAAAAAACATTGAATGAGATGAGACCATGAATTTTAAATGCTTCAAATGGCAGCAGCATTTTGCAATCTAATAGGAGCCCAGTAAAATCCACATAACATCTAGTCCTACTTCACAATTTGTTAAATGTATGCTGTATTCCAATTAACAGGTATGCAACTAATGACACACAGTGCCCAAAACAAGTCATTCTAAATAAAGGACCATAGCTTTACTGAATGTACACAATGCAGAATGATTCATCCCTGAGGCTAAATCTTTAAATTATAGCCAACTGATCAGAGATCTATCATGAAATCAATCCTGAAATAATTTCTCCCAAATTGTACTGTATGTGTTATTTTTTTTAAATAAATGTTATACTTTATAGCTTTTTTTGTTACTTGGAGTATCTAGAGCCTGAATGCTTCCTCAGTATGATAACAGAATAGATTTGACCAAAGAAAAGCCAACTACAGTTTACACCAGAGAGAAAAGCCAACATACTATAGAAACATACCAGTATTACCATAGGTTAGGAAACATACTATAGAAACATACCAGTATTACTATAGGTTAGGAAACATACTATAGAAACATACCAGTTTACACCAGAGAGAAATGCCAACTACAGTTTACACCAGAGAGAAAAGACAACTACAGTTTACACCAGAGAGAAAAGCCAACTACAGTTTACACCAGAGAAAAGCCAACTACAGTTTACACCAGAGAAAAAAAACAACTACAGTTTACACCAGAGAGAAAAGCCAACTACAGTTTACACCAGAGAGAAAAGCCAACTACAGTTTACACCAGAGAGAAAAACCCATTGAGAAGAGATATGTTGGATTCATCACTTACTATTCGAATCAATGTTATATATAAACCATGCTTTAGACTATGCTGTGGCTATGCTATATACAACAGCATTGCTCTCCATGAATTCTATCAAAAGATGTATAGAATAATTTGTATACATACCATTAAACAAAACGTCACACTTTCCTTTTCTTCAAACCAACTCCCAATGGTTCCTGGTGAAAGAAAGAAAAAAAAACTCTGAGTGATTGAGTTTTCTCCAAAATAGTTATTCTACATAGCCATTTTAGACATTTACATTGCAGAAACAGAAAGGCCAAAAAAGTAAAGTTGCGCTAAAAACTATAAGGTTTGACCAGGGCAGGAGTTGGGCTGGAGTGATGTGATATGTCAATGAATAGTGTATGAGTGTTGAACTTGAGACAGGCAGGCGACTATAACTAGCTAGATTGGTGAGAGAGAGACGTCACCGCAAACTAAGTCTGCTAAGCCAGACTAGCCAACAAGACTTGTTCCAGCAAGTCACTGCAACTTTTTTTTTTATAAGACATTAAAGTTCAGATATGCAAACATATACAGCACATTATATGAATCCAATTTGTCTGATAATGTATGAATTATAGTAATGAAATGTGTCTATGACTCAGAATTCTCAATTCACTTTACATTGGGAAAGAAACTCAATGTAGCTTTGGGAATTGTGACAAAACTTGGGTTTGTAGAAAAGGTATTTTCTTTGTCGACAACCAAAGACATCTGTTGATATTTGTGAGGTCAGATGTGTGTACAGTGGGGGGAAAAAAGTATTTAGTCAGCCACCAATTGTGCAAGTTCTCCCACTTAAAAAGATGAGAGAGGCCTGTAATTTTCATCATAGGTACACGTCAACTATGACAGACAAATTGAGAAAAAACATTCCAGAAAATCACATTGTAGGATTTTTAATGAATTTATTTGCAAATTATGGTGGAAAATAAGTATTTGGTCACCTACAAACAAGCAAGATTTCTGGCTCTCACAGACCTGTAACTTCTTCTTTAAGAGGCTCCTCTGTCCTCCACTCGTTACCTGTATTAATGGCACCTGTTTGAACTTGTTATCAGTATAAAAGACACCTGTCCACAACCTCAAACAGACACACTCCAAACTCCACTATGGCCAAGACCAAAGAGCTGTCAAAGGACACCAGAAACAAAATTGTAGACCTGCACCAGGCTGGGAAGACTGAATCTGCAATAGGTAAGCAGCTTGGTTTGAAGAAATCAACTGTGGGAGCAATTATTAGGAAATGGAAGACATACAAGACCACTGATAATCTCCCTCGATCTGGGGCTCCACGCAAGATCTCACCCCGTGGGGTCAAAATGATCACAAGAACGGTGAGCAAAAATCCCAGAACCACACGGGGGGACCTAGTGAATGACCTGCAGAGAGCTGGGACCAAAGTAACAAAGCCTACCATCAGTAACACACTACGCCGCCAGGGACTCAAATCCTGCAGTGCCAGACGTGTCCTCCTGCTTAAGCCAGTACATGTCCAGGCCCGTCTGAAGTTTGCTAGAGTGCATTTGGATGATCCAGAAGAGGATTGGGAGAATGTCATATGGTCAGATGAAACCAAAATATAACTTTTTGGTAAAAACTCAACTCGTCGTGTTTGGAGGACAAAGAATGCTGAGTTGCATCCAAAGAACACCATACCTACTGTGAAGCATGGGGGTGGAAACATCATGCTTTGGGGCTGTTTTTCTGCAAAGGGACCAGGACGACTGATCCGTGTAAAGGAAAGAATGAATGGGGCCATGTATCGTGAGATTTTGAGTGAAAACCTCCTTCCATCAGCAAGGGCATTGAAGATGAAACGTGGCTGGGTCTTTCAGCATGACAATGATCCCAAACACACCGCCCGGGCAACGAAGGAGTGGCTTCGTAAAAGAAGCATTTCAAGGTCCTGGAGTGGCCTAGCCAGTCTCCAGATCTCAACCCCATAGAAAATCTTTGGAGGGAGTTGGATTTTTTTTTCTCATTTTGTCTGTCATAGTTGACGTGTACCTATGATGAAAATTACAGGCCTCTCTCATCTTTTTAAGTGGGAGAACTTGCACAATTGGTGGCTGACTAAATACTTTTTCCCCCCACTGTATGTACGAGACAACAGGAAGCGAATCAATAAAGTGACCTGTGATAGAATTACGTGCCACACAACAAAAAGTCAGAGCGTCTCAGTCACTACTGTAGGAAGAATGATCTTCCTTAAATCATTCATGGGGTACTGCTTCAATAGGGAGATGAGCTCAGTGTACATGTCTTGGTAGACGTCTTGGTCTACTATGCACCATCAAAAGGCATCAAGCTCTATGCTCAACAAACATCACTGTGTTGTGTTATCATATTCATCTGAGTTTAACATTACTTTTAACTTTCAAGGTTTCTGACTACGTTTCAAGTGATCTAGCACACATTTCAAAGCGGGAATGTGGTGGAAATCCAAAATCGAACCACATAGTACAGCAAGGACTTGTTGGGGGAAATTACCTAGCTCTTTCTTCTACAATAAATTAAATGGGCATTGAGCAAAAAGCATTGGTTACTCAGTTAAAGCACACTTTAGCAGCTTCAATACAAGTTCCACTGAAAACTAAAGTACAATTCACCAGCTCATCAATAACACATACTCTGAAAGCCATACGTCTAATGTTGCCTGTATCTGACGAAACAAGTCTGTCAATTATTTAGGCTTTGGTTCCAGCCAGTGTTGCATGTGTCATCCTCATTGTGTGAAGGTATCGCCCACATCAAGAGAAAAGAAATGGATTCCGGTTTGCATACAAAGAATGCATCTACAATACATGTGTAATATGAGTCGTAACGAATTGGTACTGGTCTCCCTTTCAACTGAAAGCTACAGTACCAAGCTTAATACCAAAGGTTTGTTGTATAATGAGTGTTAATACTTTGTATACAATACTGTCCTATGTTGCTCCGTTGGCGGGGCACTTGCCAGGCTAAGTTTGTGGGTTCAATTCCCATAGGGATCACATACATAGTCCCCTGTAGCTCAGTTGGTAGAGAATGGCGCTTGCAACGCCAGGGTTGTGGGTTCGTTTCCCACGGGGGGCCAGTATGAAAATGTATGCACTCACTAACTGTAAGTCGCTCTGGATAAGAGCTCTGCTAAATGACTAAAATGTCAAATACACATGTACTGTGTACACTCATTGTACTGGTGGTCGTCTTGGAGACAAGCATCTGCTAAGTGGCAAATTATAGTACTATATTATGAGTTGTTTATCATTCAAATACTTTCAGTAGTTCCTCTATCCAGTCATTTTATTCTATAGTTTCCCTTTAGTCTAATGGTGCCCATCTCTTCAGAGGGTTCACATCAGCAGGTGGTGTGTGTGACTGGGTGATAGCCGTGGTGACATCAACACGCCAGTCCTTGTTGAGAGAATGGGCTTTTAATTACATGATTTAGTACCAGGCCTTAGACTCAGGGCTGTTATTGTGTCCCAAATGGCACCCTATTCTCTCTCCTGCATGGCCCTTCAGATTACTGATATACCTGTTCCTAAGAGTATTCAGATTACTGACCTAACTGTCACTAAGGG